ATCGCTTCAGATTGTGCAAACTTGTTGGAAGGGGCAAACTGGGGTTAAAATCAGGCTAAAAATCATGCAGCTTTATTTAAAATGAAATAGCAAATCACAGTAAACTCTGAACACAGAGCCAGAGATGCTGATTAAAATTATAAACAGCTAATGCTAATTGAGTCAGGCCTGTTTAGGTGAGCTTGTGGTTCTCTCTTCTTTAGTATGGGGACCTTTAGCCATCAGTTTAGCCTGATTAGATGTTTTGACATGCTGCTTTCTGAGCGTACGGCACTTCCCACACTCGTGCTGCTCATATTCACAAAATCATGCAGTCAGCTGTTGCAGGCAGCATACATCCTTGCAAACTATGTACAAGAACATATAATCTGTATAGAGGAAGATTTAGTTTTAAATGCATTATATGTAATTAATATTGCTCTTTTAGAGATACATGAGCAACACAAGTGGCAAATTCCTAAGGTCAGTAACTGTATTGTAACTATGCACATTAATTCGTACCATGTTAAACTGGTGTCGAATGACAGAAAGTATTTTGTTTTGTATATTTCTTGTCTGTTCTGCTCTGTGTTTGAAAGAAATAGAGAGAGTTTTTGCTGTGTTTATTATACTTTATGATGAAAGCATATGATGACTAATTAGCACTGTGCAGAACAGAGAAGGCACTGGTCTGACACCAGGTACTGGGCTGAAATTAGCAGATGCTGGATTGGATATCAGGGGGAAAGAAAGAATGAAATGAATCCAGTCCAATCCTGTAACAAATCTATCCTGAAACAGCACACACATTGTGTGATGTGATGTTAGCAGTGTATGTCTTCCTGCGGGGTAGTAGAGTTTCAGTATTTTGAGCATGGTAGTCTGCTTTCAGATGCTCTTCTTAAGTGCTTCAATAAAAATAGCTCATATTAAGGCTTAGTAGAATACATTCCGGATCGTTTTTAGGATTGGCCAATAGTGAAGGTTTCAAAATCAGTTTTGGAAAAGAAGTGGTATCCTGCCATCTTTAGTGCAAACCTATATGCCTAAATCATCACATTAAATTACACTGCATTACTAAAAACAATAGTAGGCTAACAGCATCCATTATGAATCCTAAATTAAGCTACTCCAATAAAGGTTATAAGCATGTTAAGAACTATAATATCATATTTATTGCAATTTGTAACAGAAGCATTTGTGTTCAAGACCTTCAAAAAAGTTAACTGCTTACTGAAGTAAATGAACAGCTTGTGCATCTATCCATGCCGGCTCTTCCATGCTGCTCTCCATGTTTGTAGGGGGACAGTGGTGGGCCACTGGCTTGTGTGGACTCTGTATGGAAACTGGTGGGAGCAGCAAGCTGGTCTCAGGGCTGTGGAAATCACAACAACCCAGGGGTTTACACCAGTGTAGCTTATGCGTTACCATGGATACAGCAAAACCTGGAGGTGAGTCTGGTGGCCAGATTGTAGGCAGTGTGCAACTTTACAGCATGTTGAAATGAAGTTGCTAGGGTAATGAAGTAGCGTGTGAAGAAATGGGACACTGGAAAACTCCCTATGTTAGACACACCAATAGGGAGAGGCTGTCTGGGTTGCCAGATTGGGCATAGGAACAAAGGTGTCTTGCTGTGTAATACTAAACCAATTGTGCCCGGCTGTGAAATTGAGAACAGTTGTCAGATTAGAGTTTACTGTAACTGGAGAAGCAGCATATCTGATAAGGACAACAGCCTCTCCAGAAGGCTGGAGAGAATCCCTGGAGAGGAGCAGTTTAATGACTTTATAATGATAAGAGCTATTTTAGTTTCTTCCAGTCCCAGTGTTGGATTTGTTTATTTTAGCAAATATTTGTCAAATTAGTGGTTTAAAGGAATAGAGAGTGGATTCATTAGTCTTTTATTTATTCTTTAGTTACACCCTCCCCCTTGTTTCTGGTAAGAAAAAGATTTCTGTGCTGTTTGCAGGATTATAACTGCATATTTTAGTTGAACATGGAAGAAAAATGGGCAAAGAAGAAATAAGTTTCAGACCAAAAATGAAAGGACATTTTTTTGTGATAATTTTGAATCCCTCACTTTTGTTTGTAGAGTTTGTTAGGATGTAACTTATTGTGTATCACTCTTACCAAACAGGGTTTATATAGTACTTAAAAACAACAGTGGAACCCTTTTTGTTGCTACATTGAGCCTGAGGGTTCTATAACAAACCACATGCAACTTGTTTTCCATCATAGAGAAGAACCATTTATGGATTCAAATGGTTACTGGAGTGTTCATGGTTCTATATAGAACCATTGTCTGTACTAAAGAAGAACCAGAATGTTCACAGCCTGTTGTTTGTGCAGGGCAATGTCAGTAAAATTCACTATAGATGACATGCGAGTTTACATTAATAAAGTTTAAGCCAGTGCTTCCTGAGGACTGTTACTATATGACAAAAGAACATCTTACATACCTGACATGCTTGTTTTGATCGTGTTGTTCTGCTTCTTACAACAAAGGGAACGCCACTTCACCCCAAAGCAAACCTTACACAGTATTGTAAACATGAACCACACAGAAATCACATTCCAGAAAGAAAAAGGTTTAATTTCTACTTTAAACTGTTCTTTCAAAATTATCTGAAGCACCAGTGGGTGTATGACACATCACAGTGAATTGTCATGGTCTGGAGTGAAGTGGACAAAATAGAAACTGCTCTGCAAAAGGGACACAATAAATTTATGGACATTATATCATGGATGTAACACTCATGATCTATCAAATATATTGCTAAAACCCAAAAGCAATATCATGTCAGTAAGACCACATGTCAACCTGCATTGTGTTCTATTTACTAAAGCACTTCAACTGGGTAACACACTATATAGAAAAAACCCAAGAGTGAAAGTGAATCTGAGTGGTCTGGGACAAACAAAGGCAAGAGAATGAGAGTGAGCTGTTGCTGTCAGTCACAAGATGGCAGCTGAAATTGATTTTTCTCTCCCTCATCCATCCCTCCCTCCAAATTTTATATGCCACTCACTGGGTTTACCAAAATATCACCGATGTGTGTGTTCATGTGTACCCAACAGCTGCAGTTCAGAGTCTTCATGAGTCTTTTGAGACATCTTTTGACTTTTTAATGGCTCAGTTGTGGCCTCTGGTGGCCACAACAGCAAACTCCACTGCAGATGAGGAAACCAGAGGCACAAGAGTCTTCACAATTCCAGTCCTGGCGACCGTTCTACATATTTTTGTGTTTTCTTTTTCTACACATCAGTTCCAGCCCATGAGAAGCTTGTTAATTAGTTAGAGAGCCCATAACCATATTATTCTTGTATATTTTTCCCCTGAGGTCCACTTATAGCATTTGTGGTTTTATGTACCATAAACAGTTGTAATTCATTTTTACATGACCATTTTCCAACCTCTCTTAATCCTTTTTTAAATGAGGTCTGTTCTGATTGGCTGCCCTGTATCGTGCCTCATTCAAAAAGCTGTCCATGCAGAAGCACTCTTTATACCTTCAGTGTGAACCTGAACAGATTGGCTGTAGGTTGGAAAGCCAGATAAATGTAAATGTGATAGTGTGCATGATGTCACAAAAACAGGGAACTCAAAACAGGCTGTTTTTAAAGCTTAGCTTCCATACATGGAAGTGAGTGAAGTATGCTTTGAAACTTTAACAATGTTTACATACTACATCAAACTCTTATTTTTAAAAAATAGGAAAATTCAGTTTTCCATATAGGCCCTTTACTGTATTGAAATAGGGGTGTGTATAGTACAAGATAGTGTGGGGTCTCCAAAACAGGGATTGGGGACCCCTTTCATAGAAGCTGCTATCTTATAACATTACACAGATTTTACGAACAGCTCCTGCTTTGGGAAGAAAAGAGTTCTCTGATGCATTAAAATTTGATCCATGGTTCTCTTTCAAACTTCTCACATTCCTATGTTTCCTATTTTCTTTTTCCCCCCATTAGAAAGAAGAGGAACAAACACTCTGAGTATCATTCGCGGCTGGCTGGGTTGTGTTTCTACCAGAATGTTTTGGACTTTGTGGAGGAAATTCACTTGGTGAACTTCGCTCTGTGGAAGACCAACAGCAAATCACACTATCGTCTAATATGGTGAATGACTGTCAACAGCACAGCATGACCTTTAGGCTACTGAAATATGTTTGAGAAAGTGATATTATGCTTATTTCTATTTATTTATCTGCAGATTCACCTATTAATATATTCGTCATATTTATTTACACACAGCTTTGATGTGGCACTTCAACAATAAAAGACACATGATGATTTTCGTTTATAACTGTCTGAGTCTTTAGTGCACCAAGGGAGAAAAAGAATAATCAATTTAAGAAAATTGTAAAGTTGTATATTTATATGTTGAATATCAGCTTCAGTAAGCACTCCTTAATTGGTGGGAAACAAAGAACTAAATATGCTTCAGAGCTACTTCTGGTGGACAAACATGATGTTGCACTGCTTTCTATTTGGAATTCTAATTTTTCAAAATGTCTGCATAATTTCATGGTTAAGCTGTAAACACAGTCATTCAGAGTGGTTTGGTGTGAAATGCTCCATTCTAGAGAAACTTACTGAGTCAGAATTGTTCACAGTAGTGGCGATAGGATACGTCTCTTTTTGAGAGAGAATTTTGGTCTAAAACATATTTTTTGATACAGTCATAGCTGTAAGGTACATTTAGGGTGTTATAAGACAAACTAATATGCCAAGTTTTTTTTTTTTGTTTAAATCAACATCACTATAAAAACTCAGAATACATGTGTACTTTCACACGTTTCACATCAAACTACTCTGCATGACAGTTTACACTGCAACCACTGAATTATGCAGAATTTTGCAAATCTGGTGGAATACCCATTTAATATATATTATTTTTAAGCATTTATGCTTAGTGAGCATTCAAAGAGTATTTTTATGAGCAGAGAATTATACAACAGAGCATACGTTCTGTAGTTTTTACAAGCTATACAGACAAGAATAAATCCCAAAAGCAAAAACACTGTACGTAATTGAGTTTATTACAAAACAGATAAAGGCAAACATGAGCGTGTGTGTGAAAAGCAGCAAGAGTATCCTAAAAAAAAAGAAAGAAAAAAGTGAATTGTTTAAAAGAATATTTCACCCAAAGAGTTTTGATGAAAGAAAGCTAGCAGGTGCAAGTTAGCATTTTGCCAACTAAATATGACTAATTAATTATTTCATTCATTGCTAGCTACGCCATATTAGCCTCCATTAGTATGTTCGGGTGAAGTATTCCTTTAAAGCTCAAAGGGAAACATGCAGCGTGTGGAAAGCCACCATGCAAAGCTAACTGAGGTCATGCTTGCCATCATCTGACCTCATCCACTGCATCACAAGACGACGGCTGAAAATAAGAACCCAGTTTGATGAGAAATCTGAAGCGCCTCACTTGAAAATGACAAACTGAAAAGAAATCAACTCATCCAGTTTGACAAATGACATCATACTTCAAAAACGGACGGATCTTGAAATGCAAAGAAATATTCATATTTGGCAAAAATACAGTCCGAAAAAGAGGAAAAAAATAAAACATCGGCTACAGTTTTACTGAATGTGAAATGGTACATACCAGGAGTGAGATTCAAAGCGGAAACTGGCCGACTGTACATTTTTTCTTAATAGTTTACATTGTGCAACATCACACACTGTCTGTAGGCCTACATGTGTTCTACTGTAAAGTATATGATGTTTGTAAATAATAGTGTTTATGTTTACTTTACAGCCATAAAGCACAAACCCATGCAAAAAATCTTTACATACTTGGAGCACTAAATGTCTCGGCTTAATTGCAATGGTTGGTGAACTCTTGATAAAGCACAGAGAACGCTCTAAAAGGGCAGCTAGTAGCTTATGACTTTGTTTACCAGTTTTCCAGTGCAATAATTAGGATAAACAGAGAAATCATGGTGGAAATGTGTTTAACCTTCTAAAAATCCACCTCATGATTATGTTTTAATCATCAAAACAAAACGAGTATCCCTTCTCACATTACAAATACTGACCTTAAAGTGGACATACATAATTTATTATTGATCTTTTTTATGTGTGGTGGTTTCCATGGTGATTATGACTGAAGAGGACGTGCTGTTGGACCTTTAAAGCAGAAATGAGGCCAGTCTCATGTTATGATATGAAACATGAAAGATGTAAGGCCTTGTTTTTCCCCCCTCTACTTCAGAGCTTATTACTATAGCAAAACCACTTTCGGAGTATTTCAGGTATGAAGCGTTATCAAAATTCCCCAAAACTGGGCCATCATATCAAAAAGTGTTTTTTTTTTTCTCATTGCTAACATAAACTGTCCAAAAATGCAGCGAAACTGAGCCAAAAAAAGATAAAACTCACAAAACCGGCACCAAGTTGTTTTGACAGTGTAATATAAAAATAGTTTTCTTCTTCTCTGGTGCCTGAAAACGATGCAAACACAGGCATGCAAGAGACGTAATCTCATTGTCTCGATACTCAAGAAGACGAGGACGAGTAAAGCCAAATCATCCAGCATTGACCTATGTTTTCTTTTTGTTTTTTTCTTTCATTTTTTTCCTTTTTTTTGCTGTGTTTTCAACACGGCCATTTACAGTAACATACAAAAAGTGCATGAGGTTTCCTGTGTGCTGCTGAATAAACAAACAGAAAAAAAAGTTTCTGAAATGAAACTGATGCATATCGCCACTGTGCGAGACATGTAGAGAAACCCCAGACATGTAGTACACTTGTGCTTTTTTTTTTCCTTTCAGGTGTCCGTGTGTGTGTGTGTATACTATGTTTTGGCGTGTATGGCTTTGAGCCTTCAATTTATTATTCATCAAGCTGTTTGACAACTTGAGTATGATATGCAGTCCATGACCATTCATTTGAATGCTGCAATGAGCAATTGTCTCTCGCCCTCCTTCTCTCTCTCTCATTTCTCTTTACTTCTCTCCTACCCCCTCGCTTTTTGCATTTGCGGTCTTGTTCATAATATACTTTAACATGTCCCTGTCAGAGTGTCTGTGTGAGTGTGAATGTGAGTAGTTTCTTGTTCCTACAGTGAGTCGCTGGTTTCCAGGCCTAGCCTGGTCATGTCGGAGTGGGATAGATTGTCCTCTTCATCTTCATCGTCGTCGTCATCATCCTCGCTGTGCCCTCCCATCATCACCTGCTGCATGGCCAGTGTCGCTCCGTCCGATGACAGCGTCTGCAGCCCATCTTCTCCTGTTACCATGCCAACTGCTACCATGGTGCCTGAGCATAGTAACAACAATGACACAGTAAATAATGAACATTATCTGTATTAACGTTACTTGGTCCCCCATGGTGTATGCACCTTGAAATGCCTCTTCTTACATTTTGTTTATTATATATAATTTCTGAATTGTATTTAGTAAAACAAGCTGAGAAATTCTGTTGAAAGTGCAGGTTCTAAACTCTCATTGATTCTACATTATGTATACAAACAGAGGAGGATATGATTTATTACTGTTTGAATTTGTTGTTTTTGTTGTGCATACAGTTTTATTTTATGGAGGAAAAAAACAACCATTCTATTTCTTTTTGTCATATCACAGCAAACGAAATGAAATCTAAAATAAATCAGTAATAATTCTAGACTTTTAACCCTCTGGATCCACGAACTTGCCTGTGCATCAAATTCAATGTTTCTATCAATTTTTCTCTATTTCTGTGATAATAAAGTGCAGAAATACAGTTTAAACATTTGCGAGATCGTATGTGACTCTGATCCAGAGTTATGAGGCTTTGAAGGGAGGCTGAGATACACATCATCTGCCTCTCACTGTGTGTAATTGGTGAATCTTTCTACATTTTTGTGAAACTGACCAATGAACATCACTAAGGACTGACCCATCACACTGGAAACCCTTCATTCTTCATTCGGTCAATATCTGAGACACATGTGAAATGGCGTTTACAGCTGCTGAGGTTGTTGTAGCGTTTTTGGAAAGTAGTGACGTAGATAAAGGAGTGCATTTTGATATGGGAAATATGGGTATCATGTTATATGCAAGTGCATTTAAAGTCAAATTTAAGATATGCAGAACTTGAGAAAATGCCGTTAGACCCCAGAGGGTTAAAGATTAATTTACCAGCATGAATATCATATCATCCATAAAACATCCATCAACTCAAACTGACACCTCAGCTATTAATACAGCACTGGGCTGATTTGCAATGTTATCACAGGCCGTACCGTCCTCCATGGCAACCTGTTGCTGGGAGACAGTGGAAGCGAGGGAGTCGGGCCAGAAGCGCTGGAGTGGGCGTGTCTGTGGCGTCTTCTTTTTGCTCTTGGGTGTGTCTGATGAGCTGGCGTCCAGCATGGGCTGCAGAATCCGCCTCCGCGCATTAATGAACCTGAGGAGGAAGGACATAAAGTAGGTCTGAGAGGGAATAAACTGGATATTTAAAAGGACCTATGTTCTACATTTCTTTTTCACATTTTCAAATGTCTTTATCCCTTAAAGAGGCTGTTTTCGTTACTGTGCCTTTAAGACAGATACGTAAATGAATTCTGTTTGTGTTGCATTATATTGTGCTTCATTCAAAAAGCAGTCCCACCTGAAATGTAACTGTTATGTTTGGACTGAAGTCCTCAGGGACACTGGAAAAAGTAAACTACAATGTCTGGAACTTGCTGTAGGCCGAACAGGCAGTCATGTGTGAATGGTTCATTGTTGTGACATCACAACTACTACTACTACTACTACTACTGATTATTATTATCATTATTATTATTATTGTTATTACTGAGGTAGAATAAATACATGGAGTGTCTTTTGTTCCCTTGAATAAGCTTACATTCCACAGCAGAACTGGGACAGCAGTTAATTCTCTGTTCTGTTAATTCTCGAATCTGTTTGACAATTCTGTTCATCTCTTAATTCTGACATGCTGTATCTATTAATGAGTCATGAATGAATCAGGCACATGGCAGACCAGCAGGTATGAAGTTCAGTTTCTAATTACTGATGATTACAGACGCAGAGGTATTACACTCAGTTGGTCTCAAGAACAATTTCTGAGTTCACCTGTCTCCGATACTGAGACCAATAATTTATAGTTTCAAGAGCGACACCAGACTTAAGTACTTCAACTACACTATAAAAGCTTTTTGAAAAGGATTTTATATAGCACCAAAAAGAGTTCTTCTATTGTAACATGCTTGACACTGTCAAGAATAGTCATCAACAACAGCAGAACCCTTTTTGGCGCTATATAGAATCCTTTTTTAAAACGGTTCTATGTAGATCCAACACTGTGGCATGCTCCCATCCCCCGGGTCCCGATGACGGCCGCGAGAGCCGGCAAGAAGGCGGGGCCCAAACCCCGAACGAGGACGAAGCCCCGCAATGATGGCGGGGAGAGGAGAACCGCAAGTGAGTGAGCGACGACGCACGAGTTCCAAGCCCCGCCTCCGGCCAGTTTAATTTAACTCTGGTTCGACCGTGGTGGCCGAGCCGAAGAGTGTAGGCGGTGACAGGGAGGCGGAGCAACGAACTCTCTGTCCCTCTCGGCCCAGGTACTCAGCGTGAGCGACTTTTAAAAGAGCAGTGAGGGAACAGGGAGATGGAGAGAAAAGCTTGAGTGAGAAAAGTACTGAAAAGTCTAGTTTTGAAAGCCACTGAAAAGTGCCCAGCTTAGGTTTTGTTTTTTTGACGTGAAAAATAAAGTGAAATGGCTGCTGCGACCGCCAATCTTGCCTCCAGCGTCCTTCTTGCGCCTGGGGTAGTACGGGGCGTGCTACAAACACATTCTCCATCAATCTAAAGAACAATTTACCATGCAAAGAACCCTTTAAGCATGCAAATGGTTCTTGTCCATGGTTCGATGTAGAACCATAGTCTTTACAAAAGAACCCTTGAAAAACCAACTTTAAGAGTGTGATTAACAGCATGTTCTAAAACTTTAAAAGTGTTTACATAGCACTTCCCTGGTTCCTATCATGTCCATTGCAAATATTTTTCTTCCTGTTCTATACCACTCTACCCTAAACACACTAAGGAGTCACTTCATATTGTTTGGTATTAACTCACCAGTTGTTGACTTGTAGCAGGGTGAGGTTAGTCTGCAGGGCGATCTGCTTCTTCTCATCTTCTGTGGGATACGGGTGCTGAGAGGTAAAAACATTCATATACTGATCAAATCTCTCCTATAGAAACAAAAAACTATATAACATCACGTATAACATATTTACAATAGAAATGAAGAGTGTGAGAGTCCAATTCACACCAAAATCTCATTCTCAAAATGTGCTCTCAGATCCCCCGTCCCTCCTTCCCCTCCACATTTAAAGATTTAAAACTGTCAAGTGATGGGTTTTTCATGCATGAACACTGTAAAGGGCATTCAAATCTTTAAAGCGTTTCAGACGGTCAAAAGGGTTTTCTGTAGGTTCAAAAACTGGGGACCTTCCAGGCCAAAAAACTGCTGAGATTAGCGTTTATCCTCGTGTAACGCTCTGAATTCAGTTCATGAAGGCCTTGCTAATTAGCTGAATTTAATGAGACAGTGTGCTAAGGTCTGCAGTGTTTTGGCCCGTGAGGAGTCTAGTGTGACACCTGTGTTCTACATTTTTTAATATTTTATTATTTTCCCTGAAGTCACCTCATAATATTTGTGCAGGTTTATGTACCAAAAACAATCAGAATTCATTTTCACATAACCATTTTGAAATCTCTCTTTATCCCTTAGAATTAAAATGATAGAAAAATAATTAAGACTAATATATCTAAATGATAATTCTGACTGGCTGCCCTGTATTGTGCCTCATTCAAGAAAGCAATCCTGGCTGAAACACTCCTGATAACTTCAACATGAATGAGCAGGGCTAAAGTGCTGTAGATTGAATAGGCAGATACATGTATATGCATTGGTTGTGATACCACATGAACCAAGACTGAATCGACTGCAAAGACTAGGTAGTGAACTACATGAAAAAAAAATACTACATTACATACTACATCAGAATTCAGTTTTCCATGTCCTGGGCTCTTTAACACTCCAAGGGGTGTTAATGATGGTGCCTGATAGCCACAGTCTCATTAGAAGGATCTCTTACTGTGAGCTGTCACTGTAGAGCAGGCCTCATCTCCTCATCACTGATGACCTTTTATGAGCTCCTCCAGTCGCCTAGTCAGATGAGGGCTTGTGAATGTATGCTTCTGGCCATCATGTGTCTGTCACCCCCTTCTCAATTCTCTCTTAACACATTCCTTTTCTTCATCCACCTAGCCTAGCAAACTTATTCTTAGATTTCTTTGAGGTATGTACGTGATTATTTAGGCATGCAGTTTGCACAACTGTAATTGGTGTACGGAAGCTTCCATTACTAGCTAGCTACATTAGCCTTGAAGGTCCAGTACAAAACTAATAAAGCAAACATTAAACAACAAAAGGGTCTTTGCTGATGATCTATGTCTGGGGTAAGGGGGAAACTTGATTTTATTTGCCTAATTATTAAATATTTTATATTAATCATTACTAATTATTACTAACATAGAGGTAAACTCCCTTTTTTGGCATACACCTATGTTATGTAACAAAGCTATAGTGCAATTATTGCAATGTAAAAAGAGCCAAGACTACAATTTCTTTGTTACATGTTTATAAGTTTACAAAATTACATGTTTATGCTGTCCATTTAATAAACTCAATAGTGCACTGAGTGGATTTACACCTTGAATATGTATAGCAAAATATAGCACTAAATGCTAGAATACAGGACTAATTATAATGTAGCTGCCTTAACAAATCCTTGTATTTTCAAAATAATTACTTTATCGGAGTAGGAGGAAAAAAACTTTCCTTTTTTTAATGCAAGTTAATGTAACAACTTTCTTTTCAAACATGTCATTTTTAAATGGTATATTTTTTTTTATGTAGTTATGAGTTTTGACTAAATTACTGTAGTAATTTATTTACTATAGTAAACAGTCCTCACCCCAATATGCTGGAAGAGCCAGGAGCGCATGATACTGGTGGCATGTTTAGGCAGAATGCCTCGTTTGCTCTTAGACGAGCCTTCATCTTGACTCAGGAAACTCAGATCCTGGTTCAGCTGCAGCTGGAGCTGAAAAACATAAACACACACAGGAAAGTTATGAGTGTGGTATGTCTGTATGTGTGTGCAAGAATGTGAGAGTGTATAAGCGCGTGTATAAGACACGTGTGACCAAGAATTTGAGTATGTGAGTGGCACATATGAATGAGTTCATTCATGCCATTTTGTAGTTTTAGCAATAAATAAGTGAAACAATAAATAAGCAATAAATAAGTAAGGCCATATGAATATAAGAATGAATACAAAGCGTGTATTTGAATAATTGTTTTGACAATAAATACTTTTTTTTTAACCACATGAACTCTACAAGCCTGAGACAAGGTCTCAAAAAACAAAACAAAACAAAAAAAACGCTTGTTTAAATATACTGCCAGAAGAGCAACAGTAACATCACTTCATCGAGTTTAGCGTGCAGAACCAGAGCCTTTTGTGTCGTACTGCATTTTCTATTATTTTATAAAATATGCACAAAGCTACCCGTCTTGTTGGATGCAGTGTGTGTTTTTTCTGAGTGTGTGAGCTCATTCAGACCGCAGTTCAGATCCGTAAGAGCTTATCATTTTTTTTTGACCAACTGACCAAATTTTATTTTACTGATTAATGTATTTTTGGTAAGGGCTTTTATTGATTTATACAACCAGTGTAATGATCCAGCTGATGAATGACTTATATTTCTATTCATGTACTTAAAATGGTAGTTTGTGACACAAACTCAATAAATATTTCAGAGTTTATGGCTTTGTTAGGTCTTGGTTTTTTGCATTGGCCTTAAATGGTTTATTAAATTTAAAAACAGTAAATAAGTACGTCAGGCCCTATAAATGAATACAAGACTGTATTTGTGTATTTTAGAGCCCTGATTTTCAACATTTTAAACAGCATTGTTTTAACATACATTAACAAAAAGTACAGTTGAAAATGCTGAGATTCATTTCAAAACAGCAGTGGTGTATACAAGAGTGTCACCTGTGAGTTCTGGATGTGTATCGTGCCAGGTGAAAGGGCCTGAGTGACCACCTGGCCTTCTGGAGTCACAACGGTAACTGGCTGATACACAGTACCACCTGAGTAAACACAGACACATATACAGTCAAACATCATAAAAAGAACCACAAAACTGGTAAGGACTTCAATTAACGATACTTTGTCGATAACACAAACAGACAAGTTATACAGAGTAGTGGTGTGTTTTAAGGAGAAGCAAAGAGCAGAAGATATATACCTGTATCAATATTTCTATCTATCTGTGTATATATGTATATATATATATATATATTTGTGTGTGTGTGTGTGTGTGTGTGTGTGTGTGCACAGAGAGAGAGAAGAAAACTGCTGGGGTAGCAAGCACAAAAGCAGAAACACATACCTGACACTACCTGTGTAGGGTTGACCGTTGTCACGGTAACGTTGCCCTGTTGCAGGGCGGAAGCTGGTACTACAATACCCTGAGGACTTACAGTCCCAGAGAAAGAGCTTGGGGTCTGAGAATACAAACACACACAAAACAGTTACTTACTTCAACAATAATTAATCATTTGCATAAAGTAGGGATAACTGTATAGCATGTAAAATATCAACAATACACAGCTGTGCTGGGAGTTTTCATGCAGAAATCTATTTACGCTACATCAGTGGGGAACCCTCACGGCTTTCTAGGCCTTCAGAAAAGGCTTAAATATTTTTGAGAATTAAACAAAACTTTTCCATATTATCAGGGGTATCTAGACAGATGCAGATGATAGATGCTGGGGCCAATTTCCTGAGAAAATAGTCACTCTAGGCTTCCAGAAAATCCTAGATATGTCACTCACTGCAAATATAAGCAGTCGAATAACCAGATTTCAGTTAGCTGTTAGAAATTTTAAAAAGTGGCAGCAGCTCTATGCCAGGCCTCCTTACTGTAAGGTTCTGGTGTTTCTCACTCTCTCTCTTTCTCACACACACGCACGCACACACAATATGCTTTTCTGAGTGCAGTGCAATTTGTGAAACACTGAATAAAAATCGTGTAGTTGTAGGTTATCATTGTTTTTTAAATGTGGCAGTAAAGGTTCTACTTTGCCTGTTCCAACTTTTAACATCTCAGAAAAACAATACTGTGTTGCATATCATGTACGGTGAAAGTATTGTGATACTTTTGCCATATCGCCCACCCATAGCTGTCTGTTTTTTACTGGCTGGTCAATGTATCAGTCATCGTTAGAGGCTTGACATTGCTCATTTCAAAGACCTATCAAAGTTCTGGTATTGGAGGAGGGGCCATTTTAAAAGCAGCACAACAAAGTTCATCAAGGAGGATGGAGTTTTCTCATGCTTTCAGCTGTTGGCTCACTGATTGTGTACTACCATGCTATCTTATATGTAGTCACACTAGCTTTGTAATTCTTTTACCTCTCGTAGCCACAAGAGCTTTGTAACCCTTTTACCTCTTGCAGTCACACTAGCTTTACTGCCTCTCTGCTTCGCCCTTTATATGCTTCTCTCTCATGCTGCTCTGCATGCTCACATATCCTACAGCAAGGCACCAACCTTTGTATTTACCTTTCGTCATAGGTAAAAACAGAGTAGGCAGCCTTTTGTTTTGTTGTTAGATTACTGTATTATACTCAAGTAGTGTATATTTCTACCTCAGTAACTGCTGTGCTCACATACGTTATAACCTGGCTGCGTATACCTACATATCAGAGCATGTTAAATATCTCTGCACCTTATCCTCACTACCTCATGCTCAGATATGAGCGTTGTGTCAGCACTGCACTGTCCTGTTTACTGTGTCTAATGTCTGTTTTATTTATCGTATTTATTGTATTGTTTCTAGTTTAATGTTTGCACACTTACGTTTTCACTTTGTCTGTACTGTATTATTTGGTTCCATGTTGCACCATGGTCCTGGAGGAACGTAATTTCGCTCCACTGTGTACACAGATGGAATGACAATAAAAGCCTCTTGACTTGACTTGACTGTATGTCTACCCTAATACACACCACATTAAATGGTACAAAGGTGGAAGCTGTGTTTTGTGTTCCTTCCTGGTTCGTTCTCCACACTTCATATTTAAACCATATGTTAGTAGCCCCACTTTACCCTAGACTGCCCATTCAGTATTAACAATAATAATAAAAATAAACTTTATTTATATAGAATCGTTCTTATATCCAAATGCAGCTTTACAATGAGGTAAACAGATCAAAGCCGGCATGCAACAATTAAACAGGTAATTAACTCAAACTCTCCTCAATACTGAACTCTCAAAAATGAGTTGTGGCACAATTAATTATGAACCAGTGGAATATGGGGGTGCGTCTACCTGTGTGGGTGAGTATGGACTGCCAGGATCAGTGCTGCTCAGCAGAGTCTCGCTGTTCATCTTGGTCTTCAGGCAGGCAATATAGCGGCTGCAGAAATCTTTACACAGATCATTCACCTTCTCAAGCTCCAGCAGGTGGATCCGCAACACTTGTATCGCCTTTACCATCTTCGGCAAGCCAAAATAATCACAGGAACAAAGTATAAAACTCTGTATGGGTTTACAGTTTTAGTTTGTGGTGAACAAGATTTGTGAGGAACAAGGTCTGGCTGATCTTAGATAAGGTTTTAGATTTTAGTTTATGAACAATCTAAAAACAATAGCAGCTGTTGGCATCCAATTTCATTAACTTTTTTTTTTCTTTACCTTGGTGATTTATAACTTAACTGGGATTTTCTGAAAAACTTAAAACTCCTACATGAGCGTTTCCCACCCTTACCCTTACTAGTCTTGGTGGAAGTAAATACCGGTAAAATTGTGAAAAACCCAATGAAACTTTAGTCAGTTTTTATTTTAGTTTTATAATGAGCATTGTATAATATTATATCTTATTGGAACATATGCTAACATGTGCACCAGTAAAATCTCCTTGCACATCTTGTCCTTCTGATTCTGATTCTAAAAAGATTCTGAAATTTACGTAGATGCTCGGGCAACTTGTATATACTCTTTTTCAAGCAAGAACTGTTTGAAGCTCAGTTTCCCGGTCATGATGCTCGAGGGAAAAACTGCCAACTATGTCTTACTTCCCCACTATCAGTGAGTGTTAGTGGAGGAGACGGCTAGATCCTCACCAGGTTGTCGAGTTCTGGGTCTTCACTGAAGAAGGCCTTGCTCTCTTTCTCTTGACTCCGGACAAAGTTCTGGATGTCTACATCAAAACTGGCTGACGTCACACACTCCGAGCTTTGTGTGGACTGTTCACACTTCTCAAAGAGCAGTGCTAGGAGGGGGAACAGGGGGTGTCTGTCACACAAACATACAGACATACATGTCTCAGAGTGAATGACTGATTTCAATAATACAATAATTAATTTAAAAAGTATTCTAAAATGATTCTAATATGATGCTAGCACACTACAATATTAAAAGGTGTCAAATAATTTGTAAGAAGCTGTAAAAAAAAAATTAGACGTGTCCAGAATGATGAACAAATCTGTAGATAATTTTAGAATAACTGACAAAGCTGGACAGGGGTGGGCAATATGACAAGATATATTGTTGTAATGATAAATTACATCACATTACGTCACTGTACGCTTTTCTGAGCATATCTTCGGTACTTAAACAACACTGACCAACAGCATGTTTCATTATAAAGAGAGCATAATTAGGCCTGGTTAAAATACCTCTATTCAATATTTTTTTTTGTACTTTTTAAATGTGACACTGATGGTTCTTTTTTGTTTGTTCAACTTATCAAGTCTCAGATTCTCAATCAATAATGTAATTAATATTGTATATGGAAATGTCTACAACAGGGGCGTCCAATCTTATCCGCCAGTGTGGCTGTGGGTTTTCTTTCTAACAATGCAGGAGCACACATGATCAGTTGTTGTAGTAAGTAGAAATTAGGTGTATTCCAGCTTTGTTGGAAAACCTGCAGACATACTGGCCCTTTATGGATAAGACTGGACACCCCTGGTCTAGAAGTATAACAATGTTATACTCCAGCCATATCACAACCCCTGTATAGCATTCAGAATGCTGAGTTACCTCAGCTATTATTACTATCCTAGCCTTTTTCAGCTCATATCTTTCAGCTTGAAAACAGCCAGTTTGTAAAGAGGTAGTGAAAACTGAAGCCATGCCTGATAAGCGGTGCTGAACGCTTTGATTCATTCAATTTATAAGAGTAGAGTGTAAAAATGAATTTACACCTGATTTTTAATCGGCTCAGGTTAAAAACAGAGACAGAAAACCAGGCCTAGTCAGTCATGCTGACATTTTTCTGAATGCAAAGTTTTATTTGTCTACAGGCAAAATAAACAGTTCACTCTTTAAAGGGTGATGTGTTTTTATTTTTATATTAAATACAAAGATACCAAAACCGTACCGTTACTGTGGCCCAAAAACCGTGATACTTGCCGAATCGTGGGCTCACTGTATATAACTGTATGTGTTATAATATGTATTGTGATAATTAGGGTAACAAACAAGTTGGAATGAACAAAATGCACCAGTAAAACAACAGCAGTAGTAGTTTTAGAGGTTTTGGTTGTGACAGAAATAATATTATTATATTGCCCCTCCATAATGACGTAATTTTAAACTTTACTTTTAAACTTTGATTTTAAAAGTTGGTGTATGTGTAGACGGAATGAATTCCAGTTATACAGTGATAGGGGCAAAGAAAGCTGAAACAAGAGAGAGAGTGAGAAAAATAGAGAGAGAGATAGAGAGAATAGACAGAGTGATAGAGATATATATATAGAGTGCTCTACCTGTAGATGGCGGCTTTTTGGGCCTCCATGGGAGTCTGTGGTTCAGCTGGCACTGGGTCGCTCTCTTCCTCTTCTTTCTCCTCTTCCTCCTCCAACTGCTCCTTCGTTTCTCCCACTGCATGCTCCTCCTCTTGCATCTATCCAGAGAGAGAGAGTCAGAAATAGAGAGAGAGAGAGAAACAGAAAGACAGAAGATAAGGGCCAAATTTGAAAGTACTTCTGTGTTGGCTGACGTACGATGACTGTGAGGATGCTAGCAGGCAGGCCTGCAGTTTCTAGTATGTGTGTGTGTAGGAGGTGAAGAACACACAGCATCTCTTTCATCCCCTAACCGGACGATCAAGAGGGCAGGGGGGCGGAGCAGCTACATTCAAGGATGGGACCCTAAGGGTAGGCATGGGGTTTTAAACTGTGTGTGTGTTAAAAGGGCACTGAGACTGGAGACACAAATCACTCTCACAAATGCACTTATTCCTTAATGTCAAATCACTACTGTTTTTTCTTTGTCATTTTATTGCTTATATATAGCTTCTACGAAGTCATCATAATTTCACAGAAGCCCAACAATGTATTATATGATTTTCAAAGTGAAAAAAATTAACACATCCTCTACAGAGAAGAAACTTAGATGTGACATTTTCTGCAAACCACTGAGATGTACACAGATCATCGAGATGTACACAAAGTCATTTAGACAATTTTAATATGAAAAGGTTCACTGTAGAAAAACTGACACAGATTTTCTTTACAGTGGTGGTGATGGGAACCAGGGGCGATGATGTCTACAATGCAAATATAACCACTTTATTTACTATCCAAAATAACCAGTGAGCATAAACATGTCTTCTGAGTTTATATAGGTAATTGGTAATTATGTTACAAATGTGGTAAATTTAAATTTAAAATTTAAAATTAATTTGCTTCAAAAAACCCTGCATGTACCTCTCTGCCATGAATGTATTTAAAAAAGAGTTCAAGGCCAAACCCTTCTCAAAACTGTCCTGAAAAAACAACAGTACCCATTTTGTGTTAGAAACATTCTGTGATGGAGCTTTTAGAGCTATTAAATACTTCAGACGTCTGGTTCCTATCACCACCACTGAGAACAATTCAAGACTAAGCGTCATTCAAGAGTAAGTTTCTCTAGAACAACAATTTAATTATACAGGATTTTTACAAAAATGCTGAATTTTGGGGAAAACTGATTCCACACTCATAAATGGTTGGAAATTAATTCAAAATACACACATTTTATATAGAATTGATACATTTAATCTAAAAAGAATCAATGTTTTGCAAAACAGTTTACAGCCTTTTAATACTGACTTATTATTATTATTATTGATTATTATTATTTCTCTCTTTTACATTCTTTATTCCTTGCATTATATCTTTTTATACCAGTTGTTTAATCATACCATCTACAAACAAAAAACCCCAAAACCTTACACACTAACATGACATTTGTAAGTAACACACACACACACACAATATATATATATATATATATACATATACATACATACACACACACACACACACACACAGCTGTAGCTGTGAGCCAAAAAGTACAACAGTCTTTTTGTCTTGGAACGTCTCCATTTAAATCAAGATATTATCACCGGACGTGAATCAAAAGCTTCTTTATATTGTTCCGTTACACAAGCGCAGAGCAGAGAGCGACCTTTTACAGTGAAGGTGATATAAACCTCAGTCATTCACACAAGGCTGTTAAACTCAGAAAAAGCTGAACTGCATGTCTTAGCCTGGCAGATGTGAAGGTTATGGAAATTTCCCAGCATGGTTCCTCATATTAACTGTTACTTTACTTTCACATTACTTTCATTGACATTAACAATTTATCATTTATACCTGGAAACAAACAACAGAGGCTTTCAGAACTTTGAAAAATTAAAAACAAAGAAAAGTCATGACATGGAAAAAGAAGAAGAAATATTGAAGATTCTGCACTATTTCTAGGTCACTATTCAAATGTAAGCAAATTTGTGACACCGACCACATTTGTACAAAAATGTCTTTTTTTTCTGTTGAAGCCCGTGTTCAGACGGCTCTGAGGAGGAAGCAAAAGAGAATACCAAATTCTTTTCTATTAAATATGTTTTCTTCTTTTTTTTCCAGACTGAAAAAATGATTAACTCGCACTTACTGGCTGTTTTGACTGAATATAAATTAAATGAAGGTTTTTTTTAGACTTTAACACAGTATTGTTCAATTGGTCTTTTTAAAGCTTCCTTGCATTTTTTTTCCATTAAAAAATTTTGCTATCTTTGAAAGGCCACACATGGTTGGTTATTGTTCGATTACATCCATTTTTAATTCTGATTACTCGTTGTCAAAATAAACAGTCAACAGTGATCGACAGCAACAGCCCTAGTCTCAATGTTTGTGTGGGTACATATATTTATGTTTTATTATTTATTTTTTTGGTGGTGGGGATCTTACCATCTTCTCAGCATACACTTGAGCACCTGCACAGCCCAAAATAAGAATGTATTCCTAAAATGTGAATTCATAGTGTTACTACAGAACATAAAAACCCAGCTTAACAATAAAACACACTAAAATGATCCACTACCTCTGTCAGTGTCTTCTTTTCTCTCTCTTACAAGTGCAGGCGCATGTGATTGAGCTCGTGACAGGCGGTAACAATGGCATTGATTGAAATTAACATTTAAAAAACTCTTCTCTGTGCAGCTATAAAGCCGTGGCTCAATCTTGAATGTCTTCATCTTTGACCACAGGTCCTGTAATCCACATGACCAATACTGTATTAACAATTTGCGAGGGACATTTGTGTAATAGAAATGACACAATACGATTTTGTTCTGGTATCAATATTTCTTCATTAAAAACCAGTAAGCTTTAAAATGAGCTATATTTTTCTTTGGAGCACTTCACTTAAGAGGAGCATCTAAAAGCAGGATATCATGCTCATACTACTCAAACACCAAGGCTGAGTGATGTGAAAAGAATATCTAATTGATTTTTCTGACCAAGACTGCAACTGCAATTTAAATGCGATCATTTTCTATAAATTGATATTAATAAATATAAATTATTTATTTTGTCAAGAAGACCAGTAAATCTGTTTTTTTAGACTTGAGGCTTGATGCTGAATGGAGTGTACCACACTGCCAGTTGCACAGGCTCCGTGTTATTAGGTTAAATGTACCCATTTAAAATTTGTTAAGACAACATTGAATACTGTAGGACATCACTAAAATGGCAGCTCTTGCAATTTGAAAAAAAGAAAAAACACACTCCTTCAAATAGAGATAAGGATTGGACCAGATTTAATATCTTAATTTCTAATTCCAGACCCAGCATTTTCTGCTGATAGACAGCATTTTCAACCCCATACTGACACTAGTGATGGGGGAGTTGATTCTAAATTAATCAGTTCTTACACAGCAACACATCTGGAAGTTGGGGTCAACTCCTGACCAATGAATGAGAGTGGAAATGCTTTGATTTGACTCTTCAACTCTGTTTTTTTTTTCGTAATTGGCTTGAGGGACATTTTTGAGGGAGGTGTGAGTAAAGCCATGAAGAGTCTAAGTCACATGAGTTTGTTTAATTATCAGGCTTTAAACAACACCAATGCTGCAAGCACAAAGTCTGGTCACAAAAACGTTGCAATGTGTCCTACACTAGTCTGCACCCCACTCTACATTTTCTTCATGATTAGGGCTCCAACAATTAGACAGTACAAGGAACAAAAAGGAAAACCAAAAACAAAGAATATTTCTCATAGAACATTGTGGAAAAGAGGATGAAGCTAAAGTTGGCGACGTACCTGCCATATACTCATTTGAATTTTCCATTCCATCTTAAATAGTGCTGCAGGTACATACTGGCACCAGAGCACCATTAAGGTAACCTAGGTAGGTAGGTAAGGGTGCATCATTTAAGGTGGAAAGGAAAAGTCAAATAAGAAGCTGGCGAATACAACGGCAACTTAAAGCAAAAAGAAGAACAAGATAATATCCAACTGCTCTGGAACAAAACCTCGTTTCCAAATAATTAAAAAAATATATACAAATAAATAAAATAAAAATGATTCCCTTTTTAAATATTATGACTACAGAAATGATTTTCTCAGTACATCACTTCGAGCACTCCTCCGCCCCTCAGTATGCAAAATAGGTTGATGGTAAGATGTGTTGAAACATAAGTCAGCTGTGATCATTTGTTATGCTATCTGATATTACTAGGTATAACCTACCAATTTATCATATCACTATAATCTGTAGCTCCACAAAAAAACTGAGTAAACGTTAAGAATGCTTTAATCTCTGCTACATGCTTTTTTTAAAAAAAATACATTTTAGATTCTTACTGTATATCCTAAGCAACATCCTGAACTACTCAAAAAACTGGGTACATTTAGGATGGTTTAATCTCTGCTATATGCCTTTATCATTGGCTCTGGCTCCGTCTTGGTTAAAATTGATTCGAGGAGTCGACTACAAAAAAAATCTGGAGTCGTGCACTACTAACTGACAAATGATTCGACCGAAATCAGTGAATTCACAAAAGAGAAAATGTGGCAATAACTAATTAATTCAATCATTCCAATTCAAAAAGCAAAAGCGAACAGCTACTTCTGAAAAAAGGGGAAATCAAAATAAGCTCTTATAAGTAGTATTTAAGTAGATACATTTGTTAGTGCATCTATTCTGGAATGTTAGAATTGCTCATATATATTATAACAGATCAAAATATTCAGTAAAGCATTTCAATTTCTTTACTTTTTTGATTTGGTTTATTGTACTTATTGTATTAATTCCACTACTGTGTAAATAGTCCTCCAGTCACAACTGTGTATTCAGGGTATTTTTTATATTATAAAATCTAATCAAACTGAATTGTGGTGAAATTTAAGGTTTTATGAAGCAACAATCTGTTTCCTAAAGAATCGTAATCTAAGTAAATTCAAAAGCATATCAGTAAAAGACTACAACTTACAGAACTTTTCCAATAAAGCTATTTCACTCCACTGTAAGCTAGATTTGTATAGCTTGTGACTGCATACACATTATGTAAATTAAAAACAAATTGTCTGGTGCTTTTAAATACGCATCTTTAAGTAATTTAGCATTGCTTATTATGCCCAGATATTTTTTTCATGCATTTCTGGGGGACAACCTGCTTCCTTCAGAAATTCAGAAAATGTAGGCTGATGTTGCCATAAGGTTACTTTCAAATGAATAATATATCCACTAGAGACAAGCCTATGATACAGTTTGGAAAAAAAAAAAAACACACAAATAAATGTTGGTAAACTAAAAGAAGCTTTGGTGTAGCTGATCTTTTAAAGGGATACTCCAGAAGTTTTTTGTGAGCTCTATCTGCTGCATCTGTATCTTGCTTCAGCATCTGCCCACTGGCTTCAGTTATATGGTAAAAACAAACTAAACAACCTTTGTTACAGATGTGGCAGAAAGAGATTAGGATGAAAAACACTGGAGTATTCCTTTAACCCTTTGCCAGTCACTTCTATGGAAGTGTCACTCGTCATGTGAGAGCTATAAAGTAGTTGTAGTAGCTTTTATTGTCCCCAGTGGGGATTTTTCAACAAATCACGTTGAGGTGACACTGAACATGGACAAACAACAGTAGCCACGTAAAACATTAACACAATATAAAACACAACCTATGCAACAGGCTTGCTGGTTTGTACTGATGTTCTCTTACTTGTACTGATGTTCACTCCTAAACTAACCCACCACATTGAGCCCATTATACCCTCAGGAGCATCTGAATGGGAGCATTAGGTTTATATGGACTAGTACTTAATACCAGCATTAAATGATTTAATAATTGTGGTAACTGTTAATATCAGCTGTGATGTCATTTAACATGGTCAGGAATGGTGAGTGTAAGCTTAAAAGTCTCTATAAAGACAGGTACACACGCATGAGACTACTCAATTCTCAGAAGTGAAAGGTTTTCCTCACTTCCGAAGTGTGTGGTACAATATAAAACAAGCAATTATTCTTGTTTTACTGGCAGGATTTTTGCAGTATGGAAAAATTTACAAGACCTTAATATTGGCCAACTGATATATCGATAAGGCCTTAACATGCTTAGCATTGCAATAAAACTCCACAGGTGAATCACTGGGACCAAAATGAAAATCAGACAAATTAGTTACACACTATTGCTGCATATATATCAAACCCTTTGGTTCTATGTCATTAAAAAAATACTGTCTGTACAAAAAAAAAATGTTTATGTCTACTTCCACAAAGGTACAGCTGCAGATACAATGTGCAACCCGTTTAATTTCCTCAGAATTTTCGATGGCTTTGTATTTAAACTGTAATTCCAGACTTTTAACAATTTCTGTAAATTCAATCATTACAATGTAAACAAAGTCATTTGGTGGTTTGTTGCGAAGTTCTCTGCTCTAGAGAAATTTACTGAGTCAGAAATGTTCGCAGTGATGGTAATGGGAACCAGATGTCCACCTCTGAAAGCTCCCTTACAGTAAGTTATTATATGATAACATTATGAAGACTCTGCCAGATGCCTGAGACATTGTTTTATGTTTGGAGGATTTTGGCCTAAAACTTCTCAAATCCACTCATGTTGAAGAGATACATGCAGGGTGTTATAATGCAAAACAGTTCCCAAAGAAAACATTTTTTTCCAGATCTGACTATTTTACCTTCACTAGTATTAAAATACAAACCCAGAAGACATGTAGAGGTTCACTGGTGGCTTTGAATAGTAAATAAAATACCTATATTTGTACTGTTGACATCTCACGGTTGCTATCACCACCACTGTAAGGAAATCTGAGAAAAACAGCCCCCAATAAACTTTGGCTCCTATGTTAATAGATGCTGGATGTAAGATTATACATTTATTTGAGCACAGGTTTAGGACACGACTCACCGCATCACACAGGCTCCCAAAATAGCTGTTTCAATGTGCCCCATGTTTTAAAAGTAGGCAACACGATCAAACATAATCCTTACTCACCTGTTCAGCCTCCTGGAACTCCTCCATGGCCACCGATGGGGAAGTCATCATAGTTACTGTTGCTGCTGACAACACTTGAGCATTTCTAGCGCACCCAGTTTCAGCACCACAACTGGAAGAACACAGGCCTCCTTGCATTATCAACAATAACGCTTTATTTTTCAACCATTTAACAGATATTCATACATTTCAGATCATTACTGTACAGCTTGAACAGCACATGTTAAAGAAATGGGTCACAACTTAAAAATAAGGCTGCTTCACATAGGATAGAGTGCCACTGTAATAATAACCTGTAGCAATGAAATAATAACCCAGGGTTCATTCTGAAGGTTGTTTTCACCTTTCTAAATGTAGCACAAGGGCATGCATGGACTGAAACATAAGATGTGTGTGTTGTGTCCAAGACTTCGAGGTCATTCAACTCCTAAAGTGAACTTGTAACTCATATGGGGGGGTGGAGGTGGGGGTGGCCATGGAGAGCAACAACATTTCTTCTGAACCAGAACTAGTTAGCTAGAACAGCTATTTGCATTTCTATTGCAGTTGTGGTTTAACTGTGAGGTGATCGTAAACTGAGTCACGAAGACGGATAATGAAACTGCCTCCATGTAACCTTACAGCAGAAACAGACTGAAGTTGGCTTTTTTTCCCGTTCCACCTTAAACGGTGCAGCAGTTACAGGCGCCAGAACGTAAATGCTGCACCATTTAAGGTGGAACGTTAACATTCGAACAAAACGCTGCCGAATAAACAAGCGGACCTCTGCTTCTTTAGCTAACCTACAGCAGAACGACTTCATGAGGCTTCTGTGAGGAAAGGCGGTCGCACGGAACAAGCTGGCAAGAAACGCAGCCCATTTCGACTCGTCTTTTCATTAAACGACCTGCTCCAGGCGGCATTAGCCCAGCCCTTGTTGAGCTAAATCGCGTTTTAGCCACCAAAATGAACGGCAGCGAGCAGACAAGGCGGTTTCGCGTCCGTTAGCTACGTTGGGTTGGAAGTTATTTTCGTATCTTCTCCTAAACACTAACTACCGCCGCCGCCATGTTCCTCCTGAACGTGTTTTTAACACATGCCCGGGCTGAACTTAACGTTACTCTGATTAATAAAACGAGGAAACTCCCCTTTACAACATGGACCGAGTAACGTAACTACAACCGTGTTTCACAGTAACGTACATCACGCTTTCAAAACTATCTGAAAACAAATCCATGAAATTCGTTAGCTTCTTATTCGAATGTTCCGTTCCACCTTAAATGGTGCAACGCTTACATTTTGTAACGGCTGCACCATTTAAGGTGGAACGGAAAATTCGAATAAGACGCTGGCGAATAGGAAGCCAACTTCAGCCTCGCAAAATAAAAACCAAAAAAAAACGTCGTCCGTTCCGCGAAGAGACAGAAACGTTTTCTCTTCTGACTTGTGAGAGAGAGAAAGGGGGAAAAACCACCTCGCGTCTGTTTCTTTAACGAAAATAAAAGCCTGCCCATCGCCTATCAATCAATCTAGGGACAGCAGGACTATCCCTCCCTACGATACGAGCTGCCCGCCATTCGCCGCTTGTACAAAAGATCATAAAAAAAAAAAACACATTGGGCCCTCGCCGCTGCCTTGTGCTCTCGTCCTCCGTCAGCCGAAACCGCCATCATATTTTCTTTTTTTCCTCTAACGTCAGAGTCGGAAAAAGCAGACGGTCGGGACGCTTCTCCCCCCGGGCAGCCCTCTTTACTGCGCGCCCGGGGCATTATAGCGCGGAGCCGAGATCGCCCTGATTGATAGGGAGTAAAAAAAGGGAGATTTTGAGTGACAGCTTACCTCAGTGCCAATCTTCATCACAATGACAAGCGGCTGCAGCAATCGGGACCCGCAGTTGTTGCATTGCGTCACCACGCAAGGCACGCAGGCCGCTTCGCTCATGAATATTCATGCAGTGGGAGGAGATGTTTTACGCTTTACGAAAATTGTTCTCGCCCCCCTGAGAACGCTCACTGTGTCCTATGGGAACCTTAGGTGCAGATACACAAACACCTACAAATACCGACACCCCTCACTGTCTCTCTCACTAATAGGGTGCTGTAATATCTGTATCCACAGTGCTCATCTAAAAACACTGTACACCAGTATTAGAGTTTCATATGCACTTTATCAGAAACTTTCTCACCCACCACAACCTATGTGTTTATAGTCGCATGCAAATGTGTGGGTGTCCCTGCTCACATGACATGTATTGTTGATCTTTCTGTGAAACCAAGTACACTCTCTACAAAGAAAATACATTTTAATGCACATTTACTTGCTAATGTTTACATACTGAAAAAAATAAAATAAAAAAAAAAAAAACAAATGTGGCCTACCCAAAAGGTATGGCATAGTTATTTATATTTTGTTTTTATTATTTTCCAACATTTTAAATTCAGCAAAAAATAAATAAACACATAAAAATTGTGCACTAAAGTTTGCAGAAAAGCACCACATTTAAATATGTTCCTTGTAGAGTATGTGCTGATGCATATAAACGCTGCTCTGTTGAAAACTGCCAAAATAATGCTTGGTGGGGGTCCTGCTCAATCATGGTCCTGTGTGGTCTGGACCATTGAGGAACAGGGTAAAGTCAGGCTAACAAATTATGCATAGAAACAGGTGGACTACTATCTTCAGAACTAAAAAGTGCACCTATATTGTAAGTTGACCTGATTAAATGAACATGGCTGTAGACACAAGGTAGTGTACCTAGTAGCCAGTCAGTTTACATTATTGGATCCCAGTGAAGTTACTAGGATGTTATTTTATTTGACACTGATCTAAAATAAAACAGGCTAGTCATGTGATTCATTTCTATAAATTACTTTATTTTCCTTTTTTTGCACAGTGTTCCCTTGAGATTTATTTCATGGTTTGTCATCAGTTATCTGGCCAATTAAAGTGCTACATCAAGATAATCAGAATTGTTTCTCATAATTAATTACAAAAATATATAAACATAATGGATAAACATTCACTGCACCTTACAATGTTATTTGGTAATACAATAAAAGTCACACTTCTTTGGAAAGCTGTGAGCAGCTGTTATTTATTTGGAGCTGATTTCATCCAACACAGGCTCTGAGAAAGAGAAAACAATTGTAGTTTTAGAAAAAGCGTCACTCAAAATGACAAACAAAACACCACACCATTAAAAAAAGACCACATTGTTGTAACACAAAGTCTTGCCCACCTGGGAACTTAAACTCTGGGAAAGCCGTGAGGTCCCCATTACCATAAAGTCTTTGAAGCTTAGTCAGTTCCTCTGAAAAGGCTTTCTCATACTCTGGGCCGGCATCAACCAGCCCACTGCAGGCCCTGAGGGACATAGAAGAGGAGCTAGCATTAAGAAAACTGGGAAATGAGGGACAGGCTGGATTAACATTCAGTGGTTTAGCGTACTGTTAACACAGAGGAGATGAAAAAGGGGAGATTTTTTTGAAGTTCACAGAAATTTTTGTGTACATACTTGCTCTTGGTGGAGTATTCACGAATCTTATCTAGGAACAGTCTCTTTATTGGGTCCAGTTGTGCTGGAGATAAGAGCAAAAATATACACATATACCTTATATGTACAACTTATCTTCTTGTTCCAAAATGCAGTAGCAGTGAAAGATCAAAAAACTGACCCAAGATTAACATCTACTCTCTAAAATTTGTTACACGCCAACCCAGATACCCAGAAACTGCCAACGAAATTTTAAGTGAATAAATACATTATACCTTGAATGAAACTTCAATTTAAAAAGGTACATTTTCACCAACACGTTTAATCCTGTCCACTGCTTACTGAGATCAGCTGAGCATTTCATTAATAAGAATAGAGTTACAGTATTTTATGTGACAAATATATGAGGAAACAACACAACCATAACAAGAACAAGAACAGCTGATTAAAACTGTCGAGCATTTATAACTATAAAACAAAACGTGGAAACGTTGGTCCAGAAGGGAACCCAATGTTTAAACTAATTAAACAAGTAAGTAGGCACATTTAAATGAATGTTGGCAGCATGAACTAAGGTAGGGGTCGGCAACATGCAGCTCTTTTACTGCCCTGGTGGGGCAGATTTTAGGTAACCACAAAATAATCCTTTTCAGTAAAAAAAAAAAACTCTGCCGATTGTTCTAACACAGTTTTAACAATAAATGGCCTTAAATGCAGGTGTTAATATATAACTGCTAATTCACCCTTTAACCCTGAAGACTGGTGTTCAGACTGCTGGTCACATAGCAACGCAGACAACAGTCTCACCTAGCTAGTAGCTAACGAAAAGACAAAAGGAAAAGTTTAAGATAAACATTGATAATTGGAGACGAACAGGCTTATTTGCGTTTATAATCACTCTAGCTTGTTTGCTGATACATTTAATTTGCAATGAGAAACTGTCAAACACTAAAAAGTCATAAGGCTAAGCCAGCTTCTTGTTTGAATGTTCCCACTCCACCTTAAATGGTGCAACAGTTACATTCTGGCACCTCAGGCACCAATCAAGGAGGAATGGGAATGGAGGAATGGGGAATGGGAATTCGAACAAGAAGCTGGTGAATAAGATGCTGAATTCAGCCCTGTACAAAAAAGTTTAATGTTAAGAGACATTTCACAAGAAACTATTCTACTTTTGCAGAAAAGTTTCCTGCCAGAGATGCGAGAAAAGCGTCTATAGCTGAGCTAAAGCTTAGTAGTAAAGTAAGCGTTTTTGTTTATATTTTTAGCCCATACTTGAACATTAGCACAAACTGAGACATATTTACAGCCAAGATGGAAAAATGGACATAAAATGTGGCTCCCAAAGTGGTTTGATTTTTGTTGAAAGGACAAAATGGCTTTTCGTTACATTTGGGTTGCCGACCTCTGAACTAAGGCAATGCAATAATAACAGCAAAGACAAATAAGCAATACCACAACATGCAAATTAATCAAACATAAAATTAAAACCTTAAGTAATATGCCTGTGAGATTTGTACATAGAAGGCCAAGTTGTAATTGTGCAATGGATATTTTAGAATATTGCTTTAAAATGCAATTTCCATAAATTGCAATTTCTGCCTGTTTTGGAGGCCCCCTGGTGAATTATACATTTTCTTCTCTTTCATAACATTGATATAATATATTTAGACAGAAATGTGTGTGATTTACAAGACGGGGTGATCAAGCAAGTCAACATTTGTAGTGTTTAATTGCGTTTAAAAGCTATTTCTTTTATTGTGGCTGTTAACTTTTTTTTGATATCAAGGAAGCAATTGTCTGTCCATTTTATCATCACAGCTCACTTTGTGGAGATATGTGAACTATTTTCAAAGAAGGGGGTTCTCCACCTCCCCTTTCACCTCATTGCTCATTAGCAGCTAAACACCAAGTCTCAATGAGAATGGCACCTAGAGGGCCTGCAAAAAAAACTTACAACAAACCTAGTCTGTGGAATATATGAGATTGCAGTGAACTCTGAGCAATAAAGCCAGAGTGCCATATTAGGATGATCATAATTTAAGAAAGATGAGCAAGCCATTATAAAAAGCTGATTATATCACTGAAACAGCTGTGATAAACATACTATACTTCACTGTACATCAAAGACTGTACTGAGGTGTGGTTTGACTCACATCCATGGGCCGTTCCATGTTTAGCTCTGACTGAGTGATCTCTTTTATGAATGACCTGCTTCTGACAATTGGCTTTACAAAGTACGCTGGCCTATTAGCTACACCTATATGTTTGGCCATCTGTGTGAATTATGTCTTGAGGGTGCAGGACTTGTCTTTAGAAACTAGTTGACCCACATAAAACTAGTATGTACTCTGGTTAGACATGTGCCAGTATTTGTTAAGTGAGTAAACTGTGATATTAAACATTGAAAGTAACATTGATGTTGACACTTTTAAATACTGTCACTTTTAAATTTGGCAATTTACTGCCAAATGCAAACAAGATTAAATTTCGCTGGAGATTTTTTTAGACACACAGTGTAGCTCTGCTTTCACAGACTCCCACTGAACTCTAACCACGTGATATGGCACCTTCTTCTGAGCGGTGTGTGTAAACAGTCACAGCTGTTTATATGTATGTATTATACATGTTTATATCACAAAACTGTATGAAGTAAAAGTGACAAAACTGAACTTCGGCAGACAGCTAATGGGCCAACACACAAATCTGTCACAGAATCACTGACATGACATGTAAACGATGATTATATGATACAGCACAGAATATGGCATTTTTATGTAAACATAGTATGTTCCATGCTGTATTTTACATTGAAGCAGCTTCAAAGCTCTTGGTCAGGGTCATAGTGTTATATGGCAGGATTCTCAACTGTAGCCTAATGCAAATTGTGCTGTATTTTACAGTAAATACTACAAACATCTACTGCTATTTAAAAGAAAATGCGTTCTTTAAAAGTGTTTTTAATGCAATATTGTGATAGGAACCTAAACTGTGATAAAACGTTAATTGACGTGACAATTTTTTATACTGGCATGTGCCTAAGTATGATTCAAACATAACAGACCAGAAAAAAGTGATGAGTACCCTCTGAAGACTCCTTGACTGCCTCCTCTCCTTCTGTCTTTAGTCCATCTTCTGCGAATTCTCCATTCAATGGTTCAGGGCTCTGGGCCACTGAAGCTTCAAAAACCATCTCTGGTGTGAAGTCCAGAACCTTTTCTGTCATGGCAACTATCTCTTCAGCCTGACTTGAGGAACCCCCAGGGATTTTGGCAGTTGTATGCCGATGTGCCCTTCCTACAGGTGTGACCACTGAAATGGAGTTAGTGGTCACTGCTTTTGCACAGTCAACGTCTTCTTGAATGGCAGTGTCTTTATATGGAACCACAGGTGAAACCCCAAGTTCTGTCACTGGAAGCTCTAGAACAGCATGAGATGAAACCTTTGCCCCCGGAGCACTTTCATGAGCAAGTTCTTCAGAAATGATCTTTGAGGAAGATGCATAGCAGGCAACATCAGTAGGAGTCTCAGAAGTCAGTGGTCTAACATCTTGCATCTGTGTTTGGGTAACTTCTACTCTTGATGGGACATCTTTAGAAGAAAGTGATGGTGGGGATGTTGCATCATCCAGGGCATGAATGATTTCTACATCTTCAGCAGTTGGAGTGGCTTTGGTAGAACTATATCCTGCAGGAGAAATTTCTGGAATAAACACCTCAGGGACGGCCGGGATGTCCACAGCACCGACAGACTGAGAGTCAACAATTTCAGCAGTCACTGTGCCTGTGGTTGAAAGGACCCCAACTGAAGGCTCTTTCGATGCGATCTCTATGTCAGTGAAACCACTGACTGGATCAACTTCCTCAGAGTATGTAACATCTATGGGGGCAGCATCAGAAACAGCTTCAGGTGGTGCTGTAAAGGTACTTGCATTTTTGTGGGCAGTTTTTTGTGGACTTTCTGCCATTTCTCCTCCGGAAGCTTCGAATGATGTGCCAAATGGTGGAGACAATCCTAAAGAGCCAGATGCTTCAGGAGGGATTTTCTTGGTGGCGGTAGGTTCTGGCACTGTCCCTTGATCTACATTTTCAGGAAAAGTCCCTTGTTCTACAGATTTGGTAGTTTTATTTGAATCTTTGACAGAAGCGCTAGACAGGACTGGTGGTTTTATAGCATCTGAAATCCTAGATGTTGCATCCACAAATCCTGCAGCAACAGGAGTCACTGATTCAGCATCTGAAGAACTTGGAGCAGTTGGAGCTTTTTGCATAGAAGCATCTGCAGCCACAGAATCACTCAAAGCAGCAGACTGTTTTAATGCAGCAGGCTTGGCTGTCTGTGTGGCTGCTTTCAAAGCAGCTTCTGCAATTACTGACTGTTTATTCACTTTAGCGTCATTGGCCCTTTGCAGTAATAGTTTGCCAATATCGATTATTGTTTTGGGCTTTGCCTTCTCTAGGGTAAAGAGAGCAGACAGGATGTTAAAGTACTTATGAGCATTAATAAAAAACGACTTCCTCCCAGCATTAAAGATACATGCTTTTAAATGTAAGCTGTCTTAAGAAACAGTTTCATACACTGTACTATATAATGTGCTGAATAAAGGAAGAAAAGGATTCTGTATGTTTGTTTGTCAAGGTAAAGGAAAATCATGCACTTTGGAAATGAAAAACAATCGTTAATTGGCTAATAGCTCTACTTTTACATGAACATTCTAGAAGAATCAATTGAATAGTCATATTAACTTACTTATACTTGTATATCTGATTGGTTTCTTGGGATTTCCAGCTTTGGTATTGAAGTTCACTACATTTCGCGTTCCTCTTAAAATGCCAAATGAGTTTTCCATACGCAGGCGCTAATAATACAAGAGACAACAGTCAGACAGTACAGTGAGAGAGAATTTTTCTCTTCTGTTTTTGCAAGAAGTTCTCTCTCATAAAAGCGTACAGAGGAAACATTTCTGCTCCTAAGGAAAAAGAGAGAGCCGAAACAATATGTATAGTGGTGGTCTTGCTTAAGTTTCACAACTCAGAGGTTGGTCCACCCCATCGTACAGTACTGTGCAAAAGTCAGAGACCACCCTTTATTCATTTAAATTCCAGTCAAAATGGACATTAAGTATAAGTTATTACATTTTCCAGAGATATTTCTGGGCAGATCAGACACAAGACAATCAACCTGCATAAGGAAATGGAGAAAGTCACAGAACAATATGTTTCCAAAACTGAGTGAAAAATGGGACTCCTAACAACCTTGCAAGACCTGGCAGACTTGAATTTTCTGTTATATATATGCTTTGTGCTTTTTTCATGATGTTGAAAAATGAACTTCCAACTGTTTGACTGGAAATTAATTAATGGAAAGGGTGGTCTCTGACTTTTTCCACAGTACTGTATATTTGTATAAGTCTGAGTACTGAGTGCTAAAAGCCAATCTGTTCTAGTTATGAACATTCAATAATTCTTCCTGGACATACTGAACCACTGAAAAGGGACTGGCTATTTTTCTTAAACAAAGGGACTGCAGGGTTTCAACCACGAAACTGCTGTTTTCTGCAAAAAGCTGAACTTTTCTGAACTCTCTCGCTCAGACTGTGTTGCTGTGGGAACCACACTGCTGTTAAATTACTGACATCCACCATTCCATGTCACCACACAACTCATTTGACCTTTATTTATTAATCATATCACTTGCAATGCTACTCTGAAATAGATAATCTGAGTCATCATCCCTGTCGAGACAAAACCTTGTATCTCATTTTTGTCCTTTTTTTTGTTTTTTGACATAATTTGAAATTGCCTGCTTCCTTTTTCATTGTATGAAAATTTCATGAAAAATGGATCAATAACACTTATACAAAACAATTTATAACAATTTCCACAGGTCATAGTCCACAGGTTTATATATATATATATATATATATATATATATATATATATATATATATATATATATATATATATAAACCTGTGGACTATGACCTGTGGAAATTGTTATAAATTGTTTTGTGTATATATATATATATATATATATATATATATATATATATATATATATATATATATATATATATATATATATATATATATATATAAACATGTGGACTATGACTAAAAGTATAATCCAGTCAGTTAGGTATTTTGTAGGATTATGCTCCTTGCTTCCATTGCTTTGTCAGTTGTTATTTTTTACTTTCTGCCATTGCAGCAGAATCCCTGCAGCCTTAATATTCATTCATCAATCACAGATGCTACTACAGTCATACTCAGAGCTGCTAATGAATACTTGAGAGGTAATGCAATGTCCAAAAGGGCCCCATGATTATCAATCTGTAGAAAAACAAGGCAAAAAGAACTCTGGGTCTCATCTCCCTCTTTCTGATCTAGTTGGATGTTTGCTTTGGAACATCAGACAGATCTCAGCTGTCTCTCCCTCTTGCATCCCCTTTGTACTAGGCCAAAACATCATGAATCATGCACCTCAGATTTCTGTTGGGTATCCTGTGTTTTTATTAGCACCTCAAAATGGGACACCACTGCCTTGTCCAAATGGGATGCCATGCACTCCTTCTTTCTCTGACTTTTCTGTTGTTCTTCATGGACACGCTCGTGTGGTACAATGCTGGAGGTGTCCCAACTGGTGGCACCTGGAGTGTTGTGATCCTCATCTGCATGTGCGTGCGAGAAACATTACCCAGAATCGGTCCTTAAGACCAAATGACCAAATATGTTAAACTATTTATCTTGTGCCCCTGTGTTTTTTAAATAGTGTAACTAACCTTACATTCACATTACCATACGTTACTGACCGTTCGTATAACTCAAAGAGTGCTGGATAGTTAGCTAGAGCAAGAAAACAGGCAACAGAGCGGCAGATGAGCAGTCATTTCCTATGGAAGTGGGTGACGTACAGCTGCAATTTAGTGACAAGCAGCAAGCAACATGGCAGCAGGGGAACAAGCGACAAATCAAGTTGAGATTTTCTCAGCTTTATGCAAATGATTTATAGCATATAAATTATAACTCTACAGTTTCTGTTAGTTTCTCCTGCCATTTCTTTCCTACTCCCAATAGTACTGTGCAAAAAATGGAAGAGAAACTTACAAACTTGTAAACTGCAATCATATTTTAAACAAAATAGGAACACAAATAAAGTACATTTTCTATGTTTTTTTTGTCAGAAGCTGTACAGTGTACATGCCCACACGTGGCAAGAGAGCCTCAAACTCCCCCACAAGACATAAACTTTAGGCGACATTAGCGACTTGTCGCATCCTAATACGAACATAGTTAGCCTGCTGCATTGTTAAGCTGCTTGCACAACACTGCTCCTGAACTATAGGTCCACACAAGGCTAAACAATTAATCGTTTTTATATCAAAATCGCAGTGCAATTTTCAAATCGCAAGACCTACAAATTAATTCTATCCTTCTTTATTCAACGTTGTCTTAACAACTTTTGTAATTGGGGAAATTAACATAAGAACGCAGATGTTGCAAGCTGGCAGTGTGGCACACTTCCCTCAGCATTTAAGTCTCAAATCTGAAAAAAAGAATGTGCTAAATGTCTTTTCGAAAAAAGGACTGCAAACTTAATTTATAATCTATATCTATATCTCAATATAGGTCAGAAAATCACAGTTAAAGATTTTCCCCACACAGGCCTATGACCACATGTTGTTAATGTCACAAAAGTGCTGACTTGGAGGGCTTATGGTGAGATTTGGGACAGGACCTCAGAGACAGTGTCAAGTAAATTAACTTAATGAAGGGGAGGAGAAAAGCACCAGACCATATCTGTTTGTATGCTTTCCTGTGATGAATAGTTTGGTTTCATTTCCAAAAAAGGCTAAAGTTTAATGTCACAGTAACATTATTTTATGAATGAAAGTGTTTGTCAACAGGGTTGGGATGTAACGGAATACAAGTATTGGGAATACATATCCAGAATACACAAAAAGTATCTGTATTCAGTCCAAGTTACATTTAATGAAAGCAGTGTTACGAATACAGTTACTTTTAACACTTTTAGGAGGATACTTCTGAAATACTTTTAATACTTTTTCTGCCTTTTGTTTAACTATTTTAAAATCATGGTGTGTAAAAAAAAACAGCTTCTGTTCAGACACTGGAATTCTTGCTAAAGCCTGAGTAGACCGATAAATCTGAGCCAGTTATTAATCTCAGCATTACTGAACTGAATAATTGCTAAGAATTTTGTTCATTTAAATAAGTGAATTTTTCATTAAATATACTAACAAAAGAATTACATGTAGAAAACTGCTAACCAGTAAGAGCGAGGAACAGTGGATTAAATAAAAAATAATAAAAACAGCAGTTTTTCCCCATGTGCCATGTCAATATGTACTCTAAATACATTCGTTTTTTTATGTACTGTAACTGAATACATCATTGAATACATTTTGGACACTGTATTCAATATTCATCCATCACTACTTTTTGAAAATACTCCTCCCAGCCCTGTTTGTAAGTTTACCTGCTCACTCAGGCGCCCAAATCTGAGGAGGGGTGCTGCCATCGCTGTGGTCGGTGGAACATTTACCCCTGCTCGACGGTTCCTCTTTTCCACCACGCTGAACATTACAGGAGAGCAGAAAACACCACAACTAAAATATAAGTAGACTAAAAGAATCGAACTAAAACACTTAACCATGCAGTCCTGTTCGGGACAACGTACAAGTAAGACGACAAAGCCTAAGTCAGCTTCATATTCTCTAGTTTTTTTTTGTTCGAATTTTTCCGTTCCACCTTAAATGGTGCAGCAGTTCCATTCTGGTGCCCGTAACTGCGGCACCATTTAAGGTGGAACGGAAAAAAACACGAACAAGAGGCCGGAGCATAGGACCCCAGCTTCTTCAGCCTCGTAAATGAGTTAAATTGCACACACAGTTATGGAGGTAGTACATGTTTACCCCTCTCCTCCGTGGTGGTCTGTTTCTCTGGAGGTACGTCGACAAGATTTCTTGTTCACTTCTTGTCCATCTAACTAGGACTGAACAAGTTGTCAAGTTCAAGGATTAAGAAGGAGACTGATTTAGTAACACGCTGTGAGGCCCAAACAGACAGAAGTGGACGTTTAGATGGGGCATTGCGTGCAGACGTCGTTGTGTAACGGCTGGAAGTAGGAGCTCCTAACACGCCCCCTAAACACGAGGGTTCAAACGCTAAAGGCGCAGCCGCAGCAGCAGCGGGGTGTTTTTCCAGTGGATAGAAATGGAGCTGATTGTGTCAGCCTACCATTATCTACTCAGAAGGATGGAAACTAGGCTGCGTATTTTAAACGAGCTAATCTTATAAACGCTTATCCACTCAACAAATGTGATAGAAGAGCGGCCTGCAGGGGGCGCTCGCCCCTTTTGCAGTGTTAAACAGCTTCCTGGACGCGGATCAAAGCCTGGCCTTGGACTAAATTGCATTAGCAATGGTGATTGATCGCTGAAAACCTTTTTTTTTGTTTACATTTAGGCTTAACGTGGTCTGAAAAAGTGGAACTACATATCTTAATGGCTGAGAATAAAAATAGCCCATGGTTTTATAATTAGGCCTTTTGAGAGAGCACCTGTGCCTTTTAACACTTCTGGAATAAATGACATGGAAATAATATTTAAATAAATAATAAATAAATAATACCTGGAGAGATTGAAATTAAAACACTTTAAAATTCTAGGAATACAAAATATTAAATCATGAAAAGTCGTACAGCGCTTATATAACATGCTTTGATAAACTTCAATATGAATCTATTCATGTCCCACAAAACTTCTTTCAATTAAGTTGTATATAACCTTTTTATACTTTCATTGACAATCAGATTAGAATTTTTTATCGTTTTGTTAAAAAGACCAAGTGACCAAATGACAGATTTAATATGAGAATGATTAAAAACAACACATTTCTTCAGATTTGTGCTCGGGCATAATCAAAGAACATATGGACCAAAGAAAACTTCTTATGAAACTTTCAAAATACAAACTTTTTTTTTTCTGGACATGGATTAAGCCTAATCTTGGACCGAATTGCATTACCAGTGATACTTTTTAGTCTAAGCCTAGGCTTAATCTAGTCCTGAGGTGCTGATTTACCAGAGAACATTATCTCAATGTAACAGAGGTGAAGAGACTGTAGAGCATTTCAAAAAAATGTTAATGCACATTTCAGATGGATTAGTCACCCAAGCACTCGGAGTAATTCACACTATGTCCTTGGTCCAATTGAGCTTTAATTGCAACATTTAAGACAATACACTGCTTCTACATTGATAACAATATGCTGTCATCAACATAATTACTCTTCAAGTTGAAATATATTATACTCCTTTCAAAGATTTAAACACAGACATATACTGTACCGCTGACTCGTCTGGACTGCTCATTAAAAATAAGGGAAAAGAGCCTACTGGTTTGCAATGTAAAGTGGGCGAAAGAGGAGAAGTGGGAAGAGGGACAGACAGATGCAGGGGGGAAAGAGAGAAGAGAGAGAGAGAAAGGAAAGAGGTAACTGTACCCTCTTCAACGTCATCTAAAGTAAAATGTTTTTCAGTAAGACGTCCCAGAGGTGACCCAGCACAAACTGAAGCACTCAAACAGTGCTAAAAAAACACACACACACACACGCAAACACACACACACACACTAAGTGGAATAACTTGCACACCCTGCAGAAGCAGTTCTTCTCAATGAATCTGACATCTCACTAGCACAGCAGTGGAATAGTGACGTCTGTATTGCATCTACACAGGGACACGCTCTCTAACACACACACAAACATACAGCACTTAAAGGAATATTTCAGCATTTTTTAACCTAATCTGTAACTTTCTCATCTGTAGCATACAGTCAACTAACATTAACAATAATTTTAAAGTTTCCTTACCTAGCAAAAGAACTGAAAGCTATTAAGTCTTACACAGTAGTTAGTTCCCACAGCACAATCTGATTTGTTGTTGCTGTTACAGTCATATGCAAATGTTCGGGCACCTCTGGTCAAACACATGTTTTATGCTTTATTGTCTCCCAATATACTAAACCCAGCAAATAAATCTAAATATGCTATAATTTGCAGAAAAAATGGCATATTTAAGTTTGTTCCCTGTAGATGAGGTGTCAGCTTATTTATCCTTGGAACAAAATACACAATTTGAGGGGTGCTAACTTTTGCATTCGACTGTATTTGTGATTTTTTACATTAAGTTTATCACTTTGCTAAGCACCTGTTCACAAGTAACAACTCATTTTAGGCTGCAGATAACCTTTACTAATTTTGGATTTTAGCACATTCAGTACTGAGTGAAAGTCAGAGACCACCCTTCATTTAACTCCCAGTTAACACCATTAGGCACAGGTTATTCATTTTCAGGAGAGTAGATAAAAAAATAACACACAGAAGGAAGAGGAAAGTCAAATGAAAAAAACATAAGTTTCCAAAACTTCAGTGAAAAAAAACAAGAAAAAGATGTAGGGGAAATGGGACTCCTAACTGTGCAAGACCTGGAAGACCACCAAGTTTGTCATTATTAGATAAACAGTACTTTCATCTTTGACAGAGAGGAGAAAATCAAGCTCCACTCTTGCTTCAAACATGAAAAAAAAAATCCACAGGTGTTTCTGTCCATCCTTCCACTGTAAGAAGACAACTCAGCACTATGAGTCTGAAAGGATGTGTAGCTGTCAAGAAGCTCTTACTGAGAAAAGGACACAGATAAAAAAGAAGACATCAAACAAAGAAGCTGCTGATGGACTGTCCACCCCAGAGCTCAACATCACAGAATGAATTACTTGCATCATTGCATTGTGAGATGCGGAAAATGCAACCAACTTCTAAGACTGAAGTTTGGGCACACTAAACACTGAAAAATGTGATGTTATATTTATAGTTGTTGAGACTTCTCTGTAGTTTTCTGTTGAATACATGTTTTCTGCTTGTTTCCTGACACTAAAAAATTAATAACTTGTACTTAATGGCCATTTTAACTGGAAATTAAAGGAAGTGTGGGCTCTGACTTTTGTGCAGTACTGTACAAAGACAGAAAATGAATACTTTAGATAACTTCTACTAGACAATATTTGACCTGCAGCCTGTTTGGACAGATTCTGAAGAATGAAAATGAAAGCAGAACATCAAATTCTGAACCTCTCGTTGCCTAAGTGAGCATTTCACTCAGCAGCTTAGAATTAAACAATTAAAGTGGAGTTAACTAGAAATTAACAAAATGCAATTTGTCAAACAAGACAGGCTGTGAAATGCTGTACAGACTGGCTGAAACAACGAGTTAGTACAATGAAACCTGATGAAATTATTGTTTGTGGTACTCTATGGCATAGTTGCTGCGGAAAGAGCTTAGGTTGAAAATGCAGGAGTATTCCTTTAATGTTACAGTATCGCCGCTTCATTCAGAAACGACTTCTCCAGCTCAGTAATGCTACCAATCTCATCCTGTCCATCCAAATCAATCCATAATGGAAAAAAGAACAAAAATGAATCACACTGTGGAGAAGCAGTGCTATTCTGTGAAACGTTATGGAGGAAAATCACAGACTATTAAACTGATAGTGTCATTATCCCCCTGCAGCCTGATCTGTGGTGCATTTGAACCAACACACCATCTATACACATAATTTCTATGCAATACAATTCTCAAATTTCCAAACTTCATACCACTATATTCCATTTACAGCTCCCTGTTCGTAACAAAAGAAAAAAGTACACTGTTAAACAAAATATCAACCCTGATACATTTCAACTTTACAAATAGATCCAATTACAGTGTTAACCCTTACTATCTCTAACTGCTACTAACCTAAGCAGGGTTCAGTGTTTAGAGGGAAACCTGGAATTTAGAAATCTCAAAAATAGAAATAATATTAAAAAAAGAACACATTAGTAATGTAGTATGAATTATAAATAGCACTCAGTGTTAAATAGCTTACTTTGTGTACCAAAATGAAAGTCAAATGATACACATGAAAAGGGCAGATGAGAAGAAAATATTTAAACTTGGCTAAAGGCCTACTAAGCTAAACATACAACTCTGTTTAATTCTTTACTCAATCTTGGCTCTGCATTAACAGTATTTTACAAGTACTTGACACATGGGATTACGCGGGGCTAATGCATTTTCTGTTTTCTCAGTAAAAAAGCCCAAAGGAGAAAAATCTTGGCATGCACTCCAGAAAGTGGTTCCAAACCTCAATTTCAAATGCTGATAAGCACTTGCGTTTTTCTAAAGGAAAACTACAGGGAATACATTTCAGACAATATCAGAGTCTTGGTCACTTTGTTTCTCAGCTCTACACATTACAGGTGGAATGGACTCAAAAATGTCCCCCTCTGCACACATTTCAGCCACAGTAGTATAAACACTTGAGTGCGTATTGACGTTTTAGGGCTATCTGATCTTTACGTTACCCAAGTCAAAGCATGAAGTACAGTATCTTTTTAAAACCAGCCTTCTGATTACATTCAAGTATGTAACTGTTGGTCGCCTATAGGAATTTTTTTCATTGAAAACAAAGGAAAAAAGCATACAAGTGTTTTAACACGTTGCAAAATAAGACTAGAGTGTGAGGGAAACTTTCAAAGTTGAGATTCACATGGGTTTCCCAACATCGCAATACAGTAAACCTCTGGAGTTAAACATTTTGTGGCTGTGTGATCTGAACGTATCAATGTTGTCTGAAAAAAACTTTGTATCTCCAAAATGGTATCTTGGTAACAGGAGAAGGAAAAACATTATTCACTTGTAATAGAGGTTAACATGATTTTTTTCCATGTAACTTTGTTGCTTCTTCCATCATGAAATTTTAACAGAATTCAAAGGGTAACCCAGGGTTTTCTAACTATGCAAGAAAAAAAAAAATGGAGAGTTTTTTTCATGACAGCGATGTTATAAAGTGTCTCAGTCTACAGACAGCTTGGAGTGTTCACATACTTTCTGGAATGGCATAATCTTTAGACTTTGACCTGCAGTCATCTGAAATTCATCACAGAACACTGAACCAAACTCTACAATTGATTTCATTCCAGAATGTAGAATATACTTATGAATTCTGGGACTGACTTCATTCTAGAACTTATTTCTGAAATCTAGAACAGAGAGGTCTTGTAAACATGAGGGAACTGGCAACAGCACCAGAGGCAAATTGCATTAAAGCCATTATAGGTGACCGATAAAGCTGCTTTTGTTTACACTAAATGTATAGTGTGTTTTTTTTTCAAGATCTCACATATTAAATGCCTTGTCTGACAAATGAACAATGATATCCTACTATAAACTGAAACAGGAATGTTTTGAATCGAAGTGCTCACAAGCACTGAACAATCAAATCATTTACACACACAAAAATGTTCATTTTGTCATTTGCTGTTGAGTCTTGCAGATACAAATGTGAATATTCAGAGGATAAAACAACCACTAACGTCAGTTATTGAAAAATTCTGTAACACTGTTTGAAGGCTCTCTACACAGGGACTTCATAATGCAAGACTGAATAATGTATTTATAAAGAAATACTTGAATACTTATGAACAGTCTATGCCAGTAATCAATGACAGGATGACATAACATGTTTATGAAGTAAACAACACTGTATAGGTCTTAAACATTCCAAAGTAATGTAACTTAAAGGGCAGAGGCCTAATTACGATCGTATATCAGTTCTGTGGAAGATTTTCATGCTCATGAACTTCAGTTTCATACATGTTCTCCCAACTGTATGAATATCCATATAAATAAAATAAACAAAAATCCTGTTCTAAAGAAAAAGTAGAAATATTCTTGGTAAAATATTATTTGAGTAAAAGTACCCTGTCTGTATTTCCACTTCAGTACAAAATGACTTGCTTTTAAATGTACTTAAGCATCAAACGTAAAAGTACTGTAAGTTATTCCAGTTATTATTTTAATAAGCAATTTCTATTTAGTAGACCTCAGTGAATTGTTCATGTGAACCAAACAAGTCTCAGTAGACATCTGTACTTCTGTGCTTTATGTATAACTAATAATTGGTTTTCTTAACTGGGCCTCTGCCTTAAAGTCCTATTTCTTTGGCACTGATGCTTTATAACAGTGTTACAATTTACAAATTTTATCTTGCGATTACTGGTATAAGCTGCTCATAAATATTTAAGCATTGTTTTAAAATACTTTATTTGTCCCTATGAAGGTAGTCTTCAAATGAAGTATGACCAAAGTTCAATGTAGGGGCTACCATGAATGCTTTCATTCTTTCAGACCAACAACATCTTAAGACTTCAGCTTCAGCTCTAGAACTCTTCTATGAGCTTTGAATCATGATGTGCGTTCAAGTCGTGTAAAAATCAAACTACAGGACTGATTAAGACCGTTACAGCTTACTTTTCTAGACCAACATGCGTCCTCTCATACTCCCTTATCTCCCTCTTTCTGTTCCTCTCTCTCTTCTACACCCTCACCCACACACACAGAATGGGGCACGGTGCTGTTGAGTGATGTGGATTGTCACATTAGGCTGGTGGACTTGTACCATGGAAGAGGGGGGCAGTATGGAATCTGGAGTGAAAGGAGGTTGAAGATCACAAGGGTCAGGGTTCATCGAATAGCTGCAGGTCGAGTCTGACCACTATTTCTCCTGTGGGGACCTCGTGCAAGAGCAGCCTCTTAGTGATCGGACCTTTTGACCCCTGGTCCTTTTTAATGTCCGCCAGGCGAATCTCTGTCCTGCCCAGGAAATCTATGCACACAGAAAGGAAAAAAAAAAGAAATGAACTAAAGCAGTGCTCATACTAATGTACTGACTAATTGTTATGCATCGATCTGAAGGTGATGACTCAAGTGCATAGATTTCTGATAGTTACAGTTAATCAATTAAAATAATTGATCAAGTATGCACTCTGATTTTTTGGCCAACATAAAGTTTGTTGAGTGGAATTGAATATGACTCAACTGAAAAAAAAAAGTTTTTGGTTTAAGCAAAAAAAAATGTATTGTCTATATTCAGCTACTGTTAAAACACTGTGTATTTCTAAAAAATGTAAAACTTTTATGCAGGAAGTTAAAGGTAATTCATAAGAAGGGGTTAAGTGGGAACACAAGCTGGAGTCAAAATCCCAGTAAGACAGATGCAGCAATTTGCAAGAAATTGGAAAATAAATGGGACAGCCTGTAATGCTCAACATGGCTTCCGTTCACGGATCCCGCCTCTCATCGAAAACAGCCAATCTGCTTGCCTAGACTTTCCTAAGGACTTAGTTCAATTTCAAAGTACATTCAAAGGAACATTAGCCCACTGCTAAAAAACCTGAAAGACTGACCGAGGTAAAGGCGGATAGTGGAACGAAGCAGATAAAGCAGGAAAACGTGAAGAACATCAGGACTATGATCAGCCGTAACACAATGACAAATCGGAAATAAGTTAATTTTTCCCTGCTGTGCTGTTCGGGCCCCCAGGCACGTCACCTAATTCATGGGCCTGGTGGTAAGGGTATGCCAATAAATGGCCTGTGTGTGTCCTGCTTACCATCGGGTGAGAATTGGTCCCTCTCAAACACAGTCACACACAGCACGTCCTGTTCCAGGTCTTTGATGAAGAACTGGCAGTTTGAGTTCCATTTGGGGTTCAACGTGTCCTGCAGCGTCTTAGTGATGTGACATTGTGAGCCCATTGTCACCTCACAGTATGGGTTACTCTTACCTACACAAAAGAAGACATTACAACACAAAACCCAAAAACACTGGTTGAGCTGTGATACTTTGTGCAGATGTGAGCCCAATTTTTAAGTTCTAATGAACAGCTATTGGATTACGTTAACAATTCTATTGGTGAATTTATTATACCAGTGATCTTCTAAAAAGAGATATTCTTACCATGGGAACGGCAGGGTTTCAGCTCAATTCCTTCTACTATGTTGACCATCAGTCTACCAATGCCTGTAGCTCTCTGAGACCGCACTGTACAAACACAAATACACACATATATACATAAAACAAAAAAATTCTGAAAACTTTGTACTCACTAGGCTTGGAACATGTCTTGTGCTTGTTTCTCTATCGAATATTCCTGCTAAGATAGGTGGTGTGGCTCATGGCTGTAGCAAATTCCTGAATGTAGCTCTGAGCTTCCCTCCAAAGCCATAGGCCATCAAATCTTTAAAATGAACTAGGATGTTTCGGATAGTATATCAGAAAATCAGAATAACTAGTTACAATCTTCAAAATGTAATACATTTTAGTTCTGTTTTATGTATTTGACATCAATATTTGAAAAGGTACTGCTTCAGAATGTCACTGCGTTTATAAATTCTGAATGTTTCCCACGTCGCTATGGCCCACTTATATGGGCGTTTTCAACATTCACTATAACTCACCCAAATAGGCTTTCTCCCTCTTCTTCTTCTCCGTCTCAATGAAGAGCTCAGAGGCAGCCTTGATCTTCTGCACCCATGCAGTTCTGACCAGAAAAATCCAATTTTCAGAATCAAATTTCTACCCATTAGCCATGCATTATTGACCATAAATCTAGTGCTTGACGTTCAATAGCTTTCTTTATGATGTACTAAAATGAAAGTAATTATAAATAGGGTAAAAGAGTGGAGAAGAAAACTTTTAAAAGTATGAGAACTTTGCTCAGTTAGTTTGCAGCTCTTTGCACATGCCTCTATGCATGTACATACCTCTCATTGATGCTCTCTGCTCGTATGGTGTAGACTCGGTCTATGTGGGATATATGGAAAATGGGCTCATCTCCCGAGGGATCTGTAGGGAGCTTCACTAGAACCTCGTTCAGGAAGATGGGCTAAAGGGAGCAACACAGACTTGTGAGAGAAGTGTAAAATACACACTTAATAGGCATGTCAGTAATGTTAGCCAATACTGCAAGGAAATACCTGTGCATAAGGGCCACCAACACATATTCTCAGCATGTTTTTAGCATGACAGGTAAATGTGTTTGTGTTTTAAACCTGTAGGCTATGTTTCTTCTCAGTTTGGGTAGGCAGTTCTTACAACTGATTTTATAAATCACTCTTTAACAACAACCTCTTTAAATAATATGGGCAAAAAATGTTTAGTTAGCCTCTAGGCTACTGGTACTGTTGCCTTTTACTGTTATTAGGCTTTTAGGCTGGGCTCTCATAGTCACTAATAGTCACCAGACAAGTAAACCACTATTTATAAGTCATATTTTGCTAAGAACAGCTTGGAAATAAATGGCATTGACCACATCACACTGCAGGTTCAAAGAACAATTCATAACATTCAATATTCTGTTAAGTAAATGATTGCTGGCTTACTGTCTTGTACATGCGGTACTGCAGGTGGGACTTGGCGCTGAAGACCTTGTCAGAAGCCGAGGAGCCCAGTGGTTTGGTAACCTGGGTGAGGAGCAGGAAATCATTGAAGAGGAAGCCGTACAGCTCCTTGTTGCTCTTAGCCTTGTAGAGCTTCCCGCTGTGCAGGAACTTGCGAGGGCCCAGACAGTTAGTCACAGAGTTGAAGACCAATTGCTAGAATGCAGAGATGACCGGAAGGACATGGTTATTCTGAAGTTCTTATTTGGGTCAAATATGTAGTGGTCAACTTTCTGAGGTTTGATATGATAAAGAATAGATAAAGTAACATCCCAAAAGTTTGGGATCAATGTTTTCAAAAATATAAAACTAACATAATGGCAAATAAATGTATGAACTGATTCTACTACAAGATGTATAACATCATTGTTATAACGTACTAGTCCTGTGCAAACTATATAATCATAAGTCATTAGAAGTAAGCTGTTAAAAAAAAGAAAAAGAGAAAAAAAGAAATCCAGAATGATAAACTGAGCAGTAGATGATGCTAAATCACTGTATTAAGGACTAATAAAAAACTATATCCATAAATAATGTCTTGTAGTTCAAAAGTTACAATCATATCCAGGCAGATATGAAAAATAAGATATTTATTAGATAATAAGATAAAACATTCCAAGATATTTACAGTATATTATTTATCCTTAATGCATGTGTATATCCTTAATGTATACTGTTTATCCTAAATGTGTGTCTAGCTCACAATATTTGGATAATTTAAATATTTAAATAATATTGTGTTTTTATTGTATTTATAAATGTAATTTAAAAAATATATACATTCATTTGAAAAGTGATTCCAAATTTTTGAACAGTAGTATAAGAACAAGTTCAAAGACAAATGGAAATCTCTACTTTCACTGGCAAAACTGCACCATTCTTTTCCTGTGCTGATTTACACATTGTTGCACACGTTGTTATCACATTTGCATAGACGTTACAACACACCTCAGATAACCCTTCACACTGAACGTGAGCTTGTATCCACTCCAGGCGATCCGAGTTCTCCTTCTCTCGTACACCCTCATTGACCTGTGAGCAGAGCTCCTCCGCCTTCTCTAGAGCCTGCCGCAGGTGACTGTGATCCGGGTGGCTTTCTGGAGTGTTCTCTAGAATCTGAGGATGACAGAAGATGTGTTGAGTAAAAGGTGTAATGAGCAGTACACGTTTTTTGTTATGTGTGGTGAAAAAACAATGCAAGGACTATACACAGCGACCTGTTAATTATTTGCCAGATTTTTTCAGGAACCATTAATGGTTCAAGAACCTTTGTTTTTAATATATATCCAGTCATATGCAAAAGTTTGGGCACCCCTGGTAAATAAGGTTTTGTTAGTTTTCTAAGAAAAAACAAGTTAACACATCCACTACAGAGAACACATTTCTGCATTTTACTGCACAATTACTGTTTATTTGCTGAATTTAACATGCAGGGAAAAATCAAAAAAATAAAATGTAGCATGTGCAAAAGTTCTGGTACATTTTATATTTTATTTTTTCCAATATATTAAACTCAAATAAATAAAAAATTAAATGCAAATAAATGGAAATTGTGCATATTTAAATCTGTTCCCTGCAAAGGATCTGAAAATCAATCATATAAAACATGCATACAACTGTATATATTTTTTTGGCATTTTTCCCAATTTTTGTGGTTTCACCAGAGATCGAATTTGCAATCTCCTGAGGATAGGGCCAATATTTGGGCAGTTACTTTACTCAGAGGGCCTCAAGAACTTTTTAAAGACATACTGTGTTCCTCCAAGAACCTAAAATAAAGTGGTTTCTACAAGGGCTTTAAGGTTTTTCAAAGAACGTTTGGACACCCAGGACTGTTCTCGTAAAATAACCAGAAATACTAAACCTACACATTAGTAAACATATTGTAAATATTATAAAACTTCTAATCAGCCAATTACAGCCCTCCATGGTATTTATATGGCATGTCTTATCTGAGCTAATTCTGCTTCAGCTGTTGCTGACCATCAATAAACATGCCAAGCTCTTTCTAATAACGTATATTCATTGCAATTGATGAGGCAGTGACATGAGATCACATCAGTTATGTCCATGTACATACATTTTTGATGATAAGGGGGTAGCGTGTGACCCTCTGCATGGGTTTGAGGAGGAAGCTGGACAGAGGCATTCCTTTACAGCGAGGATCCATGGCCAACCTCTGTAACACACACACATACTTCATGCTTGGTGACTACATCCCAAATCTGCAAAAATCACCACTGAAGATGTGTTTTTTAAGTGAACAATTAATGCAAACTTTTAATAATCGACTTTCATTCCAACAACAGTCATTCCTACAGTGCAGTGATCATCCTGTTACCTTTACAAAGTCCTTGAAGTCAGGCACCTCATCAGTCTTCTGCTGGATGAGGGTTGCGCCATTGAGCTGGCAGCTGCAGAAGCGGATATAAGGCTGCATGTGGGGCAACTGTGCTGTCAGAATGTCCCCAATCATCTTCACAGGCATGCGTTCCCCTGACATCTTCTTCCTCACCCGCAATGCCCTGCAGGAAAGATAGGGATTTTAGGACTGAACTACAGTCAGTACCTCTGCGTCAACACAGTTTGATAGAAAAAGCAAAGAAAAAGCTGATCCTGGAACAGTGAGAAAAGGCGATCAGGTGGTTCAATACAGACCTTGGATCAGCACCCCCTAGTCAATGTAATCAGGTTCAACGGATAAGAAAAGCCTCCTTGTCAATTTAACTGGAGGGATGAAAAGCAACAACTGATCCTGAATGCAGGACAGGAGATCATGGGGTTCAAAAGCTTAATCCACTGTACGTAGCTGAATGTGAAATGACTGCCTAATCAATACAAAGCAAACTACATAACGAAGGTATCAGTGGGCTTTACAGCCTATGTGCTGCACTGTGTGCTAAATAAGGAGCAATGAGCCATGCAGCAGTAAAATCCTTTCTCCAAAAGAAAAAAAAAAACAGTAATTGAGTTTAACCCCTACAAAAGTTTAACCTCCAAAACATTCCTTATTGATTCTGACTGAGTCATGTAGCCCTTACAAGTGAGATCCCAGCTCCTCTGATATCAATGCTGAGTGTTTTCGGATATCTTTCTTGGTAAAACTACATTATATAGTAGCATAAAAAGGAAACGTTCAGGAAACACCGGAGGAAACTCAAACCTGGATTTAATTTAGAGGATTGGGAATACAGGATGAAACAGCAGGGGTCATACTTGAGCAATTTAATGTTGCACATGATGAGTTCCTTCCAGTTGACGAAGATCATGGCCACTTCTTTTTCCGTCAGCAACTCTGACTCCAGCAGAGGCTTCTGGAAGGTCTGTAAGGGACAGATAAGAAACAATAACCACAACAGCTCTAGGTTATTGTGGCTCTGTGGTGGAAGGTATCTGTTAAACCAGAAGTGAGGTTCCCCCTTTTCTGTTGAATATCAACCAAACTACATCTAACTTGAAATACTTTTTCTAGGTGTATCTGGTTATCATAGGTTTTATGCAGAACTGTGCAGGTTCCCCGATCTTAGGTGGCCATTTCCTAAACATGAAAAGGGGGGAACTAAATTATGAAAAACAGTCAAGATCCACCCTAGAGGACCCTTCACAGTTTAGGCTTAGACCTAAACTGTGCCAGCAATCCGGGCCAGCAAAACTGACTCTTGGGAGTCATTGTTACTCCAACATTCTGCATTAAATCCATAAACAAATGGCATGATGTTACCTCAGTGACCAACTGCAGGTCGTTGACATAGTTTTCCTCAGTCACGATGAGCTCGTGGATGTAGCCTTGCCGCTTCCTCTCCATTGGGGTCAACATGTCCAAGAGGTGGAGGTCAGCACACCCTGTAAGCAGGGCAAAGATCATTGCTTTCATCTCCTTTCATAAATGTCTTTTTTTTCAGTACACATAAGACAATACATTTGTATGCACAGACTCACATTACTTTACCAAGGCTGAATTTTTTTTTTCTTTGAAAGAGTAAATTTATAAAAGGAAAAAACATTCTTAATGTAAGTCATTGCAATGAAATTTTCTTTTTCAACCAATTTGAGCCATTTCTATTATTTCATTTGTCATGAAATGTTCATACAGTGTTGTGTAATGTAAAGTACAGCTGGCATTTTCAAATTGTGAAATGAAAAATAAAGTGAAATACGTTAACACATCCTTCACAGAGGGCACATGTCTACACATTTTAATGTAGAATTTTGCTGAATTTAACATATTGGGAAAAAATGAACACAAATTATGGCCTATGCAGAAGTTATATCACATTTTATATTTTATTTCTTCCCCCAATATGTTAAACACAGCAAATAAACAGAAACTGCACACTAACATTTGCAGTAAAATGCCATATTTAAGTGTGTTATCTGGAGAGGATGTGTCGACTTATTTACACTTAGAAAAAAAATTTGACCGTATATGTTCAAACTTTTGCATATGACTGTCTAAAGTCATGTCTATGATGTGTACGCTGCACGTTCTTGCTGAGTCATAAAACCATTCATTATTTTCAGTTCTTACTCTGCTATTCAGGTCTACTGTATCTCCTGAACTGTTGCTGCACTGTTTATAACACACCGGTATCTTACATGTAACATTACATTGACCAGTGGCTCTCAAACCGGTCCTCAGGGCTCCACAAGACAGTCCATATTTTTGCGCACTTCCAACACACAGGGACAGCGCAACAGGGACACAGCAGCACTGATGTGAAGCACTGTTCTTACAAGGTATCAAAAACAATGACTGCTAACATCAGTTCCCTTGTGGAGAATTTTCTGCCTGCTAAATGTGAGTGAGCAAGAGTGAGTTAAAAGCCAGGTCCATGAGTTTCTTTGCATCTAAACATGTGGACCATCTGGGGGTCCCCGAGGACTGCTTAAAGAACCACTGAGAACTGATAACAGATCCAGATCGAAAAGGCACATCACTCAGATGAAACACAATCACTGATAACAATTGTAAATTTAAAAGTGTAATAATGCTGAATTATAAAACATGTACAAATGAAACGATTATTAAACAACAAAGCATTGAATTTTATGGCAAATACCTTGTACTCAGCAGAGAGACTGTCACAGAAAGTGCAAATGCAACAAAGAAAATACACAAGTCCACCATTGCCATGGAGTTCTTTAATGGTTACATGTCATTTTCTATAAAGATAGCATGACACTTTTATTAAAGCTAAGGGTCTGTGGTATATGATTTTTTTTTCCTTTTGTACATTCATGTTTTGTTTGATAAAATGCTGCATTAACCGAGTGCAATGGTTAAAGTTTTGGATTTGTTGGGAAAAGAGGGTGGGGGGTGTTCATATACAGTATCACAGATATTGAAACTGAACAAAAAGCCTTTAAGTTCTGCTGTGCTTCCACAACAGAACAAGTCATTTATCATATTCTACAAAGAAATAAAAAATAAAAAAAAGAAAAGCCCTCCCAGGAGATCCAGGACGTGATGGACATGATGGACAGTCCAACAAGCCTATCATAAGCAGCACACTCCAATACTTTAACACTGTGGAACCAATGAGGAACCATAAAGGTGATTTAAAAAAACACAATGCTGTTTAGAGATATTACATTTTCAATTCATTTTTTGAACAACAATTAAAATTACAATACTGTTATGTGATATAAAAACAAGCAATAAAATCATAGATGATATGGTACCACCAGTACAATAAAGTCGAAGCATAAATTAATGTCATGCTTTTTCTAACAGGCAGAAAAAAAACAATGACAGTTTACAAGCCCAGGGACTTGGTTTCTTATTCCTGTAATAAAAAGATAATACCACAGTCTTTCTTCTTGCAGTTGTAAACATTTTTTTATTCATAAGCATATTATGATTAGTGAAAATTATGCTTAGATCTAGTACTTTATCATGTTTGTTCAATAGGCTGTTTTGTCCAAGCTAAAGAGTAAGGGGGGGTGGGGGTAGGACTCAAAATTTAAGAACAAATATTCATGAAGATGTCGTTGTCCATTTCATACGTTTAATACGGACGTTTGGTGACTCCCCAATTTTTTCTACCTATCCACTACCGTTTGTTCAGAAGGGAAAGCACATTGTACTATGCGTGCTTTAAAACACTATGAATTACAATTTTTTGATTGTTATAAAAATATAAAGCAGCTGTGTAAGCAACTTGACACAGTGTTCTCCAAATCAACCTCAACAATTTCAAAAATAATTTCAAAATCTGAGAGAGAAAGCAAAAAATAAATGTAGAGAAACTATAGATGCAAAACGTAACTATACGAGCTACACTGAGAAAAACAATTAATTACACAAGAAATTAAACATTTTGAATCCTCTGCAGTCTGCCCACGCTGAATGGGAGACCGCAGTCTTTACATGTGCACCAATTCCAACATAAAGTGTGTTTTTGTGTACACTACCCATTGCTGTACCATTTCCCCCTAAGTGGCAGTTGTGCAGTATTTGGTTTGAAACATCGTTTCTCAACCCCGTCACACGAACACTACAAAACAAATTAACTAAACAAAACAAACAGCAAAACAAGACCAGCAAGCACACAAACACAAACTTATTCATCCAATGTTTTGGTATGAACATGTGACAAACATCAACACAGAGGCATGTGGTTGGATGAATGGAGAGGTCCCATCCTGCCCATAAAAATGACTGACAGCACCTGTGTGTTCTACAAGGATGGAGGAGGGGTGTTCTATGAGACACACAACAGCACTCTACAGGAGGTCCGCACATATCCGACCCTGGGGACCGTAGTTATGGTAACTGTGTTTCGTCAATTACCTCAATGTTTTTAATGTTTTTTGATCAACACTAATGTTCTGTGAGTCACAAAGCGAGATTTAGTCAGTTGGCTGGTAATAACTTAAGGCAAAAGGTAATCGTGTTCAACAGATGTTCCTTCTGAACAATCCTCACTTTGGGCTTAAGCGATCCAGCTTTGCTAACAAATCCTGCTTTGTGAAACATGTTCCCAACATACAAATTTATGCACCCTTAAAAACAAAGGGGCTAAACTGTTTTTTGGAGCAATGCCACAAAAGAACCACTTTGGCGCCATAAAACAGTGGTTCTCAAACCAGTCCTCAGCATCCACCCCAGATCCCAACTTTAACAGATCCAGCAAAAGTAAGAACTATCTGGGAGGCCTTGAGAACTAGTCTGAGAGCCACTCCCATAAAGACTCTTTCAATGAATGTCTCTTTGAAAAACTCAATTGAAACAACTAAAACCAAAAGTGGTTCTTGTACGGTAGGGGTGTAATCTTGTCTGCAAAGGGCCAGCAGAGTTGCAGATTTTCATTCCAGAAAAGCAGGAGCATGCTTGATAAATTGTTCGGAGACCAAGACAAACTGATTAAACAAGTAGAATAAGTGGTCTCCTGCTTGTTAGGAATGAAAAATCTGCAGCTGCTTGCAGATGAGATTGGACACCCTTGTTCTGTGGCGTTGTCCCAAAAACCTCTTCTGGCACCTTTACTTTTAAGAATGTTTTAGAAAATGAAAAAAACATAACTTTATATAAATATTCAAATAATAATAATACTAGGAAAAAAATAACCAGTCGGATATGTTGTGGACAATACTGTGCCCTAACCCCACTTGAGTTTATATGACACTAGGATACAGGTCAGTTATGACACATATGTAGTTTATCAGGCCCTGTGAAGTCACAGGGCATGAATAGTGGGTCTTTCTGTGGTGCTGTGGGTCCAATGAGGGGTGAAAGGGTGGGGCTTGGAAGGAGCAAAAGGCAGGCATTAGTTGAGAGTCAAGTGGGGCGGAGCTTAACATCAAATGGAATCTGTTTTGCTTCACCAGTTCAAAAGCGTTCCTTTTTGTTTTTTTCCGATTTGAATTGCATTAGCGAGGCTACAGAATTAGAATCACAGAAAGCCACAAAAGGACCCACTATCCAGCATTCATATTTGGTTATACTTCATATATAAATCAACGTGAAGTTGTTAATTTATTCAATTAACAAAAAAAGAGAATTTAAAAAAGTAGTAAGCATTCTTCTTTTTTTATTTCTTTAATGCAGAGAATGCTGCTTGGTAATTTTTTTTGCGTGCGTCTATGTTTCTGAATACTGAGGTTAATGACTGCTCTTTCTGCAGTATTCGGTATTCGTCTCTTCTGGCCACAAAGCCAGCTGGGGGGCAGTCACATGACCAATGTGGGGGGTTCCATCTCCCATCATCCCGCTGGGCAGTGTATAGGGGATAGTGGGTCGCTTTGAGGACTTTCAAGGCTGAGTGGGATATGGGCAACATAAGAGTCCTAGAAAGAGGAAAACACAGCACATAAGCAAAAAAACGGAGTAAAAAACTAAAATAGAGAAAGGAAAGCAGGTTCAAAAAAAAGAAATAAAAAGATACCCACAATGTGCAGAATTTACAAGCTAGGACGACTAGAATGAACTCGGGAGGACATGTCTCACAAGATGACACGACAACAAGAACACTAGCATGCAGGTGCAGAGAGAGAAAGAGAGACACAGAGAGAGAGACAGAGAAAGAGAAAGAGAGAGATACTGTACTACTCAGGCTATACAACAGAGGCTGAGAAAAATGTGAGAGGGTGCTACGAAACGAGAGGGAGGGGCAGAGTTAGTGTGGTCAGGGGAGAGGAACTGGTCACTGATCACTGGACACAGCTTTAACCAGCACTCTATACAGACAGTACTAGACCTACAATAATGTAATACATTTACTAAATTCTAACACACAGTTAACATCTTTGGTATTACCTTTGAAAAGGTAGAAATTATGTCCATATTGGTTTATAATTGGATCCTACGGATGATTTTCTTGTTATTCGTTTTTCATCGAGGGGAAACTTTCAAATGTTTCAGAAAAAGCCCCGCATTTGCAAGTTGTCAGTGCTTACAGTGGGCAGGACAGAGAGAATTAGTGTGTGTGTCAGAGAAAGAGAAAGGAAGAGCAAGAAAGAAAAATAGAAAAATAAACAATAAAAGAGGGAGAGAGTTTTATCTATACTCACATTGTTGGCTGGGGTCTGTGTCTGTGGTCAGTTTGACGTAGTTGGAGGGGAAAAGGCCCACGGAACCATTCAACTCGCCCTTCCACCAATCAGGATCCTCCCTGCTCAGCACATTGATGATCTGCCCCTTCCCAAAGGGCAGCTCGTCATCGTTTTGAGCCACGTAGTCATACATGCCAATCACCTGGCACACTGGACACATACACATACACACACACACACACACACACACACACACAGCAACAATTAATACTTTCAGCTGTACAAACACAACTGGACTCATGCTTATGGGAATTAAATTCCTTTAAAAAGTCTGATATTCAACACTCTGTGCTTGTTTTTGGCCCACAAAGTTTGTTGTCCTGTTTTCTGCCCTGTTCAAAAAGCAGTTTAGGCCGAAATATGGGACAAATCATCACAACCATGATAAGTTCAAAACTGGCTCTTTTTGCAACTTAGTTTCCACACATGGATCATATGGACCAGGGAGTAATTTATACAGGGTATTTAAAAAAGATTCATATGATTTCAAAGCACCATATTTTTACAACCGTGAGGTGCCTAGAAACCAATCACATACCAACTGAAAGAGGGGGTCATAGAGTTTCTAACTGTCAGTATGGCAGTGCACCTCCAACAGCTCAGAGCATTCGTCGCTGGTACCAACAGTTCCAAGAAAAAGGTCACCAGCATCACCATATCTCATGCCGTGTGACTTTTTGTGGGGGTACGTTAAGGATTCTGTTTATGTGCCACCACTCCCAACAACACTAGATGATCTTCGAAGTCACATTGAAAGAGCCATGAGTACAGTGACACCTGACATGCTTGATCAAGTTTGGGCTGAATTTGACTACGGTGTTGATGTTGTCCGTACAGCTGGAGGACATCATATTGAGCAAATTACATAATAAACTTGATGCTCACTTAAACCATTTACAATTTACTGCATTTTTCTGAAATGATTTACAAGTGAAATACATAATTTTGAAATCGGACGAATCTTTTTGAATCACACTGTATATTTTGAAAATTTAATAGTGTTTTTATACTACAAGTTTTCCAGTTCTTACGTCATGACTTTATTAATTTGCTTATATTTAAACATTCTCACCAATTAACAACAGGATGTTTCTACAAACATAACAAAACTACTGCAAGTGAGCAATAATGACAATTACTTCTCGATACCTTGATAAGTGATAAATGATCACTGCTGAGCATATCAAGTATAGTGACTGCAAGTGACAACAACAATGACTGCAAGTTTCATAATAGAGTATAAATAGTTGGTTAAATCGGATTTTGTGCAGTTCAGTACATGAAACATTGGATAAATATCACTGTATTCATTGTTTTTAATAGTATTTTTTAAATGCACCATAACTCCTTTTTGTCTGTCTTCTGAAACATTAGAAAAATGAAATACTGTGACATATATCGATCGTACAGTGAACAAGTCTTGAAGTATTGAGATGTTATAACTTGTAGGTTTCAAATGGTCATCAGTCTACTGTACCTGCATTAGGTGTTGGCAATTTGGGCGGAGTTGGCTCAGTGGGCGTGGTCTTACTGGTGCTAGGGCTTAATAGTTTTACATAATTGGCCGGGAACCATCCAATCTGACGTTTCTTTCCTCTTGCCTAGAGTTTAAAGAAATGAGAGACAACAGTCAGAATCTCCAGAATATGCTAATCCACCTTATAACAGGAAAAACATCTATGAACATATTTCTACTGCAATCCTATGACATCATCTACATGGTGTGCCCAATAAACCTGTCGCCCAAATTTCTGAGTTGGCTTCAAGGCAAATGAACATTTCAGCTCGGTAACTGTGAGGAAAGATCTTGCCAGAGGTACCCAAATGTAGTAATGCAATGGCTTGTATAATCATACTTAATATCTCAAGATACACAAAATGTTCCTGACATATTTTAATAAAGTGCAAATAACCCCAGCCAAAGCTAATAATAACAACTGAGCAAAAATACATCTGCTAAGCCAAGCTTACCCAATGTTTATATGACTCAACAGTTAATATTTATAAAGGTCAAAACAGTAAAATGAATCAGACCAGAGTGCCTACTGTCTATTCTGCCTGCGTATGTTTGTTAATGTTTATAAAGGTCAAAATGGCTAAATGAATTGCACAGCTCTTTCTGTGCGTGTTTGCTGGACCTGCAGTTCTCCTTCCCACCAGCCCCCAGGGTTCTTCTTGCGGATGAGGATGAGCTGGCCGGGAGCCAGGGTGAGCTGCTCTGCCCCCGTGGCCGTGTAGGGGGCGATCACCTGGGCAATCTCTGAACAAGGGAGCAGGGAGGAATGTGTAGAAAAGAGGGGTGGAGGAGGAAAAAAGGATAAGGGAAGAAGAATATAGAAGGAGCAGCAAATGGGACAAGAAAAACATTTCATTAGCTCAATGTGGGAGAACCTAGAAAGACTTAAAATAAAATAATGAAAATCTTGATTAAAAATCAGAGATGGCAAATAAAAAAAGAGGAATTTATCATCCTGTTTTAGAACTTTCTGCCTGGAAGCCACTCACCTGGTTTCTTTCCCAGACTCCCAGTTTTCCCAGCAGGCCCCAGGCCCTGAGAGACAAGAAGAGAGATTTGATTTTGCTTGGCTGTTACGGGAATGACAAAAAATGTTTACAGGGCTGAGGGAACATGTACTTTCCATACAAGTGTCCCACACAGTGTCTAGAATCTCCACCTCTAATACCGCCCACAAGATTTTTAACACCACAGTAGATGTGTGAATGGCCTGCATTTATTCACAGCCTGGGAAGTCTGGCCATCACCAAATTTGGCAGAGATTTCCTTATGTACTCTAAGTTGAATACATAAATAAAGACTTATGTTCCAAATTCTGAAAAGTGCTGTCCAGCTCAGATAAATCCTATCAAACGAATTGCACTAATATAGAAATGATAAACATTTGTTCTTTGTCTGTACTCTGATAGGTTTCTAAATAAAAACTGTGCTGCAGCTAAAGATGATTTTACTCAGGACAAAAATAACTGACCAAATCATTTAGAAAGATATTTTCCCTTTCCACTCTTTCCCTTAACTCTAAGGTCGACACAAAAATGGTCTACTTCTGGAATTTGTTCTACTCTTTTCTGCTGATCACTTGATTTCTGGTGCTGTTTTGTATTTATTTGATATGTACAGAACATCATCTAAGAAAGCTGAAAAGATTTTTGAAAAAGAAAAAACATAAATAGGAATATAAGTCACACAAAAACCCGCACATTATCGTTACTCTGGTACAATAAAACAATAAGTGCTTACCAATTCGAATTGCGTTCTGAACAAGACTGCACACTCGCAGTCTCATTCACAGTGCAATATTGATTGAATAAATAAATAAATAAATCAGTGCATCCAACAAAAAAGGTAGCCTAATGCATGAGCATTTGATTAGCCATCTAGCTATATGTATAAAACAAATATTTTAAAGCAGAAGAGAAAGTGGTCTTTAAACAACTGTTTTGTGGTATGATCACCATTTCACCACTTTTGTAACACGCTACATCCTCTCTACCAGGCTCAATGTTTTGCTGCTCAGCAACTACTGTGAGCATGCAAAAGAAGCTAAACTTAACGTACAGCAAAGAAATAATATTTTTATTTTCAATCTATAAGCAGAAACAACAGTAGCAATCCAAAATCCACTTCCGCTTCATGACTGTGGGTGGAAAAAGGGCTTTTCAATGCCAACCTCTTCGTAATTTGAGCTACTTTCAAAATTCTGGTGTAAAGCAACTGGATGTTTTTTGCTTATGGCCATTTGCTTGCAGTTACAGAGATGGTGGCACCTGAAATTCTGTAATGAAATGGCGATGTGACCTTGAACAGTAATTAAAAGAAGTTCAATATAATCAGGGGATCAAGGGTTATATCCTGCAAGAGTGTGATGAATAGGGCTGCAATAACTAAGCAACATACAACATCAACAATAAAAAAAAAATGTTTAATCACTTATAACTTAGATTGCTTGATGACGTTTGTACGTCCTATTTACACCAAGTGATTAAAAGAGGGAAATACAAATAGTGGAGACTGCAGTACAGCGACACACACAACCCAAAAAATCAAACACTATGAAAACACTTCACTTTAACGATATCTAAAAGAGACCGTTTCCTGTGTAATATGTAAAACCAAGGCCAGCGGGCAGCGCGGCTATCAGGCGTGGAAATATACACTATTTCCACAGCAGAAACACGGCATGGTGAGATAATCTCTCATCACAACCACAGTCAAAGGTAAAAGTCTGCTTTTCAGTCCGCTCTGACATTGCTTGATGGTCCTCTGGTTGGCAGCAACTACAACCGGGCGGAATACGGGTGGAACCGTGTAATATGGTTTTCATCCTCAACTCCACAGAAGCCAAAGTGCTTCCATGCGCATACCTAGTAATTAGATTACTAGGTAAAAATAAAATAATCCTCTGTTGCAGTAAAATAAAGCTCTGCTGAAACACAGTTTTAACAATAAATGATCTTAAACGCTGGAATTAATGTAGCCTATAACTGCTAGTTCACCTAGCCAGTAGCTAACATTAAGGCAAAGAGAAAGATTTAAGATGAACATCGACAATTTGGAGACAAATAGACTTATTGCATTTATAATCACTCAGCTGGTTTCCTTATACTTTTAATCTGCAACGAGAAACTGTCAAACACTGAAAAAAAAACATGAAACTGAAGTGGCGCCTCAGGCACCATTTAAGGTGAAATGGGAAAATTCAAGTGAGAAACTGGAGAACGAGAAACTGACTTCAGGCTCGTAAAAGTAGAACACAGAGACATTTTACAAGAAACTGTTCTACTTGTGTGGAAAAGTTTCCAGCGGTGATGCAAGAAAAGCGGCTACAGCTGAGCTTTAAACCGAGCAAAGTAAATCTGCATTTTTGTTTGTATTATATTTTAGCTAGGACTAGGACATTAGCACAGATGGAGACACATGTACAGCGAAGATGGTAAAATGGAATCGAAATGTGGTGTCTCCCAAGGTGGTTTGATTTTTGTTGAAAAGACAAAATGACTTAACATTTGGGTTGCGACTGCTGCACTAGCTTTTAATGTAGTGTGCACGCCACAGACTGTCCAGGCGCTGCACTTCCACAAAGTTCTGGCTTTTGCGTTCCATCAACATTATATTATCAATTAAAATTTAGAAAATCTATTTTTACATTTGTGAATCGATTCTGAATTGCCATGTCTGCATTGCAATGCATCTAAGAATCAATTTGTACATTTGTACATTTTCTGACAAAAGTTTTATTTGCAAAGATAATTGGCTTCTACAGATTTGGTCTAAAAACCAAATGCCTATATGGTGTCAGCTGCAGCTAGTCATCTACAGATTGGCCTGCAGTATTTTACAGCGTACAGGGCTTTCTGTTTCAGCATTTTGAGGGTGGGTCTCCTCTCCCTTGAGTGAGTCTCACCTCTGAATCCTTGGGCTTGACGTAGTTAGAAGGGAAGACTCCTGTTTTACCAGCCACTGTGCCAGTCCACCAGTCACCCTCTTTCTTTAACACTGTGATGACGTCGCCCTGCTGAAAGGTCAGGTCACCCTGCTCACTGCTTTCATACGTATACATCGCTATGTACTCTGAGGACACACAAAGAAAGAGACAAAAAATCAGGTTACATTATATTGTCTTTGAACCTGTGTATATATAGTCTGAGGTTTCAAGCTCCAGTCATTAGGGGTCACAAAAGTGCTCATTTTAGTGATTCCCCTGCCTGCTCTAAGGGCCCACACTCACTAAGAAGTCAAGGAAAAACTAGTGTCAACCAAGGTCAACTGACAGTCGTACATGTTCAACACGCCTGCATGAAAGGACACAACTCTCCTTAGCAGAAGCTGACTGTCCGCAGAAATGTAAAACCAACACAGAAAAAGTAAACAACATATTGTTTGAATGTCTTACGTGCTTTAAATGTCCATGTTTAAGCTAAACCCAGTCTGTGAAGGTAAAAGTAAATCACAATTAGCTTATGTAAAAAGGCTACCTAAATGTTAATGTTTCTACATTAAACAAAAATGAAACATATCGTACACACGTTTGTAATTATATGGCAAAAAAATAAAAACACCACAAACAACAAAAAAAAGAAAAGAAAAAAAAACAAAATCTGAGTATGCCATGCTTTATTTCTTGTTAGATTGTTATCAGAGCACCTCAGTCTGTGTTCATAACAATATTAATTATTTTTTTGTTGGGCATGGGATTTTCAAATACTAAATTCTTTTAAAAATTTTGCCATTCAAACAGCAAAAGAAGCTAACATGTCCATGCGGAAGTGACAGACCTTTTCTACAGACATTGAAAAACCAGGCTGCTCTGTGTGTGCCCTCTTGAGAGCGCTGTTTGCTTTCTTTGATCTCTTTCTCTTCTTATCTGATGCATAGCTATCGCTTACAAATTACAAGTGATGGTTGGCTACCGGTGCTATTTAAAAGCCTGATGTCTTACGGCTGACAGTCGGCTTGGTGTATCAGGGCCCTAACAAATTTAATTTATTAAAGGCTTAATAATGATCTGTTAAGTTGAATCATGCAGTGCAAAGGCCAGGGAAGGCCACCAGTCTTTGAGAATAATAGCTCCCTGATTTGCTCTGTGTGGGAGCACTACTGTGGTCTCACTCAGCTTTGTAAGAGGTCCCAGTGTTACAAAATTCATTTAGCACTGGCAGCATCTGAGTGAGATGTGAGTGAAGACTACAGGACAAGAGTGTGTGAAGTGTTTCTGCACTGTGTGTGTAATATGCTTACCTTCACCAAGCTCCATGGGTTTGTTAGGGGAAGGGCTAGGTCTCTTCATACTGGGAGGGCTATCAGAGGATCCTGACTCAATACTGGAACAAAACACAGCATGTACACATATTTGGGTTAACACACTTAGAAAGAGATTAATTTCAATACAAAGTGTACAAAAACAAACATCAATTACTGACTGTAGCCTAACTGTTCGAGAACAAATTTATTAGGCCTCCTCTGCCCCATCCATCCCATCCATCATTGGAATGGGGTCACCATAGGACCACCACTGACCAATGTATATGTGGGTGGTGGACCATTCATGGCACAGCACATACACTGACATTATAGAGGCATGATGATGTGGGTAGCACTGGTATGAGTGCATCAGGTATAGCAACACTGCTGAGATTATTACACGTCAGTGTCACTGCAAGGTTGAAAATAGTCGAGAATCATTCTATAATCACATTTTTGCACACTGAATCACATTGAAATTGATTCGAAAAGTGCACAGAGATTCTCATAAAACTAATGTGTACATAGTGCAACACACACCACCACAAAGTCAGTGTCCCTGCTGTGCTGAGAATAATCTACCACCCAAATAGTATCTGGTCAGTGGTGGTTCTATAGTGGTCCCTTTCCATGAACAAGGTAGATAAATTGCAGAGTAAAAGGTGGGCTGTAGTTAGTAACTGTAAACCTTAAAACACCTGTAAGGTACATACTCTCTCTAAAATACATGCATAAATACAAGGTGTGTGTGTGTGTGTGTGTGTGTAAATTATATATATCTAAATTAAATTATATTAAATTCTCTTTATCCTCTCTTTAAACCTAACCCACGCTTACCTCATGGACTTGCGCACAGGCCCAGAGATGAGCTTGACATAGGATTTGGGGAACCAGCCTCTTTGGCCTTGTACCTCACCAAACCACCACATGTCCTGCTGCTCCAGCACTGTGATCACATCATTCTTGTTGAAGTTTAGGTGGTTATCCTTTTTCGCCCGCCATGGGTACAGAGCCTGAGCCTGCAGCCCCTCCACCTTCTCCCCCTGGTGCAGGAAGGGAGAAAGGAAGACGACAAAAAAAAGAAAGACAGTCTATAGCAATAAGTGTGTTTACGTGTACATATGTGGAATAGCAGAATTACAACGATTCTACAGATTTGACTGCAACAAAGCTATTTTATTATTGTAGCCCCATATAAACATAATGTCTCTTTCACAAGAAAACCTTCCTACTTTCACACATTTGTTACATAAATTGAAAACAACAGCTGCCCATTATATTATGTGAATATTTCACAATAAATGGACAAGAGCTTTTGGAAAAAAAGGCTTTTTTTAAATTACATTCAAAGATATTGCTTTTCCTCATTTTATAAAGTTACTGTTTCATAAATATGATGTTCTTGCAACTGTGACAGTAAACTTGTAATGTAAATATTAAACGAAATAAGCACAAGTAGCTGATATTCCCTTCAGTATATTCGGAAGCCCACCTGTCCAAGCACAGGCGAGGGGGAGGAGCCAGAGAGAGTGGCAGGGGTGAAGGCGGAGCGCTGCCGACCCTGGCCTCCACTGGGAACAGAGAGAGAGGGCTGCGTGGGCTGGGTGGGCTGAGTTGGCCACGCCTCCCAACCGTCAGCATCCTGCTTCTCCACCGCTGAGTTCGTTGGCCATCTGAAGGAACAGATGTCGAGGAATTCACACACAGAGTCACACATCATCTCTCAATGTTCACACTCCAAACAGTACAGTTTGCTGTATATTAAACACTTTACTCAGAAGCTTCCTACAATATATAATTACAACAGTACGAACCATCACTCTTCACAGTGAGGACAATATGTAGAAAAGGCAGTGTTCGGTTCATGCCTGAAAAACTAGCCATATCAATGTAGCTTAGACAGCGAATGCAAATTTTTAACTGATAACCTAAACTGTGTGTTATACACTTAATTAATGCTCACCACTGACGTTGTAAGATAAATGCTGCTATCTTGGCTACAATAATATTTGTAGATGGTAACGGAGAAATAGAGCAAAATTAGAGCAGCTGAAAAGAGCAAAGGTTGTGCTTCAGGTCAGCAACAAATTTTGCATAACGATGTATACAGGCACTGGGGAGATATAACAACAAAATAAATCAAGCTTTACTTTCTGCAAGCCAGTAAACTTAAAAAGGAATTTGAGAATAACCTACCAGTCATTTTATAAAGCTCAGTTAATATAACTGCAGTTTGCAAACTGACCAAACTTCAATCAAAATGATTCCCTTAAAGAGATTTGCCTCCAAAGAATGCTAGTCTGAAAAACAAACTCACGTAGTGCTGAAGTCTGCCCAGTTACTAGAGGCAGATGAAGATGAGGACGCGGGGCCTGGAGCAGCTGTGGCTGTAGTGGGCGGAGCTACTGCTGTCGTCTCTGTGGTGACCGGCTGCAGAGGCGTGGGCGTGGTTGATGAAGTGGGGGTAATGCGGGTGCTGAGTTTTGAGGCTGAACTTGACGTAGCACTGGCTCTCAGGTTAGGAGGAACTTCAGACTCTGGAATCTTCTCTGCATAGTTGGCAGGAAACCAGCCAGTCTTTCCTTTAATTTCACCCCCTAACCATCCAGGCTCACCAGTTTGAGACTCATCAACCTATGACAAGAGCACGAGAGAGAGAAGTTACAAAAGTGTGAAATCAGAGAATAAAAAAAAAGTGACATTTCAACCACTTTATGAGCATGCACACTTTTTGATGTTTCTGAAGAAGCTGTGTTCATGGGTCATCAAGCTAAGCACAGCTTAAGGCAAGCTGAAAAAAAGTAGTCTGGGCCCAAGGTAAAAGGTTTCCTTGAATCCAGTAGCTTACTAACCACTGAGTCCAGCTTCACACAGCACACTCAACACATACACCACCAACCACACTCCATGAGCTTAATATGTGACACAGAAAATCTTTGGTCAGAGGATTGCTTTGCAACTGGTAATGGCACAGTCCTGATGACTTAACAAAAAAATACATTTGAAAAAAGATGAAGATGAAAGACTTGACCAGTATTTCGATTCTCATTTAAGACTGATGTTAGACATATTTAACATCGTTGCTGTCTAAAGATAATCCATTCATCTCTGAAACAAAAATTCCTATTACATGCTTTTGTACTCAACACTTTGTCCAATCACGAGTTCTGTCATTAAGTTGTTTTACAATGTTATACAAAAGATATTTTAGTAGAGTGGTTATTTCAACAAAGTATTATAAAGTAACATGTAATTTTAAGTCAAATTAGAATTTTTTTTAAACAATAGTTCAAAATAGTGAAATAAAAAAAAATACAGATGATGCTTTAAACTGTTCTGTATTGAGGAATGGCAAAATGTAAATAAACAATGGAGATTGGTGGAGAGGGGGAGGAGTCAACCTGCACTTACCCACTCCCCTTTCACCTTCACGAAGAGGGAGCACAGGTAGGAGAGAGGGGTCAAAGGTTAATACTCATACACAAAGGTAAGCACAAAGTCTCATGCAGCTAAGCAAACATGTCAACATGCACATACAAAACCTCCTCATAGAAAGGCTTCTCTAAAAGCCTTAATGCCAGTTTTAGTCATTGCAGCATAAGACAAGGCTCACTTTTAATACAGCTCGAGTTGGGTTAAGTGCTTACCATAACTATGTCTCCAGGCTGGATGGTGATTTCATCATGACTTCGGGCCTCAAAGGGGTAAAGCGCTCTGTAGTACACCACTCTTACCTTCTCCTGATTAAGGCCAGACATGGGCACTTTATCTGAAACATAAATACACAAAAAAAGGTCATTTAATGGAAAAAGCTTGGATTCAGTCATGGAATACATACATGGAATGCATTTACTGTCTCAGATACCATTCCATTCACCCAAATATCCTTCTATTCATCCATTCATCCAACTGTCCATTCCTTTTTTCCATCTCTTCACTCTTTTAGTCAATATTTCCCATTCTGGGGCTGGCCTGCATAGTTTGAATGCTCAAGTATTATTTATGTTGGTATTCAATTCTATATTTAGTATTTAAAGGCTTCTTTTTTTTCAACCCACAAAAATTGTAGCCTAAACCTTGACTCAGAGCCCTACAAACTACGCTCTCCACATGGACAAGCTAAAAGAGCAAAGTTGCCTCAGCAAGAAATCTCATGAGGCAGCATTTTAAATCACTGGGCAAAGAAAGAAAATGCTCAGTGCAAAATTTTCAGGAAGACACTGGTATACCACTTAGGCATGACTAGTTTGATGAATCATCTCAAATGTGGAAATATAATGATACTTTTCGGACTGCCACTAGTTTCTGGTAAGGATGATGCTAAAACCAAGGAGTTCAGAGCCTCAAAGCTGTTTGTTGTCATGAGTTCTGGCAGTGGTGGAGGAAGGGAACACTGGAGCTGCTGGAGTTGTGGGTGCTCTCAGGCACAAAAGTCTGGCGTGGTGGGGTGAAGTTCACTATAGGCAGAGATGACAACAGCATTCAGAAGAAGAAGTGATGAGTTTCAGCTGTGCCATTGCCTGTGTTGCCCTCACCTCTGCTTTCCAGGATACAAAACGGTTAACCAGCCAAATAAAATAAATCAATAAAATAACGAAAAGCAACTTACTAAAACAAACTAAAACTGTTATGGTGATAAATAAAATGACAATTCTAATTCATTACACTGTTAGCATCCACATGATTCATAAAAGCTGGATTTGAATGAGAAGGCTATAATTGCGGCTACATATGGTGTGTGAGCAGTTGGGCTTCAGCCTGACAATTAATACTCTCTTGCCACCTACTGATAAAAGTACAGTAACAAACATTCTATGATTCATTATGAAATGTAAGTATTGTTTAAATGTAATTTTGAGAATGAGTATTTGAGTGCTTGATCAAAAATAAACTGCAAATCAAAGCCTGTAAGGCCCTGTTCACAATTGGTGTTCATATCCATGTCGACTGATCTGATCATAAGTGAAACACGTTTACACGTGGGGCCTAAAATGCAGCTGAACGAGCCCTACCCCCATCCGTGTCAAAAAGCTTCTAACACCCTCACATTCTCTCTCCTCACCTAATGCAGGCCAGGGTGACTGGCCCAGCAGTTTGCCTGGTTCAGGTTGCTGCATGAACAGTTTAGAGAGTTTGTCCTGCATGTCTCCTCTAGAGCTCTGGCTCTCCTCTTCACTGACGTGGCTCATCCAGGGCTGAGAGGCAGGCGGAGTTGGGGCTTTTCCTAACGCTGAATCCCTCCAGGCTGGCGACACACCATCATCAGCCCCCAACACTCTGCAGGACAAAAATAAGTGGCAGAGTCACATCTGGTGTTGGATTTTACTGCATATTAGTCCTCAGTATAGCAACTCACAGTATAGCTGTTAATTTTTCTTAGTCAACTAGTTATTCAGTCTACCGTAGTTTAAGAAAATAAACGAATGGGCCTCATTCACCAACCGTTTGTAAAAAGAAATTACTTCAGTCTTTTTTTCCAAGGACCTTTCTCAAGAATAAATTTAAAAAAGGATATTGGTGAATAAGGCCTAATGAGACTGTTCCAAAACTGGTGTTATTTTTAGTGATTTAGTGATGCCAGCTCAATGATGCTAGTCTTCCATCTTAATATCAGCAGCTAGTGGTGAATGCTTGAGGTTGGTATGTGTATCAGAAGTAGTCCGCTGTATTTCAGCATTACTGTACAAAACTTGCCATAGACAGTGGAATTGGTTTAAAGTCCTGCAAAGTATTTTCAAAGTAACAAATTGTGCATGGCTTCTTGTTTAGCAGTAAAACTACTTTCTGGACCTCTCCTGCATGGTATATATTGCTTCTTCAATTGTTATATACACAGACCTGCTCTCCTGCAGCTCCGCAGGCTTGCTGTCCAGTGGAGGCTGAATGATGTCCCCCTCCAACTCCTTCTGTTTCTGCCGCTGCTGTTTGTTGTGGATCTCCCTGAGCTCCTGCAATGCATGATGGGATACAAGAAGATAGGTGAGCCGGAGTGCAGGAGGGACCAGGACTGGGAATGATCTTTATCTCTCTTCCTCACACACAGGCACATAAAACACACACATTTCAAGATGTCTGCATCTGTACCCTGCAAGCGCTATTCATTCAATGGCCGTACTACAAACCTTAATTCCAGAAAAGTTGGGACAGTATGTGAAATGTAAATAAAACAGAAATCAGTGAACTGACCTGTGTTTGAACAGAAACACTTAAAAAAATATATGTACTGTTTTACCTTATCAACTGTATTGTTTTTGCGAAAGTATTCACGTTTTCTTTAATTTGATTCCTGCTTCATGTTCCAAAAAAGTTAGGATGGGGCAAGTTAAGACGAGTAAATTCATAAAATGTTTAAAAACTTCATATATACAGCAACTATGCTTGGGTATAAACGGAGTACCTAGGAAAGGTCTAATCTTTTATGCGCAAGGATGGATTAAGGCTTTGACAAAAATGTGTCAGTGAGTAAGGGTTTAAGAATAATGTTTTTCAACAAGCAGGTACAAGGATTTTCGGTATTTCACCCTAAACTGTTCATAAAATCAAAAGATTCATAGAATCTAGAGAGATTTCTGTGCGTAAAGGGCAAGGCCAAAAACCATGACTGAATGCCTGTGACCTTTGATCCCTCTGACGCCACTGCATTAAAAACCAGCATGTTTCTGTGATGGATATCACCACATGTGCTCAGGAATACTAATCGGTGTTAGTATACACCATTTTCGCAGTATCCACAAATGCAAGTTAAGACTGTACTATGCCCAGTGGAAGCCATGAGCTAAGAACATTCAGAAATGCCATTAACTTCTATGGGCTCAAGCTCATCTGAAATGGACTGATGCACAATGGAAACGGTGATTTTGTGGCGTCAACCTTTCAGATTGTTCAAAGAAATAATGAATGTTGTGTTCTCTGGCCAAAGAAAAAAAGAACCATCCAGATGTTGCCAGCATAAAGTTCAAAAGCCAGCATTTGAAATGGAATGGGGGTGTATTAATGCCCATGGCACGGCAAACGTGAAGGTATCATTAATGTTGAAAAACATATGCACATTTAAGAGCAACCTATGCTGCTTTCTACACATCTTTTTCAGGGACACCCATGCTTTTCAACATGACAGTGCCATGTCATGTGTTACAGCATGGCTGTGAAATCAGAGAGTGTTGTATATTATGAAGCACAAAACAACAACAAAAGCCTTGTATGGTTGTGCAGCTGAAGACCGTTATAATGAAAGAACAGCAAAAAATTCTGATTTCAAAACGCCATCAATTTGTGTCTTCAGTCCCCAGATGATTATTAAGTTGTTAAAAGTGTTGTTTTGTACAGTTTTCAATCTGATACAGTTTAAACAGTAGTTACTAATCACTGCTTTTGTTTTTAGCATTTCACAGTGTCCCAACTTTCTTGTAGTTGACATTTGTAGATTATTCTTGCACATTATTCTTTACATAATATGTATGCTTGCTTCTCCTCTGACTACAGCAGTTTCTAAATCTCTCCCACTCTAAATGTAAACAGTGTAAAAAGTATGAATATCAATGCCTGAAGGCTAAAAGCAGTGGAGTACAGCTTGTGCAGGCCACATACTGACTGTGGTTAAAAATTACTATAAGCAGATTATTTTTGATAAACAATCCACTTGCAGTGCTAAACATCAAACATGTATTCCATCTTCCTGTTTGAGATACACTTGCATGGAACATGGTGCAAACAATGTGTTCATGACGGCAAGGCTGCAATGCCTGCTGGGTAACTTCACGTGAACCACAAGGGTTACAGATGATAGAGAGGTTACTGCAGCAACACAGAATGTTTAAAGGAAGCTGCTGTGTTTCAGCTGGCCAACGGAAACACTGCTGCTTATGTGATGTTTTCGTAATCTTCCAATAAGTGATCTTCAGAATGATTCACACAGACTGTGCTACATTAGACAGCCCTGTGGACTGATGTGTTTAAAATAATAGATTGTCAGAATGAAGAGAGGGTTACTAATATTCACCCATGATCACTGCATCACTGCAGTGTAAATTTCAGGTCATTTTAATCTTCACACAATTCAATAACAGGCAAGAAGGCTAAAGAGACAGAGTTAGAGGTTAGAGGTTTCAGTGTAAAACCAAGCATGCACACATACACTCACTCCCTTTTTCCCATTAACTCACACACAGGCTGTGTCATAGGAAGCACTTGGTTAGAACTCCATGAACCAGATTTGTCATAATCAGTCATGCACTGGATTTCACACACACCGGTTTGATTTAGTTTGAGTGAGGAGTCTTACAACATTGTTCTGTAGAACTATTCTCATAAGAGACCACCTTTTTATTTACTTTAATTTCCAATCAAAACAGCCATTATGTATGAGCTACTTATTTTTAGTGTCAGAAAAAAGCAGGAAACATATTTAACAGAAACCTTTCTTCTAATCTTAAAACCAACAACTGTGTCCTCCCAAGAAAACATGTTTCCAAAGGTTGTTAGCCTCGAAAGAGATCCTACCATCCACACAGGCCATTACCCAAACACATCTCAGCTGCCTTCCAAATTTCATGTGCATCTAAAATGGCTAAAGGAGATCATTCCGAGGAGTTTAGAGACACACATACATATACATATATATACATATATATACATATATATATATATATATATATTTATATATATATATATATATATATATATATATATATATATGGAGTTTCCAAAACTAAATTTCAAGATAAAAACATATTAAAAATGTACACAGTATAAAGAAAATAGGACTCCTAACAATTGTGCAAGGTGCAAATCTCAGCAGATAGTACATAGGAGACATAGACATAGGAGAAAATCTAGCTCCACTCTTGCTCCAGATCTGAAAAATATCAGTTTTTTCAAAAATATCAGAGTTTCTGTCCATCCTTCCACTGTGAGAAGACAACTCAATACTGTGAGTCTGAATATGTAGCTGTCAAGAAGCCCTTATTGAGAAAAATAAATAGACATAAAAGAAGAAAATATGCACTATAACACCGAAACTGGACTTCTAGGATGTGGATCAAAGTGAGAAGCAAAAAAATACAACCAACTTCTAAGACTGAACTTTGCACAGAAAACAAGTCTCCAAAATGAATGGAAGCTGCAACAAAAGAAAAGGTGCACACAATACTGTAAAACATTATACCTTTCATTAAGTTATGTTTTTTTCTGCTGTTTTCCCTGATCAATAATTAAAATAATTAGCTGGTACTTAACAGAAATTTTGATGAGAAATTAATAAAATGAAAGGCTGGTCTCTGACTTTTGCACAATACCATATGCAAGCATATTCTAACAATCCTTCCCTTTCCTAATCAGGAAAAATAAAAACTTCGCAACAAACTAACCTGATCTAAACCTAACCTAGAAATGCAATACTGTTATTCAGTGTCTCCTCCCTACCTGGTAGCTTTAATATAAACTGCCAGAAGAAACCTGGTTAGCTATTACTGCTGTTTTCACTACTTTTTCAATGAGAAGGCCTCCAAGTCACACTTAAGGTAGACTGAAACAGTCCTCTTGAAAACCATGGCTTGATAAAAGCATCTCTAGGCATTAAAGTAATCTAATATAAACAAGTGAAAGGGCAAAATAAAACAGATTAAGCCAATGACAACCAGGTTCATGCATAAGGCTGGCCTGCCACAAACACTGACCTTAATATTTTAAGGCAGTGTTTCTTAATCCTGCTTCTGTGGACCCGCAGTATCGCACAGTTCCCTGCCACAACACACTTTCATGAGCTAGATCAGGTGTTTGAGGCAAGGAATAGATGAAAGCTCAGCTGAATATTGTAGTTGAACACAAACAGTTGAAACTGTTCAGTGCAGTGGGTTCCTAGAAGCAGGATTAAAAAAAACATACTGGCTTAAGGAACCCATTCAGAATATATTTTAATCTGCAGGAACCCTACTCCTACAGTATGAGTAGAAGCTGCACTTTTATACTGATCTTGGACCAGTTTCCATTATCCAATTATACAATTCCATACATTCCCTGCAATTTTTATTAATGTTCACAAATAGCCAAACTTCGGGATAGAGAAGTTTTCCCCTTCAATAAAACCCAGTGCAGATCAAAGAGTCAAGAACATTATCAGTGTATCTTGCATAGAACGCTACTGTACCATATCAGAAATTTCTAAACCAGTCCCAGATCAGTGTAAATCAGCAACTTCTACCAGCACTGAATGGCCCAGCATCAGCACAGCGATCACTTTGAACAGCCCTTCTACAGGAGCTTGAGAGGGAAGGTGCAATAAGACACAATAACGGGGTAAGAGAGTGTGGGATCAGGGTTTGTTTGGGGTTTTTTGCAGTTCAGGGGCTAATGGGGAGACCTGGAAGTAGAAGTCTAAACGCTTCAAACAGGCCAGGAGGGCCGCAAGGCAGTCCAGCAGCACCTCGTCCACCGAGCCCCCTGACTGCAAGAGACACAAAGCCAACCAAAAAGGTCACAGGTTCAAGAACTGAAAATTTCACAGCAACACTGTTATAACAATCAGTCATCATCATAGCTTAGCTTCATTGCTAATATGCTACACTTCTGGACAGTGTGTAGAGCAAGTAGTGATTAATTAATACTCTAAGTTAGAATAGAGAGTTCACAGATAGGCTTGAAGAAGCACACCAAAGCACCACAAAGGGGCAGAACAAATGCTTTGTTGGTTATTAAACCCTGCAGGCTTTTAAAGGAACACTCCAGTGTTTTAACGAATCTCTATCCACCTCATCGATAGCATAAGATCCATTACTACATCATTTCTTTGAGTCAAAACACACTTAACCTGTGTTCACATTAGCAGGCAGCAGAGCGACAGGCAGCCGGTTATCTTCTATAGAAGTAGGCTATTTGCAATTTAGCAACAAGCAACAAGCCGAACTGATATTTTCTCAAATTTTGGCAAATAAAATAGGATGCAGTGAGCTGACCATGTAAGTCATCCATCAGATTCTTAAATGACTCGTAGACATGGGAGTCCACGTTTCCCAGCCTCTACTGTCTGAACTTTTTGTTCCTACCGTAAATCTGCTCCTACCAGAAATTCGCTCCTATTCCCAAAAGCAAAAAAGGAAGTGAAACTTGCAAGCTTGTGACTTCAGAACCACAGCTTATACAAACATAACCATGATAACGTTTTTGTTTAAACAAAAAAAGTGATACATATATAGGACGCATATAGTATGTCCACACGTGACAAAAAGCGGCCTCGAACACACGCACAAGAGACAAACTTGCCATTAATGACAAACATCAGTGACTTGTTGCCTCCTAAGGTGAACATATGGTTAGAAGCCAATGGGAACATCAGCAACTGCTTATTGGTTTTTTATAAGTGTTTCAATTACTAACTATAGGTAACGTAGGGGTGGGTGATATGGCAAAATTACAATACCACAACACAAACAAACTTTCATGGAAGCATTAGAATACTTTGCTTTTCTGGAAAAGGTAAAATGGACCATTAGTGGAAAATTTATAAATAATCCAAGTATTTATTCATCGTTTCACATACTGAGCTGCACTAAATCTAAACAGACCTAATTATGTAATTCATCATAACACAATTAAAAATATTGTTGTATTGCCCACCCCCAAAGGAATGCATCAAAATTATTGTTCATAGTAGTCAACAGTATGCTATAGATGCAGCAGACACAGATTAAGTTGAAAACGCTTGAGTATTCCTACGACTGTGATTATCAATAAAGTTATTGACTTAGTACGGGCCACAGAAGACAGCCAGGAATGCTGAGATGATGCACTACTGCAATCCCTCCTGCAGAGGGCAGCAGAAAGCACGGTGCAGGTGAGTAAGGGGGTGGAAGGGTAGTTTGGTGATGGTAGTTGTAGTTTTTGAGGTGGGGTAGTAGCAGGTCTTGGTTGACTACCTGTCGCCCTCTCTGCTCCTCAAGAAGTAGCTCCAGCCGAAGGCTCTCTATCCGGGCAGTGTGGGCTTGATAGAACAGCCCCAATGACTGTACCAACAAGGCGGGAAATTGGTAGGGAAGCCAGGATAAAAGAGACCAGCCAAGCCATTCAATAAAGGTAGACAAAAAGGGGAGGTACGGGTGGCACAAGGCCAGGATGAGGTTGAAGATGGGGATGTAGATGATGATGACCAAGGGGCAAGAAAGAGTGAGCAACAGTCAAATACAGTGAGAGAGGAAATCAAGTGTTCAGTACTTCATCCCACTGGCTCTTTCTCTTTTTCTTTACCTAGAGTCTGTACTAGGGCCAGACCGATATACTAGTAAAAAACGAAAAAAAGAAAAGACAAAAGGGGAACAATTGTGTTTTATACTGTAACAAACAATTGCCTCTGATGTAAAGAAACCAGTTCACTTTATAGCAGGGGTGGGGGAACTCTGATCCTGAAGGGCTGGATTCCAGCACAATTTGGTTTCCTGCTCACACACCCTTGATGCAACCCACAAGTTAATTGTCAAGTTTAGCTGGAGATGTTAGATTAGAGAAGTCACCAATATGTGCTGGACTTTGGCGCTTAGTTCTCCACCCCTGCTTTATATACTAAACTGACAGTCACTATGACTTCTATTACAGCAATAGTGGCTGAACTGGTAAATCTGAAAACAAAACATTATTATGGTTAAGCAGCATGAGGACGCTACAGCACAAAAACTATAATGAGAACTGAAGAAAAACATAAGAGCTAATTAAGAGAAACTAAAAAACTGCTAGGAATTCTGGGAGACTCCAACTCCCATGCTACAACATTTATGTCCATCCTAAACCTTTGGTCTACCCCCAGATGCATGGATTTAATGTGCATGTTACCAAGAATGTCCACAGGGCCTAAGGGTTGTCAAATTCTGCCATTCATCTTGCCAGTAAAGAGGATATTGCAGGCTTTTTGTAAACTTCCAGGGACACTGTCTAGGTGCAGGTATCAGCAGACTTATGACATCACGGCACAAAACAAAATGCGAGTTCCAATAAACAAATAATTAAATAAATAAAAACTTTCTTTACAGACAAACGAAGAACATATTTCAATGGAAGTAACACGATTTATGTCCAAATGTGCAAATTTTGGCATGACTATTCACCACAATATTTACTTATTGGCTTTTTTTTATATATATATGTTTGCAGCCACCCATCCTTGCATGATTTGACATGATACCAATGAGCGCTTCGATGACACCACAGAATGCAGCTCCAAAATCCGTGAGACCTGAGGCCATGGGGTTGGAGTCCAGAAATTTAGATAGGGCATTACTATGACTTGTACTTTGTGAGATTTTGCTGTTAAAGAAATTTGTCAACTAAAAACTGACAACCACATTTAACAGTTCTCAATCAACTACCAGCAATCCTATGAGTCAGTAAAGCACTGTTTAACTAAAATGACTGAATGATTGATTATATCAGCCAATCTTACATTACTGGAATTGTCAGCTCCTTAAAACTGGTATCATTAATTATATTTTCATATCGGTCAGGTCCGAGTCTGTACTCTGGCTTGGGAGATTACATGAATTTGTGAACATTTTTTTGAGGAGGCAAACACCTTTAAAACTACGAAGTGGGAGAAATCTGTATTTGGTATTTGGAGAACACTGTTTCTCATCCCTCTCCCCCACACACACAGGAACGCAGAACAGAAAGAATTTTAAATAAGCAAACACAGTTAAACTCTGCTCTGTGTGACCTTGGAGGCCTGTCTGTCTGTGAGTGTGTGTATCTATCTTCTTATCTATCTATTTGTATACACGATTGAGTTTTGTGAGAGTGTTTGGTCAGCACCTTCAGCTGTGTGTTGAACGCATCTATCTCTAGCAGCTTGGAGCGAGTCTCTTTCTCCACGGCGTCCAGTTGCTCACGGAGCTCCTGCCTGGTTGCTTCCTTCATCTCCACGGCTCTCTGCAAGCTGGACAGTGAGTCCCCTATACACACAAGCAAATCAAGCTGCCATTGAGACCTTTATCATAATTCAGACTGAAATTGTTCTGATTAAGTTTAAGAACTTTGCTGTAATAACCTGCTTGGCCAAATCCATGCTCTAAACATTGTGCCTTTGCAACTAAGCTTTCAATGTTATTGGTTAAATGAAGTAAAGTACAGGCTCTCATCCTTCACCTAAAACCTTCTTCTTTATCAAATTTAAAACACAAATCATTCACCTTCAGTGTTATATGTTTAGAGTAAATTAAGATTGGTAGAATATTTTTATTCTGCACATGCAGTGGAGTTGCCCAAACCTTTGACAGTTTTACAGATATATTTTTGGTATATCACACATGCATATTCTGTTCTTTTTTTTTCCACAAAAAAAGTTTGACTTTTTACCACTGATGCTAAAAAAATTTAAACCAGTAATTCTGCCATCACTAAAAAGTGGAGCTAGGAGAGGACATTTCAGAAGGCCTTTGGGATGGTGCACTTGAGAACATCCATAAATCTTCTATTTGTGCAAAGCATGGTCTCATGCAATGTAAAATAATACATCGCTTTCATTTCACTAAAGTCGGACTCTCCAAGATCTACCAAAATATAGATCCTACATGTGATAGATGTCATCAAGCTCCAGCGACACACGTACGTACATTTTGGTCCTGTCCCTCTTTGTATCCATATTGGACAGAAATATTCAAATCATTTGAAGATATAATGGGGAACTCTATTGAGCCCAATGCCATGATTGCCTTGTTTGGTGTGATTGCTTCATCAGTATCCCTTTCATCTTTGGAGGCTGGTTTTGTATCTTTTGTCACTCTTCTTGCTAGGCGATTAATATTATTAAATGGAAATCTCCTATACCTCCCTCTCACACATCATGGATTAAAGAAGTCCTCTGTGTTGTGAAACTGGAGAAAATGAGATGCATAAAAAATGGTTCCTTACAGAAATTTCATAAAATCTGGAATCCGTTTCTTAAATATGTAGAAAATTGGTCGAAAACTTGTCCTCTCTTCCTTGATGGGCTACTTATTGATCGCTCTTTCATATGTAGACACTGTTGAAACATGTAAAGGTAGTACTTGAGACCTATCTATTGATGTAAAATGTTACTATTTTATTTATTTATGTATTTATTTACTCATTATTTTTCCTTAGTTCTTTATTCCTCTTATTGTTTTCTTTGTGATTTTTTAGTCTGTGCTCAATCACATTTTCAATCTGTTTATTATCTCCTTTTTTTAATTGTCCTTTGTATTAGCCTCAAAAGTTCAATAAAATAAATATTCCAAAAAGAAATTCTCCACCACATAAACACCCATCTTAGTGTACTGTTTTACTCTACTTAACTGTTTTAGCAGTGTAGGATAAAATAAGGGTTTCTTTTTTTATGTACTTAAACAGCTGCAATACATAATCATATTTTTGAAATCTTAAGCTGTCATCATTTTGGCATCAAACCTTAAAACATACTGTATCATATTTTCTAATAATACTATATCCTACACAACACAGGAAACAATGATGACAGTGACAGGCCGTTTGGTTAACCACAATGTGGAGGTGGCCAAACGCAGCCAGTGTAAAACTTCATCTTCAGCACTAAATAATGGTTATGCTATCCTGGAAACCCACAATGCGGTCAAGGTGACAATGCCTCTATTTCACTTCTCATTTTTCATTTAAAAGTGCTTAAAAGTTTGCAGCAACTCAGTAATTATCCAGTTTTGTTCCAATCATAAACATACATTACTATATGTAATATATAATGGATACTACTTGTAAACACTACCAATATATTTGTATTTTGATCTTATAAAAGTGCATTGTGTTACTGTTAGTTGCTTATTCTTTTCTGATCCTTGTAACATCTGTGACATTTAACATATTGGGCCCTGTGATCTGTGCTTTGGAAAAAAAAAGTTAATGGTTTTAGATTACGGCATGTTTTGTTTTAGGTCAAGATTAATATGAAGTTAAATTAAACAGCAGATAAAGCAACCTCTGAGAAAATAAGGGGAGATAAAAATGTGTCTTACTATGCAGGCTGTTCTGCTGCACTTGCTTCAGCTGATCATTCAAACACTGTTTATCAGGAATGAGTCTACCCAACCACTGCTGAGACTCCTACAGAGGGGCAAGAGAGAGAGATAGAGAGAGAGGAGTGAGAGAGATAAGATAAAGAGAGAGAGAAAGAGAGAGAAGGGGGGGGGGGTTGAAGAAAAAGAAATGAAAAAAAAGAAAAAAGAAAGGAGGGACAAAAACAGAGCACACAAAGAGAGAAATCAATAGGAGTGAGAATTAAAGGCCTCAGTCTGGCAGCATGAGTGAAAAAGTGAAAATAAATACAAAGTGTGCATTACAAACAGTCACGCAAAACCAAAATGGTCAAAGTGGTAATAAAAAGCTGCTGCTGAATGTCTAAGTTGTTCTAGGCATTGTACGTGGTACAGCTCTGCGGGGTGAAATACCTGTAGCTGCTGTTGCAGTGTGGTGATCTCAGCGATGCGGAGTTCACGCGTCTTATTGGTGCTCTCAATCTCTTGCCTCTGAGTGGACAGACGAAAACGGATGTCCTGCAGCTTCCCCTCCAGCTGAGACTTCTTATCATTCTATGAAAAGAGAGAGCAAGAGAGCAATGTGCTTAATTCTCAATTCCCTATGATCCAAACATTCAAAAGAATACAAGATTAGAATCAACTGCGCAGACAGGATGAGATTCTATGGTAAGTAAGAGTGTGCATGTGTGTGTGAGCTTACCAGAGCCTCAAGTTCAAACTCGAGGGTCTTCTTGCGTGCTTTGAGCAAAACGATGTTCTCCTGCTCTCGGTTCCTCTGGGTCAGCAGCTCCTGCCTGCGGTTCCTCTCCCACTCCAATTGCCGCTGTCGCTCCAGCTCCCGCTTAGCTGCCTGAAAACATACACAAAGAAACAGGTTAAAGGAATAGTTCAGCTTTTCACCTTTTAAATCGGTCCAACTAAAAAACTATTTATCAAGTTAAAAACTAGTAGCAAGCAGCTGCCTACTCTGCACACCGGGACCATAACCCTTTCAGAGCAAGACACAGGCTCTGGATTAAAAATCAATCAAGGCATCCTGTCTTAAAAATGTATTCAAGTGTTTTCTTTAAAGCATTTAGTCACCAGTAAATAAGCTCTCTCGCATGTATACCTCTTTGTTTCATGTTTTGTTGTAGCACCGTTCTGACAATTGTGTGCCTGTGTCTGTCAGTCTGCCAAAGTAGAGTTTACAAAGACTAGAATTATGCCAGTGGAGTCATGCTAATTGGTGACTCCTAGCTTCCACAGACAAAGCTTCTGCTCATGCTTAGTATTCTGGAGAATTAGTGATGATATCAGTATCGATTGGGTTGGTGTAGGCAGAAAGTAAATCATTTTGTCTTCATGTCACATCAAGGATTCTCCAGTGTGTCTTAATATATTGCAGTACATACAATTATTGTAAATTGCAGCAGAATATTTGTAATATGGTATTCTGTCCATATCATGGAAGCCCTACAGCCACTCCAGCTCAGTCTTAGCAGCCGGTCACACAGTCATAAACACATGCAAACACATACACATACAATGCGCGCTCACATACGCACGCACCTCCCTTCTTTTGCCCAACTAATGTGCCTAATTCTCAGTGACAACCGCCCTATAATAGAATGCACACCTCAAATTTTTTATCAAAAGCAAATCATGCAGCTACACATACACGCTTCTTTCCAGCGACAGTCTAAAGGTTCAGAATCTTACTTTTCCATAATGTAAAAACTAGCACTCTACAACTTTGTAGTTTGTAAAATTTGTAAAATTACAAATTTGTAATTTTGTCAATATTTGTGAAATCAGTGATTTGATTAGTTTTACACTTTTGTGAAATGTCAAATGTGTCCAGAATTATGAACAGAGCTGTAGATGACTCAATAATGACTGAGAAAGCTGTATAACATCAAGAATAAAAATATAATAATAATTAACATATCTGAAAAGTGGTGCTCAAATCTAAAGATAGTGATAGATAAATAGATTGGTGTTTAATTTACAAGTATATACATTAAAATTATATATCAGTATAATATTTCACTCCATACTGTTTATTACTGATTATTACGATGATTCTACATTTGAATAGCAATGTGTCCCCACATTTTCACCACGCACCTCTCTCCTCTCAATCTCTTTGCGCCGCTCTTCCTCCCGCTGTCTCTCCAGCTCCCTCTGCTTCTCAAGTTGCTTCTCCAATTCTTGCTGTCGTCGGCGCTCCTGTTCTTGCCGCTCGCGCTCCTTGCGCTCCTGCTCCTCCCGTTCCAGTGCCGCCAGTCGCTCCTGCTCCTTACGTTGCTGCTCCAACAGGGCCTGCCGCCGCTTCTCCAGCTCCAGATTGCCTCGTTCAAAGTTCTCTCGCTTCTTGTCTTCAAAGGTGACTGCAGAGCAGAGAGCGATAGGGTAAGAGAAGGGCAAAAAGGAAGAAAAGAGGAGGTGCGAAGGGCTGCAGATTTTTGGACCACAAAGTTCAGCCAACTAGGTTTTGGTGAAAAAAGCAGAAATTAATTTTACTGAACCTTCGTTAGAGATTAAGGATCAACTGTGATAGATAAACAAGCAGACAGACAGAAAGGACGTGAGATGAATGTTTTTAGTGTGCATATAGTTGGAGAGTTGGCAAAAAGACAAAAACCCTTGCACTGAGAGGGACAAAGCTGACATTTGGGCAATAGCCTCAAGCAATGTCACCCACAGTCTGCTGAATAAAGATGAAGTTAAATGCTATTACTTATCAAATATAACTAATATTGCTCACTTTTCACCAGTTCAATGTCATTTCATCCTTATACCCTCATATTTAGGAAACTCGAAGTCTACTATATTCAGTATTACTGTTCTCTATTCTGTAGGGCTGTCGGTAACAGAAAATAAAATGCTTATAAATTAGGGACTCAGCACTGGGGCGGCTAATGGAACATAAAGAGGCAGAAAACGACAATGCATCGTTTATTTCTTCACCCCAACCTGGAAGCTTTTTCTCCGCCTCTTTCTCCTCTTCTTCTGCAGACTCTTCCTGGACCCGCTGATCTGTAGGGTGCATGCTGGTCATAGAGACTCCACTGCCAGAGCGCACCCTCCTACACACAGACACACATCAATTTAGACAGCCCAGAGCATATAACACGTTGTAATAATGAAAACTATAAATGATCTTACGGCTCACAGCACAGTACAGGTCATGGCAACAAAGCAACCAGCACAGATTTATATATTTATTTTTATATGAATTTAACTGGTAGGGGCCAGTGGGCATCAAAGAGGTGTTCCAGCCTAAAACTAGCTTTTAATAACATATTTGTTATGCAGAAATCAACAATGCAACTTTTTTTGCGTTTTAATTTTCAGGATTAGACTTTAATACCCAGTCAAAAACACATCATATCACCATTAGGAATTTCCCTCAAAAGAATGAAATTCTGACTGTAAGCATGGCCACGCTTCTTTTTGCATTAGCTTGTGCACTAACAAATAAATACATTTCAAACAGCCCAGTCTGAGTCTTTAAACAAGAAAATCTCGCTCTACAGACTACTGTGGCACAGCTGTAGGGGGCGGGCAAGTATGTTTACATAAGTTAAAGGATCCTTTAAGGAAATGAGCACTGAAATTAGCATGCTAATGGTTCTCACCTATGGTTAGACACATCAGCATTTTTTGTCAGAATACTCTTTCAAAAATATGAAAACAAAATCTGATGCGGTTGGATGTGTTAATGAATGTGACCTTATAGCACTCAGTGCAGGTGGGTACTCTGACCTGAAGGTAGGTGGCAGAAGGTCAGGGGGCAGGAGAGGAGGGAGAGGCAGGCCAGACATGGCCATGTCAATTAAGTGCATGGCCAGAATAAACTCCTCAGCTGTCAGCTTTCCGTCCTGGTCTATGTCTGACAGGTTCCTAAGGCAACCACACCAAACAGAGCATCAGTGAGGGGAAGACAAACCTCAAATGTAAAGAAGTAAAAGCTTCATCTGATATAAGATGCCTTGTCAGAACTCCTTTCTCAAGCCATAATGAAGCAAAACAGTAATACTATGACATTCAAAAATATTAATAATACAATGGGACTCTGTATGATAGCTACAATTAAGTCACGAGACTTATCATAACTAAATACAGATTGTTACTATTCATGTGAAAGATAAAATACTTGTGTTTGTGTATAGTCACTGAAATGTTTCTGATGAAGAAAAAAAAAAATCCATAGTAATATCCTCACCAGATGGTGGCCAGCTGGGCTTGTGGTAGACTGGACTGCATAAGAATAGTTCTAGCCTGGGGCCCTGAGACAGAGAGAAGAGAGAAAGAGGAGCTGAAAATGCTGACACCAGATTCTTAGGATCCACTTCACTTTATTGACTCATCAGAAGGGTTGCAGTAAGATCAGTACTACGTACAAAGGCACGCTCACACTCAGACACAGCCTCCTAGCACACAATTACAAGAGTTCAAACTGGGTTTTAGCGAAGTATAAAAAAGCATATACCATAATGACAATGCCAAATATGAATTGAATGCTATGTAACAGGGATCCTTAAAATTATGGTCCACAGACATGTTTGTGCTGGATCATTATAGGAATGTGTGTTAGCACGTGAAAAGAGTAAGGTGAGTTTAACAGACAAAAAACATGTAACTCAGATGTAAATGTAAATAAACTTTTCAAAATTTACACAGCTATATTAGAGCCATCTGTACGTCTTGCTGGAGACTTTTTGGTAGCTGAATGTCCTCTATAGCCAGATATACACTGAGCGATTTTAGAAATTTTGTTCTTTTATGACAACTCACACTAAAGTTTGAGTAGACCATTGCGTACAGACAAAGCTTTATATGTTTTCACTGTGCGAAAAAAGTTTGGTTCGACCAACATGCTACATGAAACGCAGCCTCTACAGGCAGCTATATCTAATGAACAATGTCCAAAAAAGCTGTTTAATTCAGAACAACACGCCACAACCAAGAACTGAGCAAACACATTGTGCACTGAAACTAAAACCTGGTGGTACAAGGGAAGGACAATACAGACTCTCTACAATCAATTTTACAAAGACAATTTGGGAAAAAAAAAACAAAAAAAAACAACACCACACACAAAAACAACAACAAAAAAATGTTAAATGTTATAACTTTACTCAAACAGAGTCAAGTCAGCATATACAGACTTCCGTACCACAAATGCTGACCTTTTTGCTTCTGTTTTGTCAGCCAGCATGTCTCCACCGAAGTGGTTGCAGCTGTGTTTTTGTGTGTTTAAAAACAGGCGAAAATCACACAGTGTATGCCTGGCAGGAATATGCCCAGGCAGAAGGTTTAAAGTGACCAACAACTGTATCCGAATGCCAAGTCATATCCAACACTTCACTGTGCGACCAGACCCTCCTTCACTGCCAGCTCCAGCAGATGCCAGTCGTTTGTTGATTTGCGCTGTAGCATACACTACGCTTACATCACATGGTATCAGGTGGTACAGGATGTTGTTATTGGTGCATTTTTCTGAGTATGAGTAAATGTGCAATACTGGTATTGATGCATCCTTAGTAAAACATCACATTTTTAAAGGTCTTTATTAAGCTGTCAGAATGTATGAATATGCTTATGTAGGACATACCACTGTCAGTTTTACAACAGAAGAGTGTAACCTATTCCCACTATTAAACCTCCAACCAACCAAACCACATGAAACAATGGTGCCGATATGACTCACAAGGGAAGGGTGGAAGAGCTAGTAGAAACTAATATAAATTAGTATAATTTTTAAAAAATGTTATTAATCATTTTTGGGTTCCAGTTTTATTTGGGTCCTCTGGTCACATCATTTGACGTCTACTTCCTCAAATCAGGCTCTAGACCCACAATAAAGCGGGTTAGTACTCAGAAACCCTCTTAAAGCCAGTGGAGGTGTTGTACCTGTAAGATGGCCACTCATCATCTTGTCATGGCTGTTGAAGAGTTGGCGATACTTTAGCCGTGAGGACTGGGGCACAGCCCAATCAGTGGGCACGGGGGCTGCGGGGGCACTGCAGGGAGACAGAAACAGGATATTTAGAGAATGTATGTGTCACTGTGTGTTCATGTGTGACCGGAGACTCACCTAGGTGTCTCAAAAGACTGTCCCTTGGGCAGCTTGGCACTGGAGCGGTTGAAAGAAGAGCTTTTGTTGAGAGCTGTGGCTGACAGAGGAGCTGAGAGAGAGAGAGAGAGAGAGAGAGAGAGAGAGAGAGAGAGAGAGAGAGAGAGAGAGAGAGAGAGACGGTTAATTCTCTTTGACTGTTTGCAAGAGTACTGATGAATAAAAGCTAACTTGGTCACCAGGACCATAATCTCACTGATGTACTGACAGCTGAGCCCTTGCTAAAAATGAATGGAAGCTCACAAGGAGTCTATTAGGAATAAATCAAGGAGATCATGGTCACCACTTGCTTCCATTTATATTCAGTGTCAACTTTGGTGGCATTTGAGTGGAGTTTCAACCATGGTCTCCACCAAGCTCTTACCAGGGTGTGAAAATCCTGATATGGGTTGTATCATCGAAGGGGCTCCATTGGCCATTGGAGGCACAGGAGGGGTCACTGACGACACCAGTGGGGGTGACATGCCCACACCCGGCACTCCAGGAGGAAGAGGCGGGAGGGGCATGGGCGGCACCGCTGGTAAACCCGTCATGGCTCCCATACTGGGCATTCCTATAGACAGCAAAGACAGAAGCTTTGGTTTATAGGAATGATGGTTCCAAACACTACAACAATCTGGTAACACTGGTGTTTTTTGGGTACTGGTGTTTTTATGAGAATCTTGCCCAAGGACTCTTACTGGTATGGCATGGTGTGTTCACAAGAACAGGGAATTAAACCCCAGTCTGTCACATGGAGGGCATTAATGTCACCCACCCTGCTATACCAAACTTGAGTTAGATAATGAAGGTTTGAAGCACTACTGAGCAAAAAAAAGGGTCTTCACAAATTGTTTCTTTAAAGTATGCATTGGAAGACGTCCGTATCAAATTTAAAGGAATAGTTTAGTAGTTTAGTAACAATCAATTACACCTTAACCTAAATGTTGCCAATTAGCTGAGACATTTTAGTCTCCAGAGTTAGTTTTGTACTGGAGCTACAATCAAAGCTTATACCTCTCACGTACCATCCCAAAAAATCTGACACAGAATGATATATCTACAAAAATGGGCAAAAGTATGTTGCATGGCTAAAAACAGCAGGAGCACGCATCTTGAAGCATTGTGCTTTTGTGCACTTTTACATTTCTAGACCCTACATGTCAGAAACTACATAAGCGAGTCTATTTGAGACTACTTAATCACTCAATGTTGTTTCAATCAAGTGTGTGATCATTTAGGCATGCAGTTTCCACAAATCGTAAATGGTGGGGTTAAAAAAAATAATAATAATCTTTTGCGTTCATTCACTCCGCATTTACCAAAAGCACTGGGAGGCGGTAAGGAGAGGGGGGGCTGCTTCATGGAGGGGGGCAAAGTGGGGGGCAGCGGGTGACCCTGCAACTTCAGCTTGATCAGCTTCATGGCTATGGAGAACTCGTGCATGTCCATCTTCCCATCGTTGTTCAGGTCGGCCAAAGCCCTACGGGACAGCAGTCACACCTTTTAATGGCATTCAAACAAACCTGCTTCAACAAACCTGACCCTGTCTTTAAGTGATAAAAGTGGACATAGAACTTTGAGACACATAAACTATCAGGATCTCTTAAGAACTACTAGAGTCTACAAAAGACAAGTTTTTGAAGTGGATTTATGCACTGGAAGTATTATTGCATAAAAAATTGAATACTTGTTCCCTTCACTGTATCAACAGAGAAGTAGTTTAGATTTACATTTTATTTAATTAAAACTGGTGTAGTTTTCTTTTTACTATCCTTCATAATAAAGTCATGAGTCCATTTAGAAAGGCAATGTTCAATCAGAGCTTTTAAGAGCAGCTGAACAAAATGTTAATCATCATCAGTGAGCAAACCCTTGTTACATTAGATTAAAAACAAAAAATTGCTCCCTTTCTCATATACCAGTACTCTATAGGAATTCATCTAATATATGCTATGTAGTGTGCTACATGTCAAAGGAGGAGACATGTTACACTACAGCGACACTACAGAAACTACAGTTGTCTTTAACACACCTCCTGCCAGTGAAGACCAGGTTAAATTAATCTGGATTATGAACTATTCTGAATAATCAGTCAGATTACAGAGGCTCATACCATATCTGGGCCAGAACAGGGGCAGGTAAGCCTGACTGCAGAAAGAAATTCTTGGCCTGATCACCTGCAAAGGGAAAGGGAGACAGGCATGATTAAGAAGGTTACAGTGTATTACAAGACAACGCACTAAACAGAAGTCACAAAGGCAATAGTATTAAACAGATAACTGTATAGAACAAGATGTGCTTAATTTCTGTCTCGCAGACACAGAAAACTAAAAGGCTTGCATTACATTACTCGGTGAGGTGCCATTACAGCTTTTGAGTGATTCACTGTGTGTGCAGAGTCAGACGACCACATATAACTTGTGCGTTGTTATAAACATGCCTTGGCGTCAGGACTGGACTTTGCTTCAAGCTATCCACCCACCAAAGCTTGTGCAAGAACAGAGAGAGGAGCCTGCTTCACGTTAGACTTTTACGCATTTATTCATGGTTTTGTTTTATTTTTTTCATGTGTGAGAAAAGTTTTTCCAGATACTTCCAAAATGTATTTTCATGAATCCACCAAGACAAATACAAACTAGAACGATACATTCTAGAGAATTTTTTTTTTGGAAGACAATGTGCAGTGAAACTACATTGCAATATATCATTTCGTAAGACTTAGCATGTCACATCTTTAGCCACTGCAAAAGAATCGTATTGTAGTTCAAGTATCATAACATCATATTGTGGGTTTTGTAGCAAAGCCCATCCATAGTCATTGTATAACTAGGGCTGAGTATCAAAATTCAATATTTTGGTACTGACCAAATTACTTCAATATCGAAAAGGATCAAAAAAATTCTGTCATTCAACACCAAACTTCAATATTAGTCCATTCAAATTAGTCACTCCTACACAGATGCTTGCTGCAAAATGTAGACTGCTGACTGTCTAAATTACATTTTGTAAGCAGGTTATTAACGTCAGTGCCTTTCGATTAGTCAGCACTTACACAGTTAACGATTTACAGTCAGTAAATACACCCAATTTCAGCATCTCACACCCACTTCGGTGCTGTAATTAAAAAGAAAACGCACGGTACAGGAATCTATAAAGATACCCATATATATATATATATATATATATATATATATATATATATATATATATATATATATATATATATATATATATACACACACACACACACACGCACACACACACACATATATATGTATATATAAAAATATGTTTCAACTGGTCGTTTTAAAATGCGACGCTATACACTACTAAGCTGGACTATTTTGCTGAAGCTAATCAAAACAGGCAGGTTAGAAATGACAACAATGAATGTGCCACCATACCAAAGTTAGCGGTATCAGACAGCAAAAACTCTACAACTGTCTATCTAACCAGTTAAGATTTGAAATACTTCTGTGGTTATTTGAAAAATACATCCCTGTATTCAGTATAAAGTCATCTGTGCTTTTTTCTGTTCCATAAGTTTCATATTTCTCTTAAAGGGAAGCTGAGGAAGAAGGCCCCTGAGCAGGCAGAGTGAAGCAAGTTTCACTTCTCCACAACCATGAGATGAGGCTGCCAGGGGTCAGAGTCAAGTCAAGGTGTGAAAACTCCAAAAGACGTGTGAAAAATTACTGCCACACGTGTGAAAGTTGTATGCCTCACACACAAACCAGACTCAAGAGGAGAAAGTGTGTACGTCTAAGAGTGCAAAGGTAGATCAGGCCGTCTTTGATCTCTGCATTCAGTTCAGGAAGACACTCACAGAGTAACTCAACTAATACATCACCTTCATTTATAAAATGCCTTTTAGATTATAAACTTAAGTTTCAGAATTTTGAAAAATTTAAAACAAAGTTATGACAAATTGAAAAAGAAAAAAAAGACACTGACCACGTACACTTTTTCACAAAAAGAACTGCTAATGTTTTAAGTCTCCTATTGAAGCACATGCTTACATGACTCTCAGGTGGATCTGAGCTCATCAGAGGCATTTGCACAAACTTGGGGAGTCCATGCTAGCTTGAGTGCATACCATCATTAAAGCAAAATTTCAGAAATTTTAAAATTCATGTAAATATTTCAATCCTACTTTTTGCTGGAAATAAAAAAAAACAAAATGAAAGCACTTTCACTAGCGGTTTTAGATTTTGGACTACATAAAAACCAGTCAATACTGGTTACATACAATTAAATACAATTTACTTTCTAATCTCTTTTAACCTTTCTGTCTGTATTTTACAGATACAGCAAATACAAACAACAAATTTCTGCTGTGCTTAGAAAAGAACTGAAAACCCACTGATGCAAAACAGCATCCGCTTATATTAAGTACAAGGAAGATAAAATTATTGTCCTTGGAAACTGAGCATATGCTACAAACATGGTAGACACAAATTTGGCCTTGTAATGCTTAAGTCTTCTTTGAATTAGAAAAAAAGGGTAATGTAATGCTTTTAGCTCAAATTTGTACTGTTAGCACATCCGAATTTACCAAAAAATAAATAACTGCTAAATTGTTCCATGATTTCGGGCAAATGGCTTTTCAAGACAAAGTAACACAAAGTTTTTATAAGGGTGTGCAATCTATTTAACAACCCTGTCCCCCACACACCCCTCCCTTACAAGCTCTCCATCCCACTCATGACAACAGGATGTGTCCTCGTCCCGGGTCTGTCTGCTCTCTCCCCCACAGACACACACACAAGAAAGCTTTTATATGCTTCCAGCCAGAAACAGCCTCTCTCTCTCTCAGCCCGGCTGACCGTGGGCCCGCAGCCATACAGCCCTGCTCTAGCCAACACAAAGAAGGCCTATCCACTGCCAGGGATCACCCGGTGGGTCAAAAATAGCTAGATCAGGAAAAGACCCGTTAAGAGGTGCTTACACTGATAGAGGCAACAGCATTATGATGGAACAGTGCAATTACAGTTTTTTTTTTTTATCTACTTTTATTTATCTCTGACATAAAAACTAAGTATAAATGGAAAAGTAAAAAGAGGAAGATATAAATGCCATATAAATAATAAGCATGCATTACATTCAATAAAATATGTATGCATGTAATTTAAATCTTCAGTCAAGGAATCATAATGTCTTTTTGCATCCACATCAACTTCATGGCATAGTCCTATCGATCCATACATTTCTTAGTTGGAGAGCAGTGGGCGTGTCTACTAGTTTCATCCAACCTGGACAAAAGGCTAGTTTAACTTGGCTGAGGCACGCTGAGCAAAAGTTTAAAACATCTGAACTTTGTATGACCCTCCGCTCCATGTACCAGTCCACACAGCCAAAACCCGTGTCTGTACCGCACATCCCATTGAAAATAACACACTTAAAAGAGCACCTGTGAATTATACGCATTCAGTATGAAAGCAGCTGCGTTCAAACAGTAGAGCATATTACGCAAAAACATCCGCATCTGAACCGCAAGGAGCCCGCCTGTGAAAAGTTTTGAAAGGCGGAGGAGGAGTGGAGCAGATCTTTATAAGCAATTTTATGGACAGGAAGCTTGACACACACGTCACACTAAAAGCATAGACTAAAGAAACTAGCACTTATTGCACCTCCTTTTGGAGAAGAGAAAGTCCCCCGTAAGCCACATCAGCAAGTGCCTTGAAAACCACAACTAGCAAAGAGACACATCATCATATTTCTACATTAAAGTAAATTAGCTACAGTGGTGATGGTACTCGTTGTCTACTTCTCTAGCTTTTTAAGCAAACCTCCATGCGCCAGTGAAAAAATGTATATATTTGAGCTAAGCATTTTTAATCACAAATGCAAGCAAAACTGCCCTCCTGTCCAGCAAAGTGTTAGCTCTCTGGTTCAGCACATGGTGACAATCAAAAATCTGAAGAAGTTTTTGAGGTGGTCAAAAGCCATTACATTTTGATAAAAGATAAAGTTTTCTTTCAAATTACATGACATGATAAAGTATATTCAATATGACCAGGGAAACAAACTAACAAAGTAACAAAAGTCCATTTTGATTTCAGGTTGATTCCAAAACTACAAATTTGCACAATCAAGTCTGTCCAAAATAAAACTGAAAGTCATCATTTCTGAAAGGCTTAAAGAAAAGTTTTGACATTACAACTAAATGCATAGTTCGCACAGTGACGGAACAAGTCAGATAAAATTTTTAAAAACCTGAATTTATCAGCCACATCCAAACAAGCTCCAATATCTGGAGCATGTTCAAAAAATTCTGCCTGTCTTACAGTATCACTGCCCTGTCACGTTGTGCCAAATTGTGGCCTATATTTGCACTGTGCAAAGCTTTACATAATCTTTTACATAATTGCTGTTTTAGAAAATGCAAGCGGGGGGAGGTTCATATTGGAAGTCAGCAGCAGACGCCAGTATTTATTTACAACAGGAAGCACCACAGCTGAGCTGGATTAAGAGGCCAAGATACTGTAATGTTTTTACAGTAAATTTTATAGTTGATTTAAGAACAGCTTTTTGTTATTCTCTAAAATAGTGATTAGGATTTGTGACGGAAAAGGTGGTCCGTGGTCAGCGTAAAAGATCTCTTTGTACATGGAGCAAGTGCGGGCCAGTGAACAGGAAGCTGTGCGTTTTCAGCAGATCAACGGTCAGGATGTTCATTTTCATCAAGAGGGGAAACTGGATGAGTTTAGAAAACTAGAGAAAAAGAGAGAGTTTGAAATGCTGTTGGGATGAACTCCCCAAGTTGCTTTAATTTTGGCCATTTTTGAGGAAAAAGGAAGCACAGATACAGAATTTCTGGGGCTGATACAATTTTATTTTTTAATTTAGCACTTCAATCTATACATAAAGTGTGGTGAGTGTAAGATAATACACTAAGGATTACTGATTAATTGTACAGCTACATTATAAATGACCACTACTGTAAACATTATATGTAACTATTATTTACAGTATTTACAAATCAGCTAAATTACATTTCTATGTACATTATGAGGCAGACTTCCATAACAACTTACAATGATAGGAGAAAGGAGCACTGGGAGCCTTGCCCAGGCATTTTTACTGGTAGTGAGCAAAAGTGACATTCTTGATAAAGATTTTCTACTTAGAGAATGAAAACTCTACTGGACAGACTCTGTCTTTAACCTTCTGTCTTTAACTTTCCAGTAAGTTCAGAAGAGTAGCATGTGAATGAAGCATTAGGAGTTTTGGCCATCGACTCTTACTGGTGTAGCAGTCACGGATGTGCACAGGTACAATAGTTAAACACAGTGTTACAACATTTAGGTCAACTGGTTTTTGGGTACATAAATGATTAAAAATGTATGTGAACAGAAAAGTGAGCGACCATCTGACCTAAGATGTCCTACTCATAGAATGAATGCCACCTAACTAACAGAGACCATCGTTAACCTTACAGTAGGTTCAGGGAGAGTTAGTGATGCACACTGACCTGTGATGAAGCCGGCAGGTGTGGGGGTCAGACTGTGGAACTGTTGGTCATGTTTGGCTCTCTCATCCACAGAGATAACCCATGTGTCCAGCCCCCCTACACGCACAGACAAAGACAGGGGAGGGAAGACAGAGAGTTAAGAGAAACAGATACTCATGCAATGAACGAACTTGCTGTATTTTCGTTCAGACAGCATGGCATCAGCACTATTTGGCTTTCTTTATGTGTGTCACTGTGCCAAGCTTCCCCACCCCCCCCCACCCCCCCAAAAAAAAAAAGTGGTGGTATTTTACAAACAGGAAAATCTGGAGATTTATAACGTTCAAGAGCTGCCTATGAGTCAGAGCAGGAGAAAATAGTAGAGGGAGAGAAAATGATAGAGAGAGAGAGACAGACAGAAAGAAAGTAAGAGAGAGAAAGAGAGAGAGAGAGAGAGCGCAATAAAGAGAGAGAGAGAGAGAGAGAGAGAGAGAGAGAGAGAGAGAGAGAGAGAGAGAGAGAGAGAGAGAGTGAGAGAGAGGAGAGAGGACAGAGAGAGAGAGAGTGAGAGAGAGAGAGAGAGAGAGAGAAAGCAATAAAGACAGAGAAACAGAGAGAGGGACAAAGAGGGTGTGTGAGTTTTTCTGTCATACAGCGAGGGTATAAAAAGGGAAGCTTTAGAGAGGAAGGCAAGAAGGAAGGAAGGAAAAGGGAGAGAGAGAGAAACAGAAAGAAATTCAGACACTGTGAGAGATACACATACAGGAAGGTAACCTCCGAATGCATGTCGTCAGTATGTCTGTACATTTGAACTATCTGACACATGGCCACAGTCTGACTTGCGCTGTGTTCGACGAAAGCTCCTGTCTCGGAATTTCCCACCTGTGACTAAAAAAACGAAAGAAAAGGCCCCCTTAACTGGGAATTCCTACTCGGAAAGTCAGGATGGTGTCTCAACTCCAAGCTCAGCGTATGACTTTAAATAAACGTGACTGCTCGCACAGTCAGTAGTAAAAAAGTATCACATCCCTACTTTTAAATGTAATTTGCCTTAAATCAATCAGTCAACATAGACATATCAGCAGGTAAAACTACAACATTAACTATAAAGTTTGGTATTTTGAGAAGGTAAATACATCATGAACGTTTAAGCTGTGACTCAAATTGCGATTGTTGCTAACAAGACTTGCTTTCATGGAGGCGCTCATATTTTTGCCCCCACTTTGTAGCTTGAATGCACAGGTTGAATACGATGGAATTCCGAGCTCCAACTTCCCACTTCCTTGCAAAGTCGAAATCAGCACAGTGCTGGATAATATGGCCAGAAATATTAATCACAACACTGAAAATTCAGATAATTTTCACATTCATTTGTTAATGTTCAATTTTATGTGTCAATGATTAGCTAAATAACTTAACTGACAAATGTTAACTGACAAACAATTGTCTGACCAAAGGCATCAGTAAAAAAAGCATTAATTTTAATTAATTTCCAATAAATAATAGTTCATATTTGAGTAGACGGATTCATCATTCAAACGGAGGAAATTGTACACAAGGCCAAAATATGCAATTGGTTCCACTAGATAGGCTGTAAAAGGAAACGGACAGCTGAAAACAGTGTTCGGGCATTTCCTGAACAGCACAAAGATGTACCATATAAAAAGCAAACATCTACCAGTGATAACAACTATTCTGTCCATGTTCTCCAAGAGAAAGGGTGATGCATTGCAGTGTGAGGAAATCACACATATGCAAAGTTAGAGATGTGATGGACGGTGATGGCTTTTAAGAGCTCCAGAGGTACAAAGAGCTTGTACCTTCTGTGATAAAATGAGCTTGCCCCGGTGATCGTATTTATTTTCACCTAAACTTGGCCTTGTAATGAGCGGTAAATATAACTTTAAAACTTTTTGAAATATATTATGATGAGCTACTAAAAGTTCTATATTCTAATCATTTTGTAATTTTTAAGTTTTGGTTATATAAATCATACCACAGACTACATACTTAGCACTAAAAAGGGGTCTTCTATTGTCACAAGCTTGACGTCGTAAAAATAGAAGAACCTTTTCGGTGCTATATAGGTTATATAGGCTATACGGTTTTAGAGAAACTCTGAAGAACCGTCTTTAAGTGTGTGCATACATCAAGTATTTTACAATGGTTTTTAAATGTGGCTCAGCCAATACATTTCAGAACAGTTTTATAAAACTGAAACTAGTACGAAAACAATATATCAAATGTTGAAACTGACAAATTGTTTTGTTTATTGAAAAATGTATGTCAGTTTCAAAGGAGTTAGGATGGGGACATGTTACCACTGTGTTCTATCACCTCTTCTTTTAACAAAACTCTGTAAGCGTTTGGAAGCTGAGGAGACCGATTACTATAGTCCTGAAAGTGCAGAATGTGGTTTGGCATTGTCTTGCTGAAATAAGCAAGACCTTCCTTTAAAAAGACGTTGTCTAGATGGCAGCATACGTTGCTCTAAAACCTGCAGATATTGTTAGCATTAATGGCGCCTTCACAGTTGTGTAAGTCACCCATGCCATGTGCACTAATGCACCTTAATACCATCACAGATGCTGGCTTGTGAACTGTGCGCTGATAACAAGCAGGTTGGCCCCTTTCCTCTTTAGCTCAGAGGACGTGGCGTCAAAGGTTTGCCAAAAGAATTTAAATTTTTGATCTGTCAGACCACAGACACATTTCCACTTCCCCCGAGTCCATTTTAAACGAGCTCAGGCCTAGAGAAGGCGGCGGCATTTCTGGATCCTGTTTATATATAGTGATTTCTTTTGCATGGTAAAGTTTTAACTTGAATTTGTGGATGCAACGATGAACTGTGTTCACAGACTGGTTTTCAGAAGTGTTTCTGAGCCTATGCAATGATTTCCACTGCAGAATCATAGCTGGTTTTAATATTTTTTATCTTATAGTTTAAATATTTGCGTATCATCACATTCTGTTTTTATTTACATTTTGCACAGCATCCCAACTGTTTTGTAACTGGGGTTTTAATATACAAAATAACTTCCCAAGATGGAATACAAAATAAGTAAATACTAATGTAGAACAAAGTAAATACAAAATCTACAGATATACAACCCATAAAAGCACTACATAATACAATGACTTAAGCATAAAAGAATGAGGTGTTGCCGGCACATAGTAACAATCTGAACATGGGTATAACTGGAACAATGTATCGAGAGGCGAGGAACTTCAAATGACAACTGAATAAATGCATCCGTATGACACACCCTCACACATGCGCACACCTGTCAGTGTGGGTGTGTAACAGCACTCACCTCCAAAGGGCGTGGGGAATTGAGCCATGGTTCAGTCAGTCAGCTGCACCCTGCCACACTCCTGTAACACACACACAGGGAAAAAAAATAAATAAATCTTGTTTAGTCCTCATTTACCCTCTAGCTTTCTTCCTCTCTTGGTTTGTTTCCACCCCCGATCCACGCTCTGTGCCTTTCAAGCTGCATTTTCAGAGGAGAGGTCACTGACCCAATAAAATTGACTCCATTCTGTCCGCTAAGACTCTCCCTGTGGGAGGAAGAGACAAGGTGACATTGATCGTGGGAGATCTACAGGAAATTACAACTTGCAGAAGGACAGAAGGCAAACAAACACACTCACACACAAACCTAAATTCTCACAAATCCTGTCTCAGTCTGTAATTGCCATTTACAGTACAGCTTAAGCTGTGTGGGTTGTGCCATTTGTTGAAGACCCCCTGGTGTCTGTGTGTGCGCGTGTGTGGTGGGAGGACATGGGGCGTTTTAGCTGTGTGCTGGTAAAAGTCTCCCTAAACCAGTCACCCCCACAATGTTAACCGCCAATGAGCTTCCATTCAACCTCTGGGCTTTCTCTCCAATTCAGTTTAATCTTATAAATGTAGCAGGTGATAGGAGATTGAATAGGGATGGATGATATTACCACGGTACCTAATGACATTTCCATGAAACATATACATATATTCCATTTTCTAAGCTTTGATAAACTGCTGCTGCTCCTATAGTGCCTAAAAGGCTATAAAGCTAAGAGTACAAATACAGTATCACGATATTTGTAGACATCGGCATCACAATATTTATTTTTTTTTAGTTTGATAAGTCAGAACAGACAAAACTAACCAACAGTGCCACATTAAAAACCATGAACACAATGATGTTTCTTCAACATTTCACATACTGATAGAGATGAAACATTACATGAATTCGTCCCGAACTGTCACAATTCGGTGCACGCAGTCGTATGGAGAATACAAGGTGTGTGTGAAGATTGATTCATGTAATGCAGAAGCAAATATTACAAACTCAAGTTCCACCCAGAAACCTTTAGCAAGTTAAAGTCATTAGCAAGTTAACAGTGGTGGTCCGCAGACGACCCTTTCTCTGCAGCTAGTGCCAAATGATTGTCTATCGAGGATTCAGTTTGAGGCGTTTAAACAGTGAGTTGAGAAAGGCAGTTAAGTTAAATAAAAAGGGAGGATAAAAAAAATGAAATTTTGTTGGAACAAAACCTCGTGTCTCCATTTTTGTTGTTTTTCAGTTTTTGGCATAGTTTGTTGCCCTTGACATTGTGCATAATTTTTATGATGAATGGACCAAACAAAATGGCCCAAATGACAGACACTACAGACTGTACCAACTAAAGTAACCTTAGGGGGGACTATGGGACACTGGGTGGAACAAACTGTAACTTGCACCACTGTCTGTTCAAAACAAATAAAAAGAAAACCGAGCTTTATGCCTATGGGTGTTTTTGTTGCTTTTTTCCAGTGTACCAAACTCGTACCGAACCATGCTGTCCAAACCGCGTTCTGAGCCAAACCGTGACACCCCTACATACTGAGCTACACTAAATCCAATTCCAATACCAAGCCCAATCATGCTCTCTTTTTAAATCAATCATGCAGGTGGTCGATATCCTTTAAGTACTAAAGATAACCACAATATGCTGAATAGTATATAGTGACATTGTTTATCATAACAATGATTAAACTATGTCATACTGCTCACTTGAGTAATTTTTTTTATTCACATACTGCCCAGCACTACACCCAACAAAGCAACGCCAACTATATTTACGAAGTATCACAGCCTTATCATATAGCTTGCATTTTCCCCTCATGATAATATTACTACCACAGGATTACCAACCGGGCTAGTTTCTAATATTCCTTAATTTATAATAAACTATATTTTACACAGACAACATGTAACACTTAACATCTAGTGGCTATCCACGTTTTTTGTTAAAAAAACAGAATATTGCCTATGTGGGTGTTTGGCACCCTTCTTCTAGACATCCTTTTTAATTCTACTCACTACTGGAGAGTAGATCACGTATTGGAGTTGTTTCATTTGCATATTTCCCAGCATTCTTCACCAGGCTGAAAATCTACGTAAAAATTTTTCCAAGTGTAGTTCAAAAGTCTGTATGTGTGCAGTTAATTACCTGCTGATGTGTTTTTTTTTTATAAAGTAAATTGAATATTTTCTATTGGACACAATTCTGAACAAAACACAGATTAGAATGACTGGACAACGGGAATGGGAAAAAATAAAAGCAGAAACAATTTAAAGGGGAAAAAATATGTGGCACATGAAAAACAATGAAAAAACAATAAATGATGTAATATCAGTGCTTAAGTAATTTTACCAATATTTGATAATACTAATCATCAGCTAAAGGCTAGTATAGAAGTTATGACAATATCCAAACATGCTCAGAAAAGCATGGCATAATTTATTGCTATAACAATCTCATCTAGTCATATCAACCACCCCTAAGAGACAGACAGACTCAAAAGACCGTCAAAAAAGAAAGCAGGCAAGCATGAGAAATACGCAAAAGAGAGGAGAGAAGCCAGCAAGAGTGAGAGCCACAGTCTGTTACTAGTTATATCCCAGCTGTGTAAATGCTGCCATAGAGCATGCACCCACCCACTGTTACACACACACACACACACACACACACACACACACACACACACACACACACACACACACCAGCAGGGACACCCCAGGGCATCACGCTGAAATATTTTAATCAGTGCCAGATCTTCCCTCACTATCCTTCCACAGTAACCCCAGTATCTCTACTTCTACCTCTCTCTATCTCTCTCTTTCTACAGAGCTTTCCCAGCAGGATCCCTTCAAAGCCGAGTCTGGAGGAGCACACAAATACACACTGATGCACTAATCCTGTCCATATTACTGTACGGTTGAGAAACAGCCAGCGCTTACAGTGTTTTGCATGGCACACACTGAGTGTGAGGGCCAAGTGCTGATAGGGTATTTTGTTCTGCTTAAGCTCGAGCTATGCACTTCGTACACAGAAGAGCACGCAGGACTAAAAATGAGTGGTTTTGTGTTTGGAAATCTGATGGCATAAAAAGTCATTTTTCAGCATTTCTCAATCAGTCGACATTGCATCATACCGTCACACCCATCTTAACCTTCAGCTTGACTCATCTCAGGCCAAACTGCTAAGACAATGCAGTTACAAGACTATTCAACAGAGCCAAATCAGACCTGGATCTTTACTATTTGATCAGACAGACAGCGAGGGAAACTGTAATTAGAATACCTTAAAAGTAGGCTAAATCATGCAGCCATTCTAAAAGAGATTAATACCTTTTAATTAAGGAACATTTCTGTGTGTAGACTCCAGACTAGGTCTACCCAAAGTGAGGTCCTAAATGGGGATATTTAATAAGGCAGACACATAAGAAGACACAGGGAGAATTATGGAAGGAACAGCCGGTTTCTTTGGGTTAGGTTTTAGCCTAGCATGGACATCCGCCTGTTGGCCACACTTCTTTCCTCTCATACCTGCTGCATCTGTTAACGTTGCAGTCTAGTAGCCTGGTCTTTGCAACACGTCGCTTCTCAGCCGCTACTAATAGCAAGAAAGACTTGTAATTGTTACCAAACTCCGGCAGCGTCTGAGAGTCGCAGATGTAAGCACGCAAGTAAGAAACAAATTACTTGAGAAATTTGGGTATGAAGCAACATTTAGCACAGTTTTTGCTATTAAGAGAAGAGCTATGTACTTACATGTATGTCCCATTTCTCTTGTTAAGGTTAGAAAGCAACATTGATGTCTATTTATATTATTTTTATTTCCCCACAATAAAAATATTTTGGATTTGCTTCAGTTATTAAATAAAACTCTTAATACTAAAGGACCTTGTGGGGATGTGACAATATATCATTGAGAATGGACACTTTCAATTATGCCACAGAGTATACACAGTATACTAAATCCAATCAAAACTGTTGCACTTTACAGCCCTGTTAAAACGTAACAGCGTTTCAATGAGTTGTTGGTCTGTGTATTTTCGTCCTGATGCAGCGCAATAAGTAACAGAATAGTAATTTCAGTACCAGAATACTGGGACCTGGGGCAGTATAACAGAAACAACCTAACTCTGAAATCTTCTGTTCAGATATATGGATGGATCGATGGATGGATGGATGGATGGTATTACAGAAGCATCCTAACTAGATAATTTCTAAGTACTGTCCTAACTTTAAGATAACCCAAAGGAGGCCTTATCTCTGTTTTAACTGTCCATTTCTGTCATTTTAGGCAACTGTGACAGGCAGCATAGTTCATAGTTCACTGCAGACATGATCTCCAGCGTACCCCTCTCATTACCGTCGTGTGTTAGTGTTGACGAAAACTCAAATACAATCATATACAATGAGAACGATTCATTTTGAGGAGACTCGGTTCAACGAGTGGCTGTCTGTGATGAGGAATAGCGGTAGCGCGTCTCAGTCTCCAGCTAAAGCATTGGGATTTGGAAACTTAAACTGGGGAGCAGCGATGCTCTGATAAACAGCACAGAGCGCTGTTACAACAGTTTATTCTGCTTTAGTTTTGTTTTCACCTTTTTTCACATCAGTAACGGCAGCTATCAAGCTAGCTAACTTACATTTTAAACATTACTTTGATTACATGTTTAAGTTGCAGCTGTTCGGGTATTATTGATTGCTTAGTAACAGATATGACAGCTGATTGTCAACTTTGATCAAGTAGTTTAGGATCTCCTAACTGGAAATAAGATGCTGTAAGCTTAGAAAAAAATCCAAAACTAAGATAAGATTTGATTCTGTAACACAAATTTGTGCAAAATCCTGCCTTAAGCTTGTCATATCATAACTCAAAATGAAAGATATGAAGTTTCTGTAATATAGCCCCTGGAACAGTTATCCAAGCACTTGTTTACATATTTCCACCTTTGCTGGCAATGAACAATAACATAAGGCTAACGAATTTCAATCCATGTACTTTCTTTAGCTTCTGTCCATCACAAGCATCAACTTAGCTAAGGTCCAAACATT